GAAGGAGGCTTCCAGCCAACAGTTTTTCTGTGGGTGCTTTAGAGCCTGTTTGAAAGTGTTAGGCTCCGTGGTGCTGGTGGTGGCAGCGTTGTAATTTACTGCAGTAGTAGCTGCCTTAGTAACTAAGTACGTTACTAATTCAGTAGTGTCCATGGCGTTATCGTCGTCATCCACTACTTGGAATTCTTCCTTCTGCTGCTTAGAAGCTTGTGGCAGATGGACTTCGATATTTGTAGACTTGGGAGGCTCTACAAGAGGTGTTGTGAGCCTGGGAGGCTCTGCAGTTATGAGAGGTTGTTCTGCAGAATGTTCTTGTTCTTCCTCCTCCTGAACTTCAGGAAGCTGTAGGGAGTTTGTAGGGCTTCTGGGGCCCTGGAGATGAAGCTTGTAGTCTTCATAGAATTTGACAAAAGGCGTCTGAACTACTTGCCGTTGGCCTAGCCAAACCAAGTAGGTTTGATGCCCCAGAACGGCCAAAAGCCTTCCTTTGGTACCTCTGGGCTGTAGCTTTTGCCCTGCAGAACGTTTCTCAGAAGGTATAAACACCATGACTTCGGTGCCAATAACTTTATAGTTCTGGAGATCAGGGACGTGAGGAGCCTGTGAGGGCACCAATTCATCGAGGAAGAGCTGGTAAGGAGTAAGCTCCTTAGTTGAGTTGGCAGTGCGGTTGATAATTTCTACCACAGAGATAATAACGTAACACCAGAGGGTCGGGGGTAGACCTGAGGCAATGAGAGTAGCTCGAAGACGGTCCAAAATCACCCGAATGGAGCGTTCTGGTAGGCCGTTTTGGTGGTGAGCGTAAGGGCTAGATTTACTGAAGGTGATACCTTTTTCAGTGAAGTACGGAAGTAGGCTTCTGATTTCTTTACCTCCGTCGTAGTGAAATTGCGCTGGGTACCGCTTATAAGTGTTATAGAGAGTTTCGATAATAGATCTAACCTCTATAGCAGCTTCATCTTTCGTTCTTAGAAGCCGAATGAGTCTGAAGCGGGTTTTCCGATCCACTAAAACAAGACCATACGGCTTGTTATTCAGTGGCGTAGGACGAATAATAAAGATATCCCCCTCTAGTCGTCCGAGGGCAAACGGTGGATCAGCTACTGGCTTTTTGGAGGGTCTGCGTAGTATTTTGGCCGAATCACAGCTTTTGCAAACCAAGTCTTCAGGGCGTACCTTTTGAAAGCTAGGCATGCCTTTAGTAACTTGAGCAGTCTTTTTCAAAAGATCAAGGCTTATATGCCCGAGCCGAACGTGCCATAACTGGGCGGCCCGAATCAACGCCTCAGAGGGTTTCTTGAGAGCTGTTGTGGGAGCTGTGGGAGTTGGATCCAGAGCCGGAGGCTCTATAACCCCCTTTGAAATTTCAGGAGCTGTAGTAGGTTCAGTAGATTCTTCAGTTTCAGAATCACTGAGATCGGCATTGTCTCTGGTAGTGTAACAGTGCCAAGTAGACCCGTAGGCCAATGGTTGTTTAGGATCAATTTTGGTAGATACAGTATTCTTCGTGGTGAAGAAGAAGCCGTGTTTTTGGAAGTTTAGCAATGCCAATAGCTTCCGGGAGGCTGTGTATAACTTTTCCTTGATTAAGGTGCCTCCAGAGGCATACAACCTATGGCCACTCACTATATTCAGCGGGAAGTTAGGAATATAGAGAGTATCTGTGAGTGATATAGAGCTGTAAACCGCTGTGTTATCTTTGTAGCCGGCGAGGAATTCGATTTTCACAGTGCCAACGCCCAGTGGCTTTACAGGACCACCTCCGGTCCCTACGGTGCCTAGAGTGGTAGAGAACTGTAGGTCCGAGAATAGGGTTTTGTTGTTGCAGATGTGCACTGTAGACCCAGTGTCAAAGAGCCATTGGCTGTTGTTTTTGATAGTTGGGTGGCTGAATTCAGGAGTTTCCTCGGTGGCTACAAATTCAGAGTCACTGTCTGCTCCGAATATAGTGCCAGACTCAAGGTTATAGCCTATAGTGAAAGCTTCATTAGAAGCTGTTTGCTCAGTGCCTTCAATGTTGAAGGACTCTCCTTGGGCCTTCTTCTTAGTGCCTTTGCCTTGCTGCTTGCCTTGAGGGTTAGTGTGCTTAGCAGACGGCTGGCTGAAGGGCTTAATATCTTGATCCTTCCTCTTAGTAGACCGTGGGTTCTGATGATTAGCCTTGTTGTTATCTTTCGACCTGTGGTTTCTCTTATAGCTAGCTTGCAAAGCTAACAGCTGTTGAGAAGTCGTGGTAGTCGAATTCCGAGTCTCAGCTAGTAGGTCTTCCTGGAAGTACAGAAGGCTTAGTTTAGTAATCTTGCCTTCTGTGTTGTAGAGCCATTGTTCTTGCCGCAGCAAGCCTCTACAACGCTCTACCCACTGAGAGAAGTGGCTTTCTAGCACGTTAAAATAGTGGTTGATCTGGTCAATTTCCGCTATCCTAACGCCGAGACCAGCAAGTCGGCTCGCGAGGGTGTTGAATTTGGCGTTGAATTCTACTATAGTAGTAGATCCATCAAACTTAAGGAAGTGAAACTCCTTATATAGGGAGTCTCGGAGGGTTGACTGGCTGGGAGCGTACTGCATACGCAAACGCTTGTAAGCCTCTGCAGGGTCCGTTTCGAAGGCAATAGTAGATAAGGGGCCCTGTTTTAAGGTATTCCGAAGGGTCAATAACAAGGCAGCCTTCTGAGGATCAGATAGTAAGGCGTTAACTCGGTCAGGGTCTTCCAGGAATTCAGGAATTTGTAGTGCCCTGAACTGGATAGAAATAGCCTGATACCACTGATTGTAGTTTTCAGGTCCTGAAAGACGCTCTTTTTCAGCAAGTTGGAGTGACTGTTTAGCAAGCTCTTTGGTAGTAAGAGCGCTGAAATCAGTTCCGAGGTGTGCTGAAAGCGTTGGAGCTGTAATAGGCTCCGAGGTAGGTGTAGGAGACTCAAGAGTTGACTGAGCTTGAAGAGTTGGTTGAGCCTGAGGAAGCTGTTCAGCCTGAGGAGGCTGTTCAGCTTGAGGAGGCTGTTCAGCTTGAGGAAGCTGTTCAGCTTGAGGAGGCTGTTCAGCTTGAGGAGTCTGTTGAGTCTGAGAAGAGTGTTGAGCAGCCAAGTTCTGTTGTAGCAGCGAAATAACGTGCTGAAGCTGGCCTTCAAGGTTGTGAATTTGAGCTTGTAAGCCTTGTAAGCTCAGGCTTGGATATTCTGCAGGAAAAGCTGCAGTATGATCCATTAGTTCAGTCGGTTGATCCATTATAGCACTGCAATAATGAAGGGTGCTTGAGGGACCAGTGAAAATAGTCTGTAGTACAGTACTATTTGCAGTTGATGAGCAGTCTACAGCCTGTAGTACAGTGCTGTTTGCCGAGAAGAGAGATAGGAGGTTGGCCTGTAGTACAGAGCCAAGGGGTCAAGAATCGATCGTGACTTGGAAGTGTGAATCGATAGGCTGAATCCGGGTATTCTTGTTTCCCGGGCTCATAACCTGTTTCCTGCGGTGCCCTGACTGGCCTATAATGATAGCACCAGTACAAGGTTGCTACAGTGAACTATGCACTTGTAGCAGAGCGGAGCGGAAGCGGTAGGAAGTACGACAGCAATGCTGAAGGAAGCAGCGTAGTTGCAAGTACAATAAAAGGATGTTGTAAAAGAGGTCTTAGAGAGGACTCTGCTCTCAAGACAGAAGATTACAGTGGACTCTGCACTGTGAGAAAAGACTATATTGTATTGCTTGACTTGTGCTTGCTTGCTTAAGGAGTGACGAACTGAAGGAGAGGAGAGGTCTCTATATACATGGACACTAAGCATCTAGAAGCTTCTGTTGAATCCTGTGATGACAAATCAGTCTGGAAGAAATGCTAGCTAAGTTATAAGACTCTAGAATACAGTGGCAAAACCTCTTGTATTCTAGTACATTCTGTGGGGACTGAGTCAACTGATTCCGTAGAAGGAATAGTTCAACTAGCCTTCTATACTACAAGGTAGTACAAGGCAGTTACAAGGCACAGTACTAGCCACACGTTAACATATTCGATAGTGTTGAAGTTTAGATCTTTGTTGGATGCTTTATCTACTTGATCATTTTGTCATTGCAAGGTGAGAAGAGTTTGAGAAAAAAGTAGTTTTACCTCTTTTAAAATAGCATTTTATAGTCTAAAATAGTTAAAATATTAAACTTTTCTTACTTTATCAATTTTAAAAGAATGAAAGTCACTTTCCTTTCAAAAAATATATGAAAAATGATTATGATGATGATGTTGTTACCCGAAGACTCTTCAACTTTGGGTTGCAATTGTAGCTGTGCACTCAACTTTTGGCAAATGATTTTAGTACCAATCTAAAGTCCTTGAATTTCTGACCAAAACGTTACTGTGAACTCCCATTTTGGTTGGAAATTGGGGGAGTTACAAAGGGTTAAAACGAAGACTAGAAGTAGGTGGGAAGGTTGATGCAAATGCATGGAGGTGGGGGGGGGGGGGACAGTATTTTTTGATCGTTACTGTAGTAAAGTAAAAGATAAATGAAGACGATTTCCCATGCATCATCGTGATTCCATAATCTTGTCCCCCTTTGCCTTGTCTAGACCCGAGAAAAGAGAGGTTCCATATGTAAGTGTGTATGTATGTACGCCCAGCCAGCCAGCCAACTCCGGAAGGGAAGCCCGTGGTGTGTGTGTAGGTATGTGTACATAGTATGTCCTTTCCCCGGACTCTGATCTGCACATCTCCCCTTGTCGCGTTGAGGGATGCGAAGGACAAGACGATCGGTCGTGACGATCGTCTGCAACGCGGGGGAAGATCAGATCGTATGTTGATCTCAGAGTTGACTGACTGAATGACTGATCGACCGCGCTGAATGTATATATATATCTTATATATACACATGCACAGGTTCTGAAGAGCAAGGACAATGACAAGGACGGTACAGGAAACGTATTATATATATATACTTGGAGAAAGGGCCCAAGAAAACAGAAGGGTTGACTTTGACGTGCAAGGTTTGAAAAAAGTGTCCATTTATTTACCTCTTCCCCGCCCTCCTATTACTCCAAAATCAAGACACAAATCCTGAAAGAGAAGAATGGGAGAATGGGAAAGAACATCCTCTATATCCAACCGTATCCAACAGCTTCATTTATACAATCCTGATATCTTGTTCACGCTTTAGAGGACACCGAAAACCTGACCGCAGCCCCAGTGCTGCTCGCAGTTGCAAGAACCAGGCTGCTTCCAGTGGTCATCGCTGAAGGAGAAGAAGACGACCTTCTTGCCCATCTCCTGCTTGATGGCGGCAAGAGCGGTCGCCTGCTGCTCGAAACCAGGGCACGCCTTGCCAATGCACTCACCGGCGGTGGGCCAGCCAGTCTCCATGACGAAACCGGGCTTGTTGCAGATCTTCTCAACAATGTCGAGCTGGCCAGCGACGAAAGTACCGGCCTGCTCGGGGGCAGTGTTGGCGTTGAAGTAGGCGTGAGCGTTGCAGGCAACGACATCGATGGCGTTGCAGATGTCGGTCACGTCCATGGACTGCCAAGCAGAGACGACATCGGTGGTGGTGTAAGGACCAGAGTAACCGGCGCTGCCGAGCTCAGACTTGACGTGGTAGATGAGGTCCTTGAGCTGGCCAACGGTGCAGAAGCCATTGAAGAGAGCCTCGTTACCGACGACAACAAGGTCAACCATGTCGAAGCGGCCCCAGGACTTGATGGCGGCGATCTGGTCAGCGACATCGGGGGAGCCGTTGTCGCAGCCGACAGTGCCAATGAAGATGCCGAGAATGAGGCGGAGACCAGTGGCCTCAGCAGCGGCACCGACGCTGGGGAGAGTGTCGCAGTCAGTAGAGTAGACACGGAGGGTGGTGAAGCCAGCCGAGGCGATGGACTTGACGTCGGTCATGACGTCGGCAGCGCTCTTGCACTGGCCGTCCTGGGTGAAGGGAGTGTAGGTCATGGCCCACTTGTCACCCTTGCCGCCGAGGTTGCCGGTGGGCGCGGTGGGCGCGGGGGCGGCAGAAGAAGAAGCGACAGTGCTCGAGGGCTCCTGGGAAACCGAAGAGACGACAGAGACGACAGGGAGAGCGGAAGAAGTGCTCGAGGGCTCCTGGGGAGCGACGGAGACGACAGGGGGAGCGACGGAGACGACGGGAGGAGCGACGGAGACAACGGGAGGAGCGACGGAGACAACGGGAGGAGCGACGGAGACAACGGGAGCAGCCACGGAGGTGGTGGGCTCGGGAGCCTGGGTCGAGGAGGCAACGGGAGAATCCCCAACGGAGGTGAAGGGGCAGTAGACAACAACGTTGGTCTCGGTGACAGTGGTGACGACGGCGGGAGCAGAGTAGATGCCGGGGCAGTAGGTCTCGACAACAGGGACCACAACAGTGACGGGCGTGCTGTCGGTGACAGTGGTGGTGATGGGAGCAATGGTGTAGGTGCCAGCGCTGGGGCAGACGTAGGTGGTCATCTCAACGACGCTGGTAACAACACCATTCTCGGCAGTCTTGGTGGTGGCGTAGGGGCAGACGACGGTGGTGGCAGTCTCGACGACGGTGGTGACACCACCAAGAGTGTGGGTGCCGCTAGGAACAACGGTGGAAGAGGCACCGCAGACGGTCTTGGTCTCGGTCAGGACCACGGTGGTGGCCGGGAAGGTGTAGGTGCCCGGAGTAGCGCAGGTCTGCTGGATCGGAGTAGGGACGGTGACGGGGCCCATGGAGGTGGTGGTCGGGACCACAACAACCTCGGTGGTGCTAGGGACCGCAATCGAGGAGGTGTTGGCGAAGCCCATCGAGGAGGAGAGAGTGGGCAGGGCCTCGCTGGTGGTGATGGCCGAGGAGGTGGCAGGCGCGGCCGTGGCGGGAGGAGTGTAGACTGCGCAACATGTTAGTTTCTCTTTGTCAAGTTATTTCGAGGTCAACATACGGCCGGCAGGACCAGTGATGGTGGTCCAGATGGTGGTGCAGCCGGGGACACAGATCTCGCTCTCGTTGTGAACCCTCTTCTCGAACAAGGGCTGGTGGAGGTGACGGTGGTGATTTCTGTGCGCGCTCGCGCCGCCGGCGAGGATGGCCGCGGTGGCCGCAACAAGTGTTCCCTTCATATTGATGTTCTTTGCTTTGCTCCTTGTGTGATTTTTTGTCGGTGGTGATTAGGTGTTTCGCAGAATGGTAATTCGTGCGTTGATTAACGAATGCCCGCTAAAAGAGTGAAGCGGTGGTGTGGTGAAGAAAAAAAGAGTGTAAGATCGAAAGCGCAAAAGAGGCTATCGATGTTGAATATCAACACGCACGATGGGCAGGTGAAGGAAGGGAAAGGGGAGGCAAAAGAAAAGATCGGGCCAGACGGGAGAGACGACAGTAATTATAATACCCATTGCAGGACCGGGGAGGGTGGAAGTTGGTGGCAGCCACTTTTACTTGGTTAGCTTCTAACTTGGCGCCGTTCGTGTTCGTCCGTCACGGTCGCCATGGGACCCCTGAGCGCTAGCCTGAGAGAGTTTGGTTCCTGGTGGTTCCTGGTGCTGAAGACCCATCCTCCCATCCTGAGCAATCGACTGCGACGACTGCGCTGGATGCCGTCCGCGAATAACGGACCGGGCCACGGCATCTGTTCGACGGCATAGAGGTACCTATCGGGGGCCACAACCTCGATCCATCCTCCTCGTCCACCGGCCACCCCATCCTCCCCGTCCTCCTCGTTTTCCTGTCCGGTCCTTGGCCATGTCGCCCATCGGAGACGACCTTGCCCTTCTCAGGTCCCCCGATCATCCCTGTCGTCAGCCTGTCCGGCGAGTGGACGGTGAGCCCGCGCTTGGCGAGTGGTGGATACGACTCTTACCCTTGGAGGTGGACCTTCATTAGAGAGCGAGAGCTTTGACCGGCGACACCTAGTCCCTGGACACCGTCTTTTTCTTCCTCATGCCTCTGAATTGCTTCCATGCAACATCTCGACAGGCTGGTGCGGTGGTGCTGACTGGATGGCTGGCTTGTTCAGATAAGACCGTGATGAGATACGACCAGCCGAGGACCGAGGCGGGAAAGGATGTTCGGACGACTACTAGTGGGCAGACCAATCACGTCCATCTATACAGAGGAGTATACGATCCTGTGTAGGCCCGATATGCAGCATCATGGGCAAACACGGTACTACCTGTGCCTCGTACCTGGACGTGGAAACCGGGTGCGTGCAATCACGAACGCCGTCATCTTGAACCAATTTGGCCTCTATGATTTGGCGACGTTCCAAATATGAGTACGGCATCCTGCGAAATAACAGAGTGGATTGGCCGCGAGGGTCTGGAGGTGTGTGGTGGTGGTGTTGGTAAATTGGCGAAGCTCTAGCGAGGGCACTTTACTGAGAAGGTGTGGGAAAGAGGGAGATGATGGAAAAAGGAGGTCAAGGCACAGAATAAGCAGGCACGCCGTACACACAGACACGCCCAGCACGCCCAGCACGCCCAGCGGGAAGGTACGCTACGCTGTGGTTGCAGTGACATTGTGACAGGACGGCCAATCAGGAACCGCGAATGGCACAAAGTCTACCAGCAGTGGCAAGTGCGGAATAGCCAGGAAATCAAGGGATTTGCTGATGGTTGTCCGATGTGAGCCAGGAAGAGACGCGCCTTGGGAAATCAAATAAGCGATATTAGCAAAGTTGCCCGTCGTGGCCAGTTGAAACAGCCACAGTTTGTGTGGTAAATGTTCCCGATCTTGGCTGCATTTGAGATCTAGAAGAAGCAAAAGGGCACAGTTCGTCATGTATAAACAAATGGTGGCGTGTATAAACAAATCATGTTGCACCTCGAATTCTCGAGCCTGACTGACAACAACACCAAAGAGATCCCTCAGAACCCAAACAGCCTCCCGCTCGACATGTCACATCGGCAACTTATCCGCTAATATTGCTGCTGACGAATACAGTGCACGAACGAGTACGCTCTAACCCCATATCTCAAGACCCCGTACGCAATCGAGGATTTCATGGAAGCCTTGTGAAGCCAGGGAGCCAAAGCAAAAAGATATCAAAACACAAGGGAAAGGAGCAGAGGCGGGGTCTGGTTCCTGGGCAATGCGGATCCCTCTCTCCAGCTCTCCAAAACAGCGGGTGGATTCGTACCTGCATAAGAGCAACTCCACTCTCCACTTGCCATTGGCCATCTGCTCTGATTCCAGTTTTTGTGATAACAGGACTTGAAGAGGGGACTGGGGGCACGTGCAAATTCACAACATCGGGAATAGCATGGCCTGTTTCTCTCTGGACCTTCCCCGGTGTTTCTCATCTCGCGAAAAATCAACTCCAGCCTAGGCTGACCCCATGAAAACAATGGAGAAGGATTATCGGCTATCAAGCCAAGAAGTACCAAGAAATCGAGACCTTTGTGGAAAATTCGGGGTAAACGGGTACCTCTCCAACTTCAAAGGCCATGAAATTAGCAAGTTCTATTCCCGTTTCCATCCACGCCGTATGTGCTGACCTTTGAGCTGTCGCATGTCACAAAAAGCTGGCTGGCCGTGTTTGATATCAGCATGGAATGATGATCGCCATCCGGACTATGCAGGGTTAGGGTTATGAGTGCGGACATCCCAAATGGGCCAAATGGGCCAAAAAAGTCACACGAGTTCGCGTGCAACCTGCTAAGTCATTGGCGCGGGGAACGCCACACCCGCGTTAAGAAATTTCGAAACCGAACAATTCAATATCTGTCGACAGAAAAATTGAGCTGCAAGTATGATGCGCTCAGCTGGCCGCCAGCCATATGTCTGCTGGCAATGTCTCTCCCGCAAAGAGTCCGGGCAGCACATTGCTCTGAATGCCCGGAAGGCCCGAGTTGCATCGCTGTCGTCACTAGCATCGTGGCCAGCATCGACAACACCACGGCCGACCCGACAATGGGACAACAACGAAAGGCGACAAGGTCTGTCCACTTCCACGTCGCTACTCGACAGGAAGATACGAACAGAGATATCAGATGAGGCTCTGGAGGACTTCGCTTTGCCGTTGGAACCGAACTTGCACTATCTCCAAGACAGTCAACCAAAGAAAACTAAAAAATCTGCAAAGCTATCCATTCGACAACGGCTGAAGCAATGGGAAGCTGAGAATCCAGAACCCTTTAACTCTATCCCGTCGGATTTCGCACTCCCAGACCGGCCCATCAACGCATTCACATCAAAGCGGTCCGAGCACATGCTCGAGATGGAGAATATCGACAATGACAATGCCACTGCTCAGGTCGATGATCAAGATCTGATCGATACTCAGGTCACCCCTCGAGTCCAAGCCGGTGATCTGTTGGAACTCATGTCCGAGGACTGGAATATTGGTGTTCTCGCCGTCTGCTTGGGAAGCTTCAATGGCATTGACCATTTCTACGCAGTCACCGGCAAGTGGTTTGCCAGCACCAACGTCAAATCCGGTTTCATCGTCAAGAAGTTCATCACCAACCCTGCCGATCTGCAGCCAGTCATTGATGCATTGCCTTCGACCGTGGGTGATATGTCCATCTTGGTCGAGCTCCAAAAACTCCGTGCAGGCCCGACCCGTGAGCACGGTGCCGGCTTGATCACCAAGATGCTCGACTTCCAAAACGCCTCCCGACAGATCTTCCAAAACAACATTGAACGGTTGAGCAACCCTTATCGGCATCTTCCCGAGGAAGAGAAGTTGATGACTCTGGGTGAGATTGCCGAGTTCCTTCTCCCTCCCAAGCTCAAGCAGTCATCCACCGGTTTCCCCCCAGCCGCTTTGTACGCAGTCTACAACATCCTCACATTCGAAGATGCTTTCTTCCGCTCACTCGGCCAAGGGACCGCCGGCCCAAGCTCCATCATCTTTCACGTTGCCGCTACGTCCGATGTCGATAACGTTACTCGAGTTGAGAGAATGGTGCGCGACCACTACAGCCCCGAACTCCTGGATCGCAAGTCACGCAGGGAACATGATAGGCTGGAACCCGTCTTGAAGCAGGCTCGGTTGGCCATCGACCACAGCCGGAAAATGCGCGAGTGGTCGAGCCACGGAATGCTCGGTCCCACCACCAGAGTCCTACCGGCCTCAACTTACTCCTGGTCTCAGGATGCCTTGACTGTCATCGGCGTTATTCACATGTGGGCAGCCTCGGATGTTTTCCCACGGAGCTCAAAGTACCAATGGATTGGTGCCGCCGTCTTGCGTGCCCTCAATAGATACCAAGATACCGACGTGCTTGACGCTACAGTGGGTTGGACCTTCCTGCAGGAAATCGGCTGGCTCATGCCCTGGGAAATCCACGCCCGTCATAGCCTCCGTCTCCCAGGCCTTCAGGTCAACCGGGCGGGCGGTTTACTACCGAGCCCGGAGGAGCAACAGCCAGCTGAGCTTGCCCAAGACGTACTTGCTCCCCTCCGCCAGGATTTCTCCGCCTCAACTGTGTACTGCATCGACGCGCCAAATGCGAAAGAGATCGACGATGGTGTCTCGCTTGAGAAAACAGACAAGGAGGGAGAGTACTGGATCCATGTACACATTGCCGACCCGACGTCGAGAATCAGACCGGACAGTCCGCTAGCTAAGCGAGCAGCTCTCATGACCCAAACCAGTTACCTCCCAGGGCATGTGGACAAGATGATTTCAGATGAAGCAGTTGTCGCCGAGTTCTCCTTGGCTCCCGGTCGGCCTTCTCTTACTTTCAGTGCGAGGCTCAACGAAGAAGGAACCCTTCTTGACCATAAGATCACCCCAGGAAGGATAGGAGATGTCGTCTACATCACCCCACAGGATGTGGCGACTGCGGTTGGGCCCGTGGATGCAGGCATTCCCAAGGTTTCGACTCCCGATGTCGTCTTGGAAGTTGGCACCCCTCCGTCTGCCGAGGACGAGGCGCCGACAAGGAAGATGACCAAGCCGGATGAGTTGTCAGAACAGAATGCCAAGGACCTCGAGATCCTCTCGAAGCTCGCCGCCGCCATCCACAAGGTCCGCATCCAAAAGGGAAGCGTGCCGATCTTCCTCCCTTCGCCCAGCGCTGATTTCTCGCTGGAGAATGCTCGGATCGAGCACACGCCAAGCGGCTTCCTCGCGTGCACCAACGACCCCTACATTTCCGTCAAGTACTCCGTCAGCGGCGGCCTCCACCCCATCGTGGACGACCTCATGGGCACAGCCAACCAGATCGCCGCCCTGTGGTGCTACGAGCGCGGCATCCCGATCCCCTACCGGACCAACCTTCTCGCCGCCCAGAACGAGGAAGCCCTCCGCGCCTACACCCAGGACGTCATCTACCCGCAGCTGGTAGCCGGCAAGCAGCCCTCGCTCGAGGAGAGGCGCACGCTGCGCAACCTGCTGGGCGGCCACGACATCGCCGCCACGCCCACCTTCATCTACACCATGGGCGTGGACATCTACACCAAAGCCACCTCCCCGCTCCGCCGCTACTCGGACTTGCTCGTCCACTGGCAAATCCAGGCCGCCCTGCTTGAGGAGCACAAGCGCCAAAGAAGCAGCGAACAGGGCCAGTCCCAAAAGTCGCTCGTCATCCGCAAATTCGACAAGTACAACCTCAAGCCGCCCATGGACGACAAGCAGGCCGCCCGCCTAGGCCTCCCCTTCACCGCCTCCCACCTCGAAAATAAGGTATTCCCGCAGCTGCGGGTGCGCGAGCGCTACGCCAAGAACCTGGCCAACAATGAGGGCCGCAACGAGCTGATCCTGCAGGCGCTGGTGCGCGCGTGGCGGTTCGGTGAGGGCAAGAAGGGTCAGGTCCCCGAGAAGTTCACATACACGGTCGTCAACGCGCAGAACGCGTGCGTGCGCGGCCGGATCAACTATTTTGATCTGTGGGCCGAGATTGATCTGGAGAACCTGGCTGGGTTCAGCTTGATCAGTAATATGAGGGTGGGAGATGTGTTGACGGTCGAGTTGGCGGATGTGAATGTGCATATGAGGAAGATTGTGGTGAAGCCGGTGGAGTTTATCAAGCGCGGACCGGAGAGGAGGAGGTTGTTTGCTGAGCATGAGCAGCAAGAAGAAGAAGGTGAGGAGCAGGCAGAAGGGGAGTATATTGATGTTGGGCACGAGGTGTTGCAGCCGGAGGAGAGGTGAAGAAGAAACTCACTCGGCTCTGTACTATAGATGATGTTAGGGACTTTAGAGACAAAAATGTAACAATATAACGATGAGATAGATGGCGTCCGTTTGAGTCAATCACTTGGTTTGATGCACTATTTGTTCCTTGTAGGCCGTATAACGCTCGTTATATCGATCCTTACGGCAAGCACCAAGTAGACGTATACTTATACAATCATGGTACATAATCCCACAATACACCAACAATACACCACGCCACAACACGCAGGCACCAAAGAGGTACAAACAGCCATATTTTCTCTTATTTCCTTCATTCTTTACCGCCTGCCTACATCACCCCTCCATTTCCCGACAACATGCCTCCATTTGCATTCTTGACTCCTAATGTCGCCCTTACTAGGCCTGTCATCTCTCCTCGGTATGCCTCGATAAAGAAGCAAAATAAGAAAAAAAGAAAAAAAAGAAAAAAAGCCAGAATGGTGAAGAAAAAGGGGGGTATCTTGATGAACAAGCACAAACGCCCCACACCCAAGCAAAAGCAAGTAACGTAAAGCAACAAACTTCTGCTGCTTTTAATGGTGAAAAAAGGAAAAGAAAAAAGAGAAAAACCCAGCAAGTTGAAGACAAAGGAAAGTAAGTGGTACTAAGTACCTACTAGTATGACACCTGTCATACTTGGTTGTTGCTGGGCAACTCTCTCTAGTTAAGGAGGTCGTTGATACCGAGCCTCCCCTTGCTTTGCGCCCGCTCAGAACGCGCACGTTCATGCCTCTCGTGATCTTCAATCTCGCTCTGTGTCTCCGAAGGAGTGTCAACGTCGGCGTCGTAGTCTTGGGAGTGGATGCTAGGAGGGCTTACCGAAGCAGCTGGTGGCTGCTGTTGTTGCTGTTGCTGCTGCTCCAGCTGCTGCAGCATTCTGAATGCCGGTGCCAGTTCGTCAACATCAACATATTCATCATCATCGTCTTCTTCATCGTTCTCAGCCTGCTGCGGCATCTCCTCGTCGTCCTCTTGCTGTTCCGGCTCGTCAACGTCCATAGGCTCCGGCCCTACTACCTCCAGCTCCTCCGCCGCGGCCGCCGCGTTGACCAAGTCTTCGAGGTTATCGTGGCCGCTCTCCTCAGCAGGGGCACTCTGGCTCTGGCGCTGACTCTGAGATCTGGGCCTCGAAATCTCATCTCTCTTATCCACAAACCACTTCACACTCTCCGCACTCGGATTAACCGGGTTTCTCGCCCTAAACACCTGGGCAACCTCCCACAGCGTCTGCAGCGCGTCTCCATCCACCTTTTGCTCGCGCAGGCGCAGAACCTTGTCGTTGTCAACCCAGGCAGCCTTCATCTTAACGAACAGCCGCCGATCGTTGTGGTAGCGCTGGGTCTCCTCGGGCGTCATCTCGTTGGTCGGGTGGTATTTGGGCGTGGTGCGCAGCGAGGGGACGGCCTGGCCGAAGACGTCGTTCGCTGCTGTCGAGTAGTATTCATGGTCGTTGGTCTTGTGGGTGGAGGGGTAGTTTTGGAACGAGTAGCTTTCGTAGCCCAGGGGCGGGACGGGGACGGCAGGGCCGCCGTAGGGGGTTTGCATGCGGAGGGTGGAGGAGAGACTGTGCTGGTGGAAGGCGTCGAATTCGGCGCGTTGGGGGATGTTGTTGAGGTTGAGGGGGGTGTTGGGGGGAGGAGGAGCGGGACTGGCCGCGCGGAGTGAGGAGGGTTCTTGCCAGGTGTCGGGGATGGGGCGGAAGGTCATGAGGGAAGGGAATTCTTTCAGCTTGGAGTCGAAAATGCTGCGGTAAAGAACCATGATCAAGTTCTGTTTGCGCTGTTGCTCGCGGGAGATGGGGGGTTTCGCTGGTCGTCCAGGTGCATCGGATCTGAAGTCCTCCTCGGCGGGATTGACAGCGGATGAACTGCCGGCCTGATTCTGGTTGCTCATACGGTCCAGGGCCCTCGCCATTGCGCCGCGAACGGGTCGACCAGATGCGGCAGTGAGCTCAGTCGACGGATGTTCGAAATCCCTGAGTAGAGACATGTTGCTCAGAGGGGAAGGTCTGACGGGAACGTTGCTGGCGATTTGACTCTGCGGGGCACGGCGGTGATCCTGCTGCTGTGGTCCGGCGAAGTGAACGTGACGTGAAGCGCGACTGACCTCACATGTAACGCGATTGCGAGAGGTCTGTTGTTCTTCAACGGACTGGTTTTGTTGCAAACTGCGACGGGATTCACTTTGCTGGCCGTGAGAAAGTTCCTGTTGTTGCTCGACGCGGTGAGGTTGTCGTGAGGTGCGACTGGTCTGGCTGATGCGATCGTAGGCAACTGTCGCTGATCTGCGCGGGTTGGGACGATAACTAGCGGCAGTGTAAGCTTCGTCAAGTTCGAGATCACCTTGTGACTCAGAATACTGGGAGTCGGTAGCTGATAGCTCTTCTTGACTAGCTCTTCGAGTTAGCGACTTGTGCCTTTTAGAATGAGGCATATACTCCTCGTCTGGCATGTAGTCCTCGTCTTCATCTCCACCCGCTTGACGGCGTGGCATTGTAGCACTTGTGGGGGGTTGGAAGAATTCGGGAGGAAACAGGTCGCGCAAAGATGGTAGTCGAGGTTGATGTTGAGTGAAAGGTGAAGCGGCGGCTGAGACTGAAGAGGTCGTGTCCGGGTTGCTGGGCTGAGAGCGAGCGGCAGCACGTGGTCTTTTAGTCGTGCGCTTCGGTGCCGTGTCAATTGTACTCCAGTCCGTTTCGGCAATGTCAACGAAATGCTTGCCGTCCCCCTCTAGCATGTCTGCAAAGACACACGCTTTGCAGACATAGAAGGGGCAAACTCGGCAGCGGAGAAGAAAGTCTGGTGCTCTCCGATTGCAAGTGTCGCACATTTGGACTTTGCCAAAGCGCTTCTCCCATCCCTGATGGGAAGGTTGTCTTTTTGGGCCCCTCTTTCCTGTGATTCCTGCGGCTTTGTTTTGGTGCCAGCACACTCAATTTGAGTATAGTGGCTGCTGGTTGAGTCCATGGTGATATGACAAGAACTCCGGCTGAGGAATAGTGACTGTCGGTTGATGAGGTGGTGAGAAAGGCCTGAGTGAACACTATAGAGTGGGTAGGTGATGGTCGACAATATACGGGTTACAAAGAACAAGGGGGGAAAGAAATGACTGCAGACTGGGGGGCTATCAAGCTTATTATACTATGGACAGAAAGAATTTATCTTCCAAGGTCGTCGTGAAAGGTGAATGGGTGCTGTGTGCATCACGGGTGTAGGGGAGGGAAGGTTTAGATTGGGATGAGTTGGAAGGTGAAGAGAAAAGGGTTGGGCTGCTGTCCTCTCGTTTGGTTGGCTACAGCTCTTTGGCGTTTTACTTTGGATGGATGTCCAGAGCACTCGCTCTTCAGGTTCCCGAACAACTGTGAATGATGTGGTGATATGAACCTGGAACTGACATTCTAGAGATGCAATCCGGTGTGCCGGTGTGTTTTTCGGAATGCCTTTGCCCACTTCAAACAGATATCATGCCTCCTTGAAGGTGTATTCTTGTCCTCCGCGATGATTCCAGTCCATATTCCAAAGAAAAAGCAAACCCTGGCCGTAAATCGTTGCAGTTAGACCACAGCCTTGGCCACTCGGCCTCCTTGAATCCTATCACAGAAAAACAGGCGAGGGTCAGAAATAGATGGTATGTGGTAAGCCTGTTATGGCTCTTCTGCTCCCGAGTATAGTATTTCAGTATCAATACTCGGGATGAAGCTGATTCAAGGTTTGGGGTGTTACACTAAGGTCCATGAGGACCTCAATGGCTCAGGTTTTGTTTTCATTGAAAAGAAACCCCGGGTTGTAGGAGATAAAAGAAGAGTCTTGACAGCTTGGTGAATCACTCGACTGTCAGCCCAACTTTACAAGCACAAAGGGTTCGGTGAGACGAAAGGAGATGGAAGAGAAGGTTGGGATCGTGTAGAGAGCTGAAGGTTTCCTGTCACTCATGGCCAGTTTTTCAAATTGCCTCCAGATAGCCTGTCCAGATATCAGTTCTCCAATTTCCGATTAGGGCTGAAAGGATGAGAGTAGACGATATTTGTCGGCCGGGGTCGACGAGCCAGGTGCTGGTTAGTCGTCGTGAACGACGGGGTGGTTTCGGAACCGGTGCCAAGACTAAGGCTCCGAAATGTCGAACGGGCAATTACCATCGTTTGGATGTGTAAACCCTGTAACCAATCACAAACAATCATCCTCTGTGTGTTTTCATTGGACAATTGCTCATTTGATCTCACGCGTCTGCATCGCGTTTGGTTGGCGTTGGACGCGTTTCCAGCTTTGTCAGTGACACAGACGGCGAAGTGTCTTTGCCCGTTCGGCTCCCTTCGCACCCGATTCCTTCCCGGCCTCCATTTTCTGTTCATTCTCGCCGGCCGAGATTAAATCGCTCCCTTGCCAATCCGACCCAGCGTTTCCGGTTGTTGTTGACAGCGATCGCAACCAATATAAGCTGTGTGCCACAACACCATCGCCGATTTGGATGGTAGGACATGACTGACAAGATCAATCTCGGCGTCACAGCTTGCTTGATTGAACAACCTTTTCGAGACTTGTCGACTAGCAACGACTGCAGCAGGTCTGATATCTGGGAACTCGGTATCCTCGAGGGTAGCTAAGCTCCCTTGTGACTGATCAAGTGTCTCGTTTCTCATGGTCCCCTTGAGACGCCAGTTCGGGTCATGGATAGTTCGGGTGCCTTGGAATGCGGTTCATGAAAGAACAATAGAAACTGTAACAGCCCGAAGAGCAGGCGCCCCCTTGCTCGCCCCATCATGTGGCCCGCTTGCGACCCACTTTTGTAACTGCAGGCTAACGGGCCTCAGCGGGCATGTTCCCTGTGAACCCTGGACGGCACTCGGGGAGTCTTATTAGGCGCATTATTCCTCATCAGGACCTCTTCACTTCCTTCTGAGATCCGCCTTCTCTACAACAACAACAACAACTTTGAACAACCTATCGCGTAGCCTCCTGCTTTCAGCCTCAACTTCCACTCTTGATCGGCTGCTGAACTGAACCGAAGCTTCCTCCTTCTCGCGACACAAACATCAACAAACCCCTTTGCGCGCGCCGCTCATCGTTGCCTGTCGCAAGCGCAAACCGCCCCAACACTTGATCCCGAGAAAACAAGAGCGCGCTTGTCTACAATACTCCTCCTCTACATCTTTGGGGCTGGGGTTTTCCAAGACGCCTACACTACACCAAACATTTTACGACCGCTCTGAAGACTGCGACCAGCGCTTCCAATCAAGATGCTGCTACCTTCAGCCTTTGGTAGCGACTTGTCGCAACTTCCACAGACACGACCTCAGCATGCTCTCTTCGTCTCACCTCCTGCCAGTCCTAAGCAGGCGCCTGCTTCAGCCGAGTTCAACAACCTCTTCACCACTTCTCGGTCTCTGCAATTTCTCATGACCTCCTCCGATCCGTTCCTCGAGCACAGCGCCATGGGTGCACCGATCGCAACACAGCCCGTTACTCCCCACACAATATCCCAAGGGCAACTGCCCACCCCGCCCATGTCCCACGCGATGCCTCCAGTCAAGCTACGTCTGCGCGCAAGAAAAACCTCCGAGTCATACGGGTCTAGGAATGCCCATCAGCCTTCCCAGCGCAAGCGAATTATCAAGCGGCCACCTCCGCTAAGGCTCCACCGCGCATTAGACGACAGGCGTGGGAGAGAAGAAAATAATGAACAAGACTCAGATCTATACGAGGATCACGAGAGGGACCAGCGCGACAATCAGCTGCAACATGCTCAACAGCAATCACAACAACAAAGAGCGACGACACCTCTCGCAGCACCCCAGTTCCTCCCACCATTCGGCAGCCGACCGCAAACTCCCCCACGGTCGCGCATAGCTCCAGAAGTCATCCCTCTCGGGCTCGGCCGTTCGGATTATCACGCGCTCCACGCCGACAACGCAAAGAACGAGCGCCAACAAGCTACCGCGCCAGGGACAGACGTAGTGGTAGAGGCCAACGGGGAGCCGTGGAGCTCGGAAGAGGATCGCATTCTGGTCGAGCTAGTGCTAGACAAGCTCAAGCTTACAAAATCCGATTGGCAAGATTGCGCGCGCAGCATGGGCAAGGATCGCAAAAGCGTCGGCACGCGATGGAAAAGCTTGATGGTCAATGGAGACGTGGGCCTCAAGTCCAAGAGCAGTCGACGGAGCGGGATTCACGGGACTTGGCGTTGAAATGATTCCCATGTTTATTTTCATTTCCCCTTGTCATATTCCTTGCCACTACTAATCCCTGCCGTGGGGCCTGATATATCCACGTTGCTATTTTTGCTTACTACTATACTCGTCAGCGTGGGAACTCAAGGCGTCTAGGGAAATGAGGGCAGGCAAGTCATTGCGAGTGTATTACACCCATGGGATTGGGACCATTTACACGGGCATTTTCGGGGAGTTGGAGGTACACCTTTTTGCTGCCATTACAATCTTGCTTTTGAAGGAAACTGGCCAGCGAGCGTTCATGGATGGGGCGTACATACAATCTGACACCAGGCAGATCAACCACACACACAGATCTGTTTACTACTTATTAGAGCTATTTGGACAAATCATGGCTGGGAGATGGTGCTACTATGCTGTGTTGAACAACAACAACAACAACGCGCAATCTACGTTGCTTTTTGATTCAGACATCTGTCATTCAATCCCACTGTGCCGCGCCTTCATGTTTACAACCATGTTTTACCAACACGTTGCTCCGAGTTCAGATCCAGCTCGTTATGGTGACTCAGCGGTTGTTGGCTTTGATATGATGTTGGTGAGACGTCAAAACACACTTCATCCACCAAGCCATGTTCTAGTGGACTGCCTGCCAATCTTCGAAACCGATTCTGGATCGCAGGCAAGGGATGAAGTTGGTGGTACAGTACCTGGCTGAGGCTGGATCACCCACCAACCACATAATGTACCTACAAGCCCGGTGGTCCCTAGCGCCATGGAATGCGCGTCGTCTTGCTTGCTCACTCACTATTGATTCGTTTGTTTGTTTTCACTTTTCACAAATATCAGGGACCATCGGTTAGGCTACATGGCTCCCGCTAGGTAGTTCGTTGAATCCTGAGGGTGAATAAAGGAGCCCTTTCTTTTCTTTTACCCCTGGTGGTTAGGGGTACTAGATCTAGACCACGGGAGAGAGGTATGTGGGAACATCATGTCATGATGCAAACACGGCAAATTCCTTTGATGATAACGAATAGGACCCTTGTTGGTGATGGTGATGGTGATGGTGCCTCCCCAGTTGCCGAAGGGGAGTCAAGGGAAGAGGACTAACTAACGGGTGGCGTTGGGAGGGTCCGAAGGGAAGAACCATTGTGCGGTCAAGACTGTTTGAAATCCTAGCACCAACCGCTCGACAGGCCAATAACGGCTTTTCACTCTCCCTTCGTTCCCTCCTTGCTCTGGACAATCGTCTACTTCCCTAGGAAATTCAACAGAGGCGGAGCGAATGCCCGCGTGAAGAGAAAGAAAACTAGTAAACACTTACCCATGTCCATCCCCTCCCTTGTCTTTCTTGTCTCGCGCTTATCGGCAATCTCTCCCGTTCGTTTACCTGCTCTTCCCTTCCCTTCCCTTTACCCACGGACCAGGTTTATGTTTCGGGTTTTTACCATGTTTCACGTTCACACTCTCCACTGGGTGCCGAGTTGACGGGTTCTTGATAAGACATGGAGGAAGTCCTCGGACTGAACTAGTTATGTCTCGCATCGAATAATCAGATCCGATGTTGATGTAATACCTCCCTTGAGGCGTGATATCGGGCAGCAGTGACTGTTCGACGGGATGGATGTCTTGGCTACACTTGGACTTTTCAGCTAACAGTTAACATGATCTGGCGAGGTGAACGAACACGTTAGTACCTCTACTAGGGGTGTTGTTTATTTGCCAGCATTGGGTTCCTTTCTGCATCGATCGCGTAGCAGATGATTAAGAAGAAGTTGCTACATACAACAACATTCTACATATATGGGGGGCATGGCAGACTCTGCAGAGATCTCGAATCAAAATCAACCCCCATTGAGCCCGTCGATATGTTCGTACGGAGAAAACTAGGTAACCACTCTTTGATCACATCAAGATCAACAATCAGGGTCTTAAGTTATGGTGCAAGAGGGTACCGGAGAGTACCTAATATGTCCAGATCAACCATTCCCCAACCCATCAAAAAAAGCAAAAAAAGCCAAGTCGCCCAGGTAAGCTTGTCGAACATACGTCAACGCCCCAGCTTGCTGCAAGACTTTACGAAGACTGCCGCCGCGCAAGTTTTCATCAATGGGAACCACTGCGCCATAAGACCACAGCAGGTCCCGTTGTGGTAGAGCGGTTAGGTAACGGATTTTATATACCCGCTGGTGCCTAGGCCTGGTCCGCGGGGCGGGCGTCATGTCGTCTGATGTCGGGGGGAGGGACGTGCAGGCCGGAGGACGGCGGCGGCAGGGACGGTGGCAGGCACATACACAGTAGTACCGTACGCAGCCTGCATTGCTGTGGGCTTGCACGGGAATGAATGCCTTGGACATAGCCAACGACTCACCATACCCCATATCAGCTACGTCTATCAAGCATCTATCTATCTACGAGAGGCCACGACGCTTTTTGCGTGTCCAACTCGTGTTGCTTGTCTAAGCCGTACCTACAATGGTGTCTGAGCCTCCATTCTCATTCGCCATGTCGGACTTGTTGGTTTTCGAGGTGTTCGTAATAATCCTGTCTGCAAGTTGAACAGCCGGGACAAGGGGGTCGGTCCTCGAAGCACACTGAAGATCTTATTATGGGTGGGATTCATCATTCTTCCTGCTTATAGCTCAACATCACTGGTACCGCCGCAACAACCAGGGGAAGAACCTATTCAAGCGTAGAGTTTCTATATCCTTGCTTCATCCTCAAGTCTAGCAGTCGGATGGTCAACTTGCGCCAATCACCCCTAGAACAATATCCCAGAATCAAACCACCCCATCCTCTCAAGCAAAGACAACAAGTTCCATCAGCCAGCCCTTTCTTCCTTCTTTCGAACATCCTTCTCCCATAACAATTCTCACCCACCCTCGCCCTGACCAAGAGCAATGCCACCCACAACTCCACCAACAATCCAAATCCTCCCCGGCTACCAGCCCGGCATCCCCAGCCGCACACTAGAGATGCACATGGATTTCTGCGCCCCCCCCTCGCCGGGTGAGTCCGCACCTTCGAAGCTCAGCTCAGCTCGCCGTCGCTCTTAGCCCGGTGCTTAAGCGGCTGGACGGCGTGGATGAGGACCCTGAGGACGCCGCCGCCGATAATGGTGCCGATGGTAAAGTGAAGCCGCTCACACACAAAAGAAACCAAGTCTGGTCTGCCATCCTAAAATCCCAAGACGAAAAAGAACAACGGATAGTAGGCGTCGTCTACATCAGCGGTGATTACTACCGCTTTGGGGGGAGCATAAAGAGGAGAAAGGAGAAGAAGATGTGTGTTGGCTTAGGTGTCTTATTGTCGATGACTCGGTGCGCCGGGGGTTGGGCGTTGGAGGTAAGCTTTTTGCGGCGGCCATGGCGTTCGTGAAGGAGGTGGGGTTTCGCGAGTGTAGGTTGGCGACGTCGAGGGAGTTGGAGGCGGTGAGAAGGTTGTATGGGCGTGGTGGGTTTGTGGTGGTGGTGGAGGAGAAGAGCGAGGAGTATGTGAGGGAGGATGATGGGAGGAAGCAGATTTTTGAGAGGATGGAGTATGTTTGGCGGAGGGATGGTGGTGGTGGTGATGGTGGTGATGGTACGGAGGAGAAAAAGGGGGCGGACACCGGGACCGAAATGGTTGTTGGTTAAGGTTGATGTCTTGTGCTTACATCGGTGGTACCGTCATGTTATGTGCTCTCGTAGCATTGTTATATCTGTAGTGCCGACGAGAAGGTTCGAGAGGCTGGCACATGAGATGCCCGGAACTTGGAGATATGAAGGATGTCCTCACCAAAAGGATGAACTAGGTGCTTCTTCCACTGCTTCATATGTGTGGCCAACCCACGCAACACCTCATACCCAGTAGACCCTTGCCAGCACCCATCTCAACGTCCACCAAGCTCCCCATGTCGCAACCATGCCCGAAAGCACAAGACCCGCGACCACAGTACGCCGCATCTGAAAGGCGTCATCGGCTTCCATGGCCATGAGTTTTCGCTGCTTGCTGTGATAATAGCCGTCCTTGTCCTCGACTGGTTTGCCGTTCTCGTCGACGGCAGTGTACTGGTATGGCCGATACTTGTACACTATGCGATGAAGCCATGGAGGCAGCCTGCTAGGCCGTCTTTCGGCGTGATAATGAGAGCGGTGCATGGAGTACTTCAGGTCGACAATGGCCAATGATAGGATGAAGGATACGAAGATGATCGGGGTCATGACCACCTGGAGGTTCGTGTTAGTCGATTTGATATGGACAGTGCGCATGGTGTCACTCGTTACGGTACTCACCTTGTATAGCGTAGACTGGCCGCTGATGTCGGGCTTTGCATCGCCTCGATTGCCACTGACGGGCACTGGAGGGTTGACCATGGTGTATCGAATGCCGGATGCAGGATTGAATAGTTGTTATATGCGGGTTGTCTGAGATGATGGCTTTGAAGCTCGATGATGCAGCTTGGAAGCACGTCAAGGATGTGAAAACGCAGGTACCCGTGCTGTCAACGGCTTCTCAGCGCAATGTTCTGGATAAAATTAAGATTCTAAGCTAGCGTGTCGTATGTGGAGTTGATGCTGAGTTGATGCTGAGTGACGTTATGTGTTGGTTGTTGTGTTGTGAATACTTTATACTGCATAATTTGCTAGCGAATCTGTCCTCTTGCTTCGATACAATGATACCAAACTGCCGCCCATCAACAAGCATTCAGGTCTACGACTTTCCACGTACCTGTTGACGCAGATATGACACTGATCACCGCAAGCAGGTATGTACGTTTTTTGCTTATGGGCTCGATGCAAATCAAAAACAACCTAGGACTGAAGAAGCAATCGGATGAGAGACCGGTACATGTTATGCTTGGCACGTCCGGGTCTGATCGGCCTGAGCCGAGAGATCTCGGCGCCCCCGGGTGCCAGATCATCGGGAGGGGAACGGATGAGCGTCGAACGTTGCGGGTGGGCCGAATCAACGTCACAGGTGCCATTTTCAAAATGCCGTCATTCAATAAGAAGCATATGATTGATTTCATTCCTCTCTCATTTGTAGCTAACGAAACCAACGCCGCTTCCTTGTTTTTATTTGCTTGCCGCCTGTGCATTTAGGGGATGGCAATGCACTCAATCTCAACATCGACACCCTTGGGGAGCTGGTAAACAGCAACGCAGCTGCGAGCAGGCTTGTGGGTGAACCACTTGGAGTACTCCTCGTTCATGGCCTGAAGAGCGTTTAGTAAATCACACGGTCAAATGAAGACGAGACTCAGACTGAGTAAAGACTTACAGCAAAGTTGCTCATGTCGGTAAGGAAGGCATTGACCTTGACGACCTTCTCGATGGAAGAGCCAGCGGCCTCAAGGACAGCCTTGAGGTTCTTGATGCAGGCGGCAGTCTTCTCCTGGATGGTACCCTCGACGAGGTTGCCCTCAGAGTCACAGGGGATCTGGCCAGAGCAGTAGATGGCAGTGGGGGTCTTGATGGCGTGAGAGTAGGGGCCGGCAGCTAGATACAGTTCAAGACAGGTTAGTCATGACCGAACTGGTGAGTCTTAATACAGCTCAGAGCACGTACGAGGAGCGGCGTCCTTGGAGAAGACGGGAGTGGCAGACATGGTGACTGTGCGGTAGAGGGGCTGAACGGAACTGGTTGTTCTGAAGATGGCGGCGGAGGAGAAAGTAGACGGTGAAAAGATCACTCTGGAAGCACGTCTGGCAGCAATGGCAAACATTGAGATGGAAAAACAATTTGTGGGTCACCAGCTGCTATGTGCTATTCGTCTACAACTGCATATTCATTGACACTGTGGATGCAGAGTCCAGTTCCTACCGATAAAATGTTGTTACAAAATGGAACCTCACCACCTCCGTTCTTCGGACTCACACTCTCTCTCTCGATTCTCAAAGGGTTCGTGGGGCATCAACCCCGCATTCCGTCGCCGGTTAGCAGAGGCCTTGTACCTGGTACTTGGGCCGGGCCGTACAGTTCACCCCTGGAAAGTTCGTTAGCGCGGGACTTCACTACGCACTCTTCGCAACTCAACCACCATTCCACCACATTTCATGCAAGAAGTTGGTATCAACCAGATGCGTTTTGGAGGCTTTATACACTTTATCCAATTTTCCTTTTTGAATGTGGTTGTCCCGTTGTTTTTCTGTGAAGTTTTGCAGACCCCTGTCACAAGAACCGCGCTAACAAACTTTTAAGGGTTGAACTGTAGAGGTGCTGCGACCTGTCGCGCCGAGATGAGCCAACACTCTCGGTCATTGCTTCCGCTGTCAAGCTGTGGAAGCTAAGGAGCTTGGACCATCCTCCAATTTCCGGGGAACAGCTTCGAGAGGACTGAAGTGTCCCTTACACCCCCTTGAAATTTCAATCCAATACATCGGGTTAGGGTTGACTGGCCAAAGGGAAGACGTCTGAGCCTCTGAGATAAAGTGTCCCCAAAAACAGCCAACCCCTGGGCCGCGTGTGGGTCCGCCGCTAGATTGAATGCCGCGCTGTCACGGTCGCTGGCCGGAAACGGCTTGAAAAGCTGCCACTTTACCTCACTCAGTTGTACCTCCTTACGTACCTCAACCTGCTGCACCTCACGCTCCTGCCTCCTGCAACCCTGCTCCTCTGCCCTCGAGCCTCTTGCTCTCTGCTTTGCGCCCCTGTCCGCCTTGTCGAGAGACGATTCAGCTGTCCGTTTCATTGGATCCCGTAGGGCCACCTTGTTCTCTGCAAATGCAACTTCCACCTCCCACCTTCTCTCGCGTCCGCCGTGGTTTAAGACGTCTGTTGTCGTCGGTGTGGCCGAAGCCTTCTTCTTTGTTCCCGTCACCAGTATTGTGCAAACACTCTATTACAAGGCAACGGGCCAGTTCGATCCCTCGCGTTTAACCGCCCAAGAGTACGGGAGACTTGCTCTTCACGGTACGTCATGAGGCTCCAGTCCATCCATCTCCGTTCTTTTAGTAACTAACACCATCAATCAATTTTTGAATAGGCCACGTCTGAGTCCATAACCACTTCGACCGGCCGCCATGGCCTCCACAACAGCAACCCCCGAGGCCACTCTACGCCAGAGGAACGTGCCAGCCTCGAGTAAGAAAGCCAAGAATGGCGTTTCTGATGATGTCGAGACCGACAAGGTTCCGAATGCCGTCGCTCCGGCCAAAGCCGGCTCCGAACTCGAATACAAACTTGCTCTTGGCCTCGTCACGGCCTTGGCCTTCCTTACCAGATTCTGGGGCATCAGCCATCCCGATGAGGTCGTTTTCGACGAAGTCCATTTTGGAAAGGTACCTTGATGACCCGAGTGCACCATATATCCATTGGCCATGGCTGACATGTGCCGTCACACAGTTCGCGTCCTATTATCTCGAGAGAACATACTTCTTCGATGTGCACCCTCCCTTTGGCAAGCTCCTCTTTGCCTTCATGGGCTGGTTGGTCGGCTATGATGGCCACTTCCACTTCGAGAACATCGGCGATTCCTACATCACCAACAAGGTCCCATATGTCGCTTTCCGCTCTCTTCCCGCCATTCTCGGTGCCCTCACCGTCTCGGTTGTCTATATGATCATGTGGGAGTCGGGTTATAGCCTTCCAGCTTGCCTGGTTGCCGCCGGTCTCGTCCTCCTCGACAACGCTCACATTGGCCAGACCCGCCTGATTCTCCTCGATGCCACCCTGGTCTTTGCCATGGCGTGCAGCTTGCTCTGCTACATCAAGTTCCATAAGCTGAGGCATGAGCCCTTCTCCAGGAAGTGGTGGAAGTGGCTTATCCTGACTGGCTTCGCCCTTTCTTGCGATATCTCCACCAAGTATGTCGGCCTCTTCGCCTTCATCACCATTGGCTCTGCCGTCTGCATCGACCTGTGGGATCTTTTGGACGTCAAGCGTCCCGGTGGCGCTCTGACTCTGCCCCAATTTGGCAAGCACTTTGCTGCTAGGGCTTTTGGTCTGATCATTATGCCCTTCATCTTCTACCTCTTCTGGTTCCAGGTTCACTTCTCGATCCTCAATCGCTCTGGACCTGGCGATGACTTCATGACCCCTGAATTCCAGGAGACCCTCAGTGACAACATTATGCTCGCCAACGCCGTCACCATTGATTACTATGACACCATCAGCATCAGGCACAAGGAGACCAAGGCCTACCTTCACAGCCACCCGGACAGGTACCCGCTGAGATACGACGATGGCCGTGTTTCTAGCCAGGGTCAACAGGTGACTGGCTATCCCTTCAACGATACCAACAACTACTGGCAGATTCTCCCCCCCGGCCCTGATGATCAGAAGCTCGGTCAGCACATCAAGAACCATGATCTCGTGAGGCTTCGCCATATCGTCACGGATACCATCCTGCTCTCTCACGACGTTGCTTCTCCTTACTATCCTACCAACCAAGAATTCACCACCGTCCCCATCGGAGATGCCTACGGCGACCGTGCGGCGGATACTCTTTTTGAGATCCGTATCGAGCATGGAAAAGCCAACCAGGAATTCAAGAGCATTTCCAGCCACTTCAAGCTGATCCACAACCCGAGCAAGGTTGCCATGTGGACTCACTCGAAGCCACTTCCGGAATGGGGTTTCAAGCAGCAGGAGATCAATGGCAACAAGCAACTGGCACAGAGCTCCAACGTCTGGCTTGTTGAGGACATTGCCTCTCTGCCTGCGGACCACGCGCGCCGTGCGAAGCCTGAGAAGAAGGTCAAGACCCTGCCGTTCCTGCGCAAGTGGTTCGAGTTGCAGCGGTCTATGTTCTGGCACAACAACCAGCTCACAAGCAGCCATCCTTATGCCTCTCTGCCGTACCAGTGGCCTTTCCTGTTGCGTGGTGTGAGCTTCTGGACGCAGAACGATACTCGCCAGCAGATCTACTTCCTTGGCAACCCCATCGGTTGGTGGCTTGCTAGCAGTGTTTTAGCCATCTATGTCGGCATTGTCCTGGCGGATCAGTTCTCGCTCCGCCGAGGGCTTGACGCCATGGATCGTCGTAAGTACCCTTGCATTCCTCGTTGTCATAATGACTGATATGAAACACGAAGCTAATCAGGACATACTAGGTACCCGATCCCGCCTGTACAACTCGACAGGTTTCTTCTTCCTCGCCTGGGCAACTCACTACTTCCCCTTCTTCGTCATGGGCCGTCAGCTCTTCTTGCATCATTATCTACCGGCTCACCTTGCCTCGGCACTTGTGGCTGGCTCGGTCGTGGAGTTCCTCTTCAGCACCGACTCGGCGGAGTCTGATTACCAGCCCAGCAAATCGGGCAAGAAGGTCGCCCCTACCACCAAGCGCCGCTTGAGTGCCCGCGAGCGTCTTGCTGGCCAGAGCATGGCTGGCGCCTGGATCGCGACTGCGGTCATCATGGCCCTCGTCGCCTTTGGCTGGTACTTCTTCTTGCCCTTGACCTACGGATATCCTGGTTTGACCGCTCCTGAGGTTAACCGGAGGAAGTGGCTGGGCTATGACCTTCACTTCGCCAAGTAGATCCGTCGTCACTTGACGGAACGGTGAAAACGTGTGCACAGGAGACTGTGAATGTACAGTAGTGTTGTGTCTGAGTGTGTAGAAATATAAAAAGGGGGAAGGTGGCGTGTAGGCGTTTCCAGTTTCAATCTGAGCACATCAAGGTGCGGACGAATATGGCATGCAAATCACAAAGCTGGGATTGATCTCAAAGTCATGTTACTTTCCTATGTCTTATACGGATTTAGAGCTATTCTCACCATAGATCAAAATCAAATCTGATTACCGCAATCTTGTGTTAGCAGGTGCCTTGTTGCTTACCGTGAGATCCTGAATCGACCTATATATACATATGTACCTTAGGGACAGAGTCACTGCAACAATTGACAGGTCATGGAAGAAGGAATGCGAATAGCTTGGATCATCTTCATTATTACATTATTCTATCCACCCATTTGTAACCGGGTCCATCAGAGCAACACGAGTTGTTCAAGCTCAAAACAACCTAACGGCTTCCAAAACCTACCGTGATATCCCACCACATCAACCACAGCCATCAAATTGTTGCGGAACGAACAACTCAACAATCTGTCTCTTTAAAAGCAAGTTAGCTTAAACAGTCCTCAAACAGAACAAAATCGCCGAGGTAACCAAATATTTGTGATGTGTTTGTATACTTCAGAAACCCAGTTTATAAGCACCACCAACCTCACCAGCCAGCACTACCCCCCATCCTCCAGATACCCGCGAGCACATGACGATGCAGGCGTTTTCCCCGAAGAGAAGTGGCTTTCTGGGACAAGCTTTTTAGATAGCGGGCCAGCCGAAAGGGATCTCCCCCCTGTTACAGGGCTCGAATCCGAGGAGGTTCATACGGCTCTTCCTATTACAAATATGGTAGGGTTGCAGCGCGAGCTGCGAAAATCATCATGGTATACGGGGGGGGGTTGGGTGGATGGATGGATGAGATGGGGAAGAGAGGAAAAGAGGAGGAAAAGTAGGGAACGTACCACTTGAGAGGTTTGAAGAGGGGGAAGTCGGTTCGGTTCGTATCGGGTTGGGTTGGGTTGGGTATCTGACGAAGAAGAGGAAGAGGAAGCAGAGGAAGACGAGATGAGGGAAGAGGGAAGGCAGAGTAATAACCGCCCCTGCAAGACCGAGCGAGCTCGAGTGAGCAGGCCAGGTCAGCGGGCAGCAAGCAAGTGCCGATTCCGATCCTCGATCATCCGTCTTCTCTGTTCCCTCACACTCTATCAGACCCAACCCGATCCGACCGACCGACCGACTTCCCAGCTGTGGTGCATGTGTCGCTGATGGTTTCAGTCCATGACCCCCAGATCAAGTCGCCGTGAGGCGTAAACCCAAACAGAAACCCTCAAAAAATTGCGCCAATTCGAGCGAGCGATCAAGCTATCGGTCGTTGCGTAGTGCGGAACAAAAAGCGCGGCGCCGCACTGGGAGGATGATTGCGTCGTTAATGGAAAGCGCTCGTTCGGTTCGCGACGTGCGAGGTCTGGAGGAAAAAAGTTTTGTAGGAGAGGAGATGCAAAACTGCAAAAGTGGCTCCTGCTCTAGGCTGGAAGGAAACCCCACCACAAGTTGCAAGGACTGGAGCTTCGTGCACGGACCATGATGGCCGAACGACCTCCGGCCGCTCCGCCAGCCGGTTTTAGTGGGGTTCTACCTGTGAGTGGAGCACAGATAACGGCGACAACGACCGTCGAGTCCGGCCGGGTGAACCGCGCGTGCAGGGGTCAACCAAATGGCCGTCAATGATCGGAATCATGATATCATATCTCTCGTTAGGGATTCGAGTACGGAGAGAAAGCAGAAACGAACAAGATCAGCAAGGGAAGTCACATGGAGTTGATACCGGTCGAGAGAATAACAACGCATTCGAGATATCGATGGCTACGGAAGAGACTACGAAACTACCACCATGCCATGTGCTGGTTCTAAACCTTGGGCAACCCCGGCTACTGTTCTTAGCACGCACCGCGATTTCAGCCATCTGGGAGAATATGTGAAGTGGTAAGGAGGGACTGTTTTTGCCTAGATAAATACAATAACATCATAACAGCCAAACACACCTCTGCCCTTCCTCCGCAAACGCGTCTTTGCATCTGCCACTTTCGAATGCCACTTGATCGTAGGCTCGCATTCATTACATCATAATATAACAGGAGGATATCAACTCCTTAAAATCGCTAAACCCCATTCAAACCCGCTGATAAAATCAAATTCCATCCCTCCTCCAGTAATCCATTGAGTAGAATTGACTGTCATATTCTCTTTCCATATCTTCATTTTTAGTATCGGCAGTGCATCCAAGTTTCCAACCTGTACTCTGTGGATGGGTCAAGGAGCCTCCAGGTCCAGTCGCGGGCATATAGCCTCATAGCACAGTGAATCGCGGTCTCCCCATCATGTCTGACTTAGAAGTAAGCATTCATGTCATGCGAAGTCCAATCACCTTGATAGGCGTGCAAGATATCCTGAGACGATGGCTGGGAATAGCCGGCAGCCATGCTCGGGATGTCCACGTTCGCGAAGAGCGATTCAGTGAACGTGGGTTTTGAGTAGGCGTCTGTGGTAGGAGGATACAAAATGAAATCTCCCGGGACGTTATTGCAGCTACCCATGGCGAAATCTTGATCCTCAAAGCCCTCATCAACTTCCCCCAATGAGGTAGGGGGCGTGAAGAGCATCGTGTTTCCTTGCCCGATGGGAGAAATATGGGCGGGATGTGGGTGGCAAAGCTCGGGTGCGGTGTACGCGCCGAGATGCTGTCCCATGTCTTTGGGGTAAAAGGGAGAAATGACTTGGTTGGGCAGTTGCATAGTCGCACCGTAGATGTCATCAATGAGCGTGAACTCGTTGAGATCTTGATACGCGGAATTGTGGTCCATGCCAGAATCCGTTGATGGAGTGCCGTTGTCGATGGGTGAATAGTCAAGCTCAAGCTGCTGTGGGATGGTGTTGAAGTTGAACTCGGGGGCATATGAAGGGAACTCAATGTTGGTCTGGTACAGCCCAGCGTTCCAATCATCAGAGGGAGTGGCGATGCTCATACTGCGGTCGCTCGAAGGGGTACCAATGTTCTGCAGCTGAGGAGTAGGATGGCCGGAATCGGGCCCCAAGCTGGGAAGCGTGCTGGGCTTCTTGCCATTGGTTTTGGTCCTAACGTACGTCCAGCCATGGGCCTTTTCCATGTGCTGCTTGCAGTTGGACTCGCGCTTGGACTTGTAGGGGCAAGGCTTGAAGAGGCACTCATACATAGGTGGGGCTGAGGAGTGCTTGTCGTTGTGGTGACGATCCATTTCCTTTTCAGTTGGCCAGCCGTACTCGTGGTACTTGCATGTCTTAACCGGGCACTTCCATGGTCTGGAATGTGTCTTCTCGTGCTTGGTCAGGTCACAAGGGCGCTTGAACTCCTTGTTGCAACCAGGCTCGCGGCATCTCTTCGGCGCCAGCTCCTCAGGGCTGGCGTTCTTCTTCCGGCGAGCCATGGAGCGCATAACCTCCTCTTCATCCAAAGCCTCCTCGCTTTGGGAGCGCTTGAAGTTTACTGGGGTTTCCGGCGCCTTGTCACAAAGGTCCACGGGCAATCCAGTGGCCAAGGAGATGGCCTGTCCGTTCTTCTTCACGCGGACCAGTTCCGAAAGCCTTCCGTTGATGTGAGGGCCACCGTGGATCTTGATTTGATCAGTGCTAAAGTAAATGTCAGCACAAGCCGCACAGTTGCAGGAGAAAAGAGAGTCGTACGGATCAATATCCATGTCATTGGCGCCATCCTTGGTCTTGTTGCTTTCCGCAATCTGCCGAGCATAGTTGTAGAATTGATCGACGAGATCAACAAAATATCCATTGGTGTAAGGGAGATCGCGAGGGCGAGTCAACTCGCGGTCGCCGAGGTGCTGGACGGTTGCCTGGAGGCAGTCAATTGTCGTGAGACAGAAATCGAGGTATGAGCCTGCAGCTTTGGTCCTCTCCTTTAAGAGTAGCGCACGGTAAGTATTCATCCTAACGTCCAATGGATCAACAGATTCGCTTACCGGAGCCACGAGAATCAAAGTCTTCTCGAGATCTCTTAGGCACAAAATCTCCTTGTCCTGAATCTTCTTGGGGCACTCGAGCACAAGCGAGTGAAACTCTTTCAGAGCCGGCTTTGCAAGCAGAGGCTTCAAGATGTATTCAACGATGCGGTTGGTAGCACGGTCACTAAGGCCCGGAAGATCGAGTGTTGATGTTGCGCGAGCGGCGGCGGATCTGGTGACAGCCGAAGTCCTCGTGGTCTTGGCCTTGAAAGAGGCATCCTTCTCGGAAGTAGAAGCAATCGAGCTTCCTAGACCGCTGTCTGAATCGTGGTGCCGAGATGAGCGGCGTGTCCGTGGACGGAGCGTTCGGCGCTCCTGCTCAACCTCCTTGGGCATGATGGGCGAATCCAGGTTTCTCTGAAGGAGCCCACGAGGCGGGGGAATGCACTCGCCACTTTGCTTAGCCGAGACAAATGTGTCGTTCGAAGAGGCCAATTGCCTCTCGATGGCGTCCAAAGTTAGGGCAACACGGCGACAGCGGGAGTCGATAACATCGTCCAAGTTGGTGTGGGAGCGGCGAGGGAGCGACGGCGGGACGAAGACGCGCTCAGAAGAGTCCCCAGAGGCGGGGGTGGCGGGAGAGTGGAAAGTAGCTCCCTTTTGTAGGAGCATGTTGGTATTGAGGGTCAAGCCACCCGCTGGTCTCCTGCGAGGGTTCGACATGTTTGCTGTGTTGTGTGGAGTTGATGGGCTATGTTGTCGACTGTTTTCTCTGGTCAGTCCATGAACTCGCGAAAGCGTGTAAGCTAAGGATGGGCGTGGGAGACCGAGGACGTCGAGTGAGTCACTACACCGGATGCATCACAATGATATCCCACACTCTGTTTCCTCCTATCAAGACGAGGCAGGACAGGATTGGCCAAGGGCTGTGGAGGTGGATGTCGGGGCGGGATAGTTGCCAGCAGGCGGGTTTTATCTTACTTTGATGAGATATCACGAGCTGACAAATACCTGGCAGCCCGGCGACTTCGACTCTGGAATCGCGGACGTTGAGGTTCACGATAGCAGGCGATGGAGGCGGCGATCCGAACAGGAGAAAGATGGATCCTGGGGAAAGGTGCGATAGCGTAGAGGTAAAGGGTTGGGTATCGAATTGGTATTCAGGCTTGGTATCAATAGCAGGCTATGTTTGCTGTACTTGGCTAACAAGTCGGAATTGTCGTTCAAACTGTGCTGAATGGGGACAATAGCACTAGTCCGAATGACCCGGGGAAGAAACACCAGACGAGAGCAACAGGCAGGAGAGAGAGAAAACGGGATGAAAGGAGGACGCTGTGGTGGATGGCCAGGGAGGAAAAGGGATCGCGGACGGCGCGGAGTCGAAGCTGGGGAGAGGATGGGTGATGAGAAATGGAGAATGGAGCGAGGCCGAACGTTGCTGCCTGCTGACGGACCAGGGTCCGGGTGGGTCAAGCGGCGCAGCTCCACGCTAGCGTCCCCGCCATTGGATGGAAGTGGTTTGAGCGCGGATCCTTCCTCTTGCTCTTGCCCACGCCAGCGCCTGTGCTTGGGCTTGGGGCCTTGGGGTGTTCACGGTGCCAATGCCACACTCGATTTACCTACCGTTGGTTTTCGTTCCAGAGGCTGTTTGCTGCGGCGTTGATCATGATGTGTGATGCCGGTTAGGCGATGTTAAAGCGAGACATCGACGGCTTGTCTCCACTGTGCTTACTCTGAGCCAATCGTATTCAATCAAACATCTCAGCTCCACCGCAATGTGTCCCTGATTCTCCGATGACCAACCCAAATACCCATGTCAGCCCTGTCTGGATGCACCTCACACGAGTCTTCCAAAAGTCTTCCACTACCAAAACGAGGACTTTTCGCAGGGCTATCCCAAGAACCGGGAAAGTCGGCATGGGCATGATGCCAACGGTGAGCTCTTTGTCTGCTGCCCGTTCGTCATTCTCAATTTTCCGTTACTGAGGACGCGTAGGGGTTGACGACAAACGCTCAAAGGAAACCAGAAGATCTCAAGAATAGGACTCTGTTGCTTGGGGGGGTCACCAGCCGACCTCTCTGGAAACGCAGGACGACCTGGACGGATAGCAGACGATTTGCGGTTGCGGTTTTGAAGTCCGGGGTATCCCTTTCCCCCACGGCCACTTGTCCACTGCCTGTCCTATGAGGCCATAACCCATATCCTCCCAATCAAGGGGAAGGTGAAGGCGGCGCAGGACATGGCCACGATCAGTGTTGCAACAGTCACTATTCAGGCATGTTTTGGCGACTCCAGTCCTATAGCATGTCCAGGACAGCTCATCTCGACGAGTGTCGGTTTGCGGAGCGCTCCAACATCGTGGTGTAACATCGCGAGTGTCTTGCTGGTAAACCCCCAGGCGCTGAGCCACCGCGGTGGGCGGGCACGAAAGTCGGCGTCCCAAATAGGATGTCCGCCCCTGTGAGAAGTTCCGAGTCTGATTTGCTGACGGTCCCAAGTTTCCTAGTGCCATCCAATCATTGTGTGTGTCTGCGCAACATCGTCTCATGTAAATCTGCCCCAGTAGAACTTTGCATATCGAGAACGCTAAACGGACAGGGGAGGAAATGGGCCCCCAATCTGAGCCGCTGCGTCTCGAAACCTTTGCCCCCCAGCCTGAGAGAGATGAAGAGGACAGGTCGGGCATTGACTCACAGACGATCATTATCGTACGGCTTTCCAGTTCTTTCCCGTCATTGTCGTTACTGTGGGCCTTCTTTGACAAGATGCTCTCTGTCTACATTCAGACATTGGCTACGGGGGTTCGGGTGGTTCAATGTGTAGTTCCTTCCCCAGACCAGCCATCTTGGAAACTGCAGAATTGACGAACTGGCGGGCTGAGCTTCTACCTCTGGGATGATCTGGAGGCTGCACGCCGCGGTTAAGCCACATCATGAAGCTGATTGGCGCAGGGGGGGTTGTGAGCGCAAGCTTCACCCCGTTATGATCTCCTCCACCATGATGATACTATACCCCACCCAGCACCCTTCAGCCCTATGGACTATCATCGAGTTGGGCTTCACGACATGTGTAGGACACCAAGGCCCTGTCATCCGGTCTATGTACATACGTACCTACATCAGGACACATACACCTTACAGCCGTCCAGTTTACAGGCATACGTATGCTGTGATATGCACATATGTTCACCACTGACGAAGCCGCTTGCAGAGATTTAAGGGCATGCATATGTATTGACGAATGAGAGCAGAGAAAAACTGGAAGCCTCGAGATACACATTGTGGTTACCTAGATCCAACCCCCACCGCTCGCTACTAGTACACGATTAATACGCCGGCAAGGCTTCGATCTCGTCAACGGCAGATCGTGGTCTAGCATTTAGCGACCGGCTAACTCTAAATCATCCCTGCCTTGATCGAGACCATTGGATGACGGATGGAAAATAAACGTCTCACACACGGCAGGGGGAGAGAACGGGACTCGCCATCCATTGACGTTACAGGACATCTATGATATAAACCTATTGTGGATTTTCGACGAAGCCGCTTGCTTGTTCTCGGCTCTAGACTACGACTACGTGGATCAAACGACGCTTCAGACGCCTGATCTAACCTTCAGGCAGCTGTATTCTTCTACAGCCCGAGGTATCCCCTCACCCGACTCAGAAAGCGGAGAAAGACACTCCTCATATGGGGGTGGAGAACGCGGATCGTGGACGGTGGACATTGGCGAGATGGGATATACCAATGGTACGTTTCAGCGTGCTACTCTTCCTCCTCCACCTGGAATGACAAGAGAAAGCTTCGGGAGTGGTGGTCGGCGTCGCGCCGTCGGCGAGATTCGGTGAATATCCCGCTTCGACTCGTGAGCTATCATCGAGGTTGGACGGCCCTTCACATATCTGTTGAACTTCTCAATAGGCAGCATTTGTAGTACTTCCCCGTACAGCCCGTAAGAGCTTGAGCACTTGGCACTTCTGCCACGATTATTGTTGCTGTTGTTGTTGTTGTTGTTGTTGTCGGTATTTTTTCGGCGTTGTTTACGCTGCTTCTGCTCCAAGACAGTCCAGCCGTAGCTCTTGGCTGCCAAGGTGGCCTTTCTCCGGGCCTCGTTCTCTAACATCCTGTCGCGCATCTGGCAGACTATGCACCGGCTGGTTTTGATGCTCTGAACGATCTCGCACGGCTTCTTCCAATGAGAGGAGAGGAAGAACAGGCGCCATCCCTTTGGCTCGTCAGTGTCTCGCCTTCGGCGGCTTTTTTGTATCTCACGTTCTTTGTGTTGACAGCAAGGGGTAGAACAAGTCCAGACTGCTAGAGATCCTTGGATAGGGTTGTCATTAAGGGCCTTGGTGAGTTTCATTCTCGCCTGAATGTTCGTAGGGGTAAAGTAAAAGGAGACGAGGTCGAGGTAACGTGGGATGACTTTGAGGTAATGGACGGTATAGAGGGACGTATATCATTGACCAGATTATGTCCAGCAACTTTGCTGACGAAGAATATGATTTGTTTTATAGCGCCCTAGAGCATCTGTCAACAGATACCGATGACAAAGAACTACGCCCGGATCAAAGACCTGTCCTTTGACCACATACATTTTTAGAAGTGGACAATTACTTTGTCGTCATAAGAAGATATTCCAGAACAAGAGAGTTGTTTCAAATCCTGAATCTGGGGTTATCCATTGTTCGATCCGCATTACGTGGGTTAAGCAACCGAATTTTCAGGGAGGTTTAAAGGCAGCCTCTTGGTCTCTATGACACTTCACCACCTTTGTTATCCATCAAACTTACGCCCTTAACAGGCATGAGGACAATGAAGCCACTTAATAAACAGAGGCTGTGCTGGGGGGAAAAAACGTACGTAATTACTGGTCGACTAAGAAATACATAACAAAAACCATCCACCAAAGACGTTTGCGTGCAACGCTATTATCACTCGGCCACTTCAACTCGAAGGCTCGTCAATCTGTCAAACAGGAATAAGGGCCTCGCAGAGTGAATGGGCAACCCGACAAGTACCCATTCGAAATTTCTGTTATGGGATGCACGCCGGTGCCCAAGTTCCGCCGCATTGGGCGTGTAACTGGGAAGAGACGCCCAGGGCAACCTGAAATAGGTAAAGAGATATGCGCAAGCGAGCCACCGAGCAACTTATCACCATTCCCACTAAATTTGATGTTTTTCGTGGTTGCAACATCCCCGATCCACTCAGGTCTCATCCTCCATTCGCCGAACAACCGAAGGACTTTACACAGGATTCGGATATTGCTGAACCTGAACAGGCAACATATGAGGCATACTCTGCCGCTTTCCACGCCGGGCCCAATTCCGACGAGCAGACAACAACAAAAAAAGATAACACAAACGACTCATCGGACTCGCAGAGTTTCTGGCTATCTTCTTCCTCTTCCTCATCCTCTTCTCACCTGCCATCATCCTCCTCATCTTCCTCCATCACTCTCTCATCACCCTCCACACTTCACCCTCACTACCTCTCCCCAACCGGCCTCTCCATCCTAAATCGCATCCGCACCCATCTCTGCCTCCCACCTCATCTGCCACCTTCACACTTGATCGTCCATCTTATCAGGCGATGGGAAAGAACTCGAGTGGCCGTAGCAGAAAAACACGCGGAATTGGCCGCACAAGCTAACGCATTGGACTGGAGCGGGGTCTAGGAAGAAGAACCGGTAGAGTTTCTCACTTATGAGGAAAGGGATGTGTTGAATACGTGGGCGGAAGCTCAGAATGATATGGAGAATAGGGGGACATGTCCGCTTTTCGGGGTCTGGGGATACTGAAATAGGCAGCGTTGACCAAGTCGGAAAAATGAATGGGGTGAAAGTGACACGGGAATAAGCAAAGGGAACAAAGCAGAAACATCTTGGTGCGGATCCGGCGCAGGCTGACTCGTTACATAGACTAATTAATGTTGACTGTCTTCTTCGATGCAGCTGTTGTTCCTCTCGGACCCGAAACCCGCACCCGGTCAGCCCGGGGAGTGTAACGTCGGGAATGAAAAGCGGGGCTGGTCAAATGCCAAGTCCCGTTCGTGGAAGCGGCGGAGTGGGGCACACACGGCGTGCAAGCTCCGGGTCATCCCGCGTGGGGCCAAAGTGCCCACTGTCTCCCGTCATAACTAGTGGTCCATCGGTCTGACGGGACCTGTCCGTTGTCAGTTACGAAATTTACCGTCAGATTCATGCAAAAATGGCGATACTTTCGTAGCTTACCGTACACGTGATGGCTGTCCAGTGTTTTGGGTACCGTATGCCACCCCTGAGCACCGGCTTGACAGGCATGGCAGGCTGCTTTGGCGGGCGTGCACGGACTCATGCACGGGCCTTGAATTAGCGTAATTTTCAGAAAATCGTCAGGAAAGGTAAGAATGTCATTTTTTCGGTTCCTATCGATCACTAGTCATAACAGCACCGGTGGGTCTGTTCTACTCGTACCTGCTTCTTGATTTCAAGTCTCGCGCTCTCTTGGCTCTCTTGGCTCTCTTTCCCATCGAGATGCGACACGAACGGGAAGCTACGCCTTACCGCACACCTACACATTTGAGGACTGCCGAAGGCGGTAAAACGACAGGCGCGGTGCAGCACTTGGCTGTTCATCCGATTAGCGATGACCCTTTGATGTCGTCATCGATATTGACTTCGGTCTCTTCCAGCAACAGGCCAATACGTCATAGGCACATAAGTAAACAAAAGCTCACGATGTGATCTATAAAAGTGAAAACGCATTTTCAAACACTCCTCTAATTGATTCATATCCTCCAAACACCTGAATTACTTCAACTCTCTGCAATCAGTCACCGAGAAAATCAACCGAGGAACCCAACCCGAAAACTCTAGCTGAATCACCAGATATCGGACAAAATGACGGACAAGGGACAATTCGAGAGTGGTGAGTTTCTTCCATGAGCATCGACTTGATGTACGAACATGCTCTGACACACTCATCTTTTTCGGCGATAGGCCACAGGATCCCGGTCTCTCATCAGAGCTTCCCCGGCAAGGAAACCGAGATGCCGAACCCGCAGCCTCTGTGGGATGAGATTCCAACCGCTGACGGGAAGAGCCAGAAGTACCGCGCTGCCGGCAAGCTCAAGGGCAAGAAGGCTATCATCACCGGAGGCGACTCTGGCATTGGCCGCGCAAGCGCCATCCTCTTTGCCATGGAGGGAGCCGACTCACTCATCGCATATCTTCCCGAAGAGGAGGAGGATGCGCAGGAAACCAAGAGAAGGGTCGAGGCGTACGGTCAGAAGTGCTACTTGGTCTCTACGGATCTTCGCGACAGGGAGAACTGCAAGAAGCTGGTTGACGAGGCTGTCAAGATCTTCAACGGCCAAATCGACATCCTCTTCAACAACGCCGCCTACCAGATGGTAGTCGATGACATCAAGGACCTTTCAGAAGACCAGTGGATCAACACCTTCAACACCAACATTCACCCTTACTTCTACTTGGCCAAGTATTCTCTGCCACACATGAAGCGCGGAAGCACCATTATCAACAACGCCAGCATCAACGCCTACGTCGGTCGTCCCGACCTTCTCGATTACACTTCCACCAAGGGCGCAATCGTGGCCTTCACCCGCGGTCTGAGCAATCAGCAGGCTCCCAACGGTATCCGCGTCAACGCTGTTGCCCCTGGACCCGTTGTGACACCTCTCATCCCATCTACCATGAAGGATGAGAACCAGAAGCAGTTCGGATCCACCCCCTTGGGTCGTCCTGCTCAGCCAAGTGAGGTTGCTACTGCAGTGGTCTTCTTGGCAAGCGAAGATAGCAGCGCTTTCAGTGGTCAAACGCTGCATCCCAACATGGGAACTGTTGTCAGCGGCTAAGTCGAAGACCGTGGTCAGTCACCAAAAGAGAATCCGGATGAGTCGACGTTGTATTATCATGGGCCCTGGTTCATGAGGAAGGGTGAAGAAGACAACCTGAACGGCGTGGGACTCGGTTGTTTGAGGAAGGATAGGTGGGATGAGAAAGGTATCGACATTCACAACGACACCTCTTGATAACATCGGTTTGATTCAACTCCCACCGGAGATCCACATCGTCGATACATTCCTAGAAGATCCAATTGGTATTACACTCGGATAGTGAATGGTATCGATACTATCCATTCACTCCGAGAAAATAAGTAGCATAGCCTGGCGTAATGAAAAGTTTATTAATATCACCTGCTACCTTGGCTCTGTTCTCACAAGATACGACAGTCTATATCTCCACTGAGCAAACCCACAAACCCATATCATATAACTTCAGGATGCTGATTAGTCCCCCTTTCCCAGGCGTGGTTAACATAGGAATACCCGTCTTGGTTGCAATTCTTACAGTCCCGACACTCAAACACCTGCTGGCCAGGAAGAGGAGTCTTGCAAGAGGATATGAGCCAGTTGGTGGAGATGTGGCCGGTACAGCACACTATCAAGACCGGAATGGTGAAGCAACAGAGGCATCGACTAAGGCCTTTAGGGATTTCCGCTCTATGCTCACGCTTTGGTTAGGGGTGCTGATAAATCTAGGAGCATCCATTACGGTCGAACTGATGGCCTACTTGAATTTTAAAGGCTCCAGAATGGTCTATGCACAAGCATTAGTTTTGGACACACCCAGGCTATCATCATGGGGAGAGATAGTATTGGCTGTATGTACCTACTCATCAAGGTTGAACAAGAGTCAAAAGAGTTTAACGCAATTGTTTAGGGCCTTTTGTATTTGCAATGCGCCTTTCTTCCGCCCAAAAGCCACTACCGAACAAGATTTCATATGACCATACTCGGCTTGATCTCTTCATTACTTCTGACAGGCTTGCTGTCCTTCAACCACGGCTTCCAAGTGATCGGGTTGCTCATCGGCAGAGACATGCACAGCAAGACATTGGCGATTCTCCACGGCATTCAACTTTTCTCGGTTCTCATTGTGGTAGTGGCCTTTGCTTCATTTCCTCGACGCCCAGATATCTACCATAAGGAACAGCTTGTTGACCAACAAAAGGCGGTGTCACTACTTTCTCTGCTGTCGTTCTCCTGGAACCTCAACATCTTCAAGGCCGCAGAGGAGAGGCAACTGGGAACGGCAGATCTGCCCAGGTTAGAGTTCATCACGCGTTCAGAGAATATCCAGCAAAATTTCACCGAAAACAAAAAGCCGGGCCGTTTCTGGCAACAACTGCTCAGGTTCAATGCGCGCAACTTGGCACGTCAATGGGCATTGGCCTTGTTGATAGCCATCTTGTCGATATTTCCCCAGATCGTGCTCTACAACTTCATTTCCAAGATAGAAAAGGGAACCCAGCAGCACTCGCCCAAAGACCCCATGTTGCTGGTCTGGGCACTTGCTTTGTTTCTTACACAGGCACTGCAAGTTGGTGCCACGAATTGGCTGAAATGGATTACCGAAAGCAGAATGGATATTCCCCTTGAGTCGTTGGTGCAGACTCTGGTGTTTGCCAAAGCTCTCAAGCAGTACGATACCGTCAGTCCAGGGCAAGACGGTAACGGCCAGCCGGACGCTATGCTGAAACCCAAAAAGAAGAAGGATGGGGAGAAGGGACAATCGGCCTACAACCTGTTAAAGGTTGACAGGTGAGTGACATACACCTGCCATTTTCACATCTATACACAGTTCTTCTAACACCACCTGATGCAGTTCTCGCGTCACCAACTTTTGTCAATGCAACAGCGACCTGCCCATGGCCGCTTTCAAGCTTGCTCTCGCCAGCGCCTTCCTTATCCGCTTGATGGGATGGTTACCTGTCCTGTCTGGACTTAGTGCTGCCAGTCTAGCCATCCCCCTCAATCTCCACCTGTCAAGGAAGCAACGAGACCAGAACTTTGGTTTGATGCGAGTCCGAGATTTCAAAGCGCACTTGCTGGCCGAGGCGTTGCTGGGAATGCGCCAGATCCGGTACTCGGCCCTTGAAGACTTTTGGGAGGACAAGATCCTGGCAAGCAGAGACGATGAGCTCAAGCAGTACTGGAGGGTGGCACTTGGGAAGTGCCTCATCTTCTTCACCGTCAACATTGCACCTCTGTTGCTGGCCAGCGTTACCTTCACGGTCTATGTGTGGCAACAAGGGTCCCATATCAAAGCGTCGGTCATCTTCACGGCCCTCGGGTTGTTTGACCAGCTGGATGATGCAGTAACGCTTTTGCGAAAGGTGCAAGTCAACCTAGTTGAAGCGTGGGCAAGTGTCTCAAGACTGGACAAATACTTTGGCCGTCTTGACAAGCAAGAGGTCACTATGCCAGGGAGTTTGGTCGCTTTCGAGGACGCTACCGTGGCTTGGCCCCGACCTGAAGATACCGATGAGGTCGGAGATGCTCAGGCGTCGCCTCGAGGAGCACATTCGATACTCAAAGATATTAACGTGAGGTTCCCGCCTGGTGAGCTCAGCGTCATCGCGGGCAAGACCGGCTCCGGCAAAAGCCTCCTCCTCGCAGCAATCGTAGGCGAAGTCAAGCTCATAGCGGGCGACATCTACGTTCCTTCCGCACCGGAGCCGAGTGACGACGAGAATATCCGAGACCAAACCTGGATTATACCCTCCCTGACCTGCTTTGTGTCCCAGACCCCTTGGATTGAAAGCGGCACGGTCAGGGACAACATCCTCTTTGGCCTGAAGTTCAACCGCCTCCGCTACCGAAAAGTTCTTTGCGCTTGCGCCCTGGAGAAAGATTTGCATCTTTTGGTTGATGGTGACCAAACAGAAGTCGGACCCAAAGGCGTTTCGCTGTCCGGCGGGCAGAGATGGAGAATAGCCCTCGGCCGCGCCCTGTACTCGCGTGCCGGCATTATCGTCATGGATAATATCCTGAGCGCTGTCGACACGCATGTGAGCAGGTTGATAGTCGAGGAGGCGCTCACGGGAGAGTTGGCCGTCGGAAGGACCAGAATTCTAGCGACCCATCATGTCGATCTTGTTCGCCCGTACGCCAGCTGTCTGGTGCGTCTCAGGGGCGGGCGCCTCAAGTCTGTTGTGTACAAGGCTCCCGAAACCCAGAACTTGACACCTACGACTGCGGTATTTGAGCCTGGTAGCCTACCATGGGCTAGACCTGACAACGGAGCAAGCTCGTCTTCCAGTTCGACCACAAGGGTTATTGAGAGGAGACAAACTGGCGAGGAAAAGAGAGCTGTTGGATGGGTCAAATGGGACGTGTACAAGGCATACTATAAGGCCAGCGGTGGTGCCCTGAACTGGGCTCTAGGCATGGCTGTGCTCTTTGTTGGTCACGGTCTGGGTATTGTTCGTACCTGGAGTCTCAAGGAGCTTGCTCAAAGGGCTGCGTTCGTTGAAGCCAATTCCCAAACGTCGTCCTCGGCTCACTATCACCAAACGTACAGTCAGCTGACTTTTGGATACGCTGCTGACCATCATATGCCCTGGACCTCCAAGCTCAGCATTCGCTTTTGTAAGTTTAAAGACCCCTCTGGTCAATCTGTTAACTAACTCGATGTCACAGGGATCTCAACATATGCTCTAGTTTGCTTCCTCGTCGGTGTTTCTCAAATCGCCCGCGATGTTGCCTTCACCCTCATCGGAATGAGAGCCTCGAGGAAGCTGTTTCAACAGCTCACACATGCAATCCTCCGGGCGCCCATTAGATGGATTGAGACCGTACCGGCAGGTCGCCTTATCAACCGCTTCACCTCGGACATGTCAGTCGTCGATAAACCGCTGGCCACCCCGACGTTTACGTTCCTACAAGCAGCCGTCCTCCTGATGATCATCGTCGTAACATGGTATGTATCCCCGTCTATTCTTACATCATTGGCATACCAGAGGGACAAAATAGGTTCAGCTAATCAGCTGACTCTACACAGTTCCTCCGTCTCGCTATCAATCCTCTTCTTCGTCATACTTCTCTTCGCCCTCTACGTATACATCGCGAGCAACTTCATACACGTCGCCAGGGAAGTCAAACGCCTCAAGTCCGTCTCCAACTCCCCGATCTACGACCAATTCAGCTCCGTGCTGTCCGGGCTAACGACCATTCGCGCCTTCAAACGCACACAGTCCTACACCAACAACTTGTACCAACTGATCGACGCCAACAGCTCTGCGAACTGGGCGCAGCAGCTCCTGAAGAGATGGATGGGTTTCCGCATGGGCATGCTCGGCGCCGTCTTTGTCACTGTCGTGGCCAGTGCCGTGGCATTGGGTGGTGTGGACGCTGCGCTCGCGGGATTCAGCTTGTCTTTTGCCTTCCGTTACACGTCTGCGCTCACGTCTCTGCTGGAGGCCGTGGCTGCGCTGGAATTGGGATTCAACTCGTGCGAGAGGGTGTTGGAGTACATCGAGGTTGAGCGTGAAAGTGAACAGGGTCTGGACGCCCCTGCGGCCTGGCCGGCCGAGGGGAGAATCGAAGTCGAGAACCTCACTGCCTCGTATGCCCGCCATCTTCCGCCTGTCTTGTCTGATCTCAACTTCCGTGTTGGAGCTGGCGAGCGGGTTGGGATCGTTGGGCGGACAGGCGCGGGCAAGTCAACGCTTGCTTCTGTTCTTTTCCGTCTTCTGGAACCCAGCAGAGGCTCAATCCGCATTGACGGCCTCGATATTTCCACCTTGAAGCTGACACAGCTGCGAAAGAGCCTCGTCATTATCCCCCAGGATCCATTCCTGTTCTCGTAAGCATATGAAGTTGACTTCTTTTCTCAAATCAATTTGATACTGATGCATTTGGTCAACAGAGGCACCCTACGTTCCAACCTAGATATGGAAGGCCGTCTAGACGACACAGAGATATACGACGCCCTACGACGTGTCAACCTAATCGGTTCAACCTACAGCAATATGAGTTACCCACCATCAGTTTATACACCGGTGATGGGTCCCAGCACAGCCGTCTCTACCCACCCAAACACAGCCGCCACCACACCGCTCCTGGCACCTGTTGTTGTTCCCCCAACCGTCGATATCACAGTCGAGCCCGCGCTCGAAGAAGTCGACATGTTCGACGACATCCACACCCTCGGCGACAACCGCGTCCAAATCACCCCTTTCGTTCTCGACACCAACGACAACGACCCCCTCGACCTCCTCACCTTCGATCCCCCTCCCGAAGATCCAACACCCGTCACCTCCCTCCCCGAAGTCGAACACCCCCCCACAGCCGAGCCCGAGCCCTCAGCACCAGAAGAAGAAGAAGAACCCCTCTCCCCACCACCCGTAACCCTTCCCGCCCTTCTCCTCCCACTCCCCCCCTCCCCAGCCATCTCCGCCATCTCCACAACCGCCAGCACCGCCAATACCAACACCACGGGTAACCACCGCGTCAACCCCTTCACCAACCTCTCCCACCCCATCACCACAGGCGGCTCCAACCTCTCGCAAGGCCAGCGGCAGCTCGTCTGCCTCGCGCGCGCTTTGCTCACCCGCCCCAACATCATGGTTTTGGACGAGGCCACGTCGGCCATCGACCAGGCGACCGACGCGGCCATCCAGCGTTCGCTGCGCGAGTGCATTGAGGGGCAGGGCACCACGGTGCTGGTGATTGCCCATCGGCTGTCGACGGTGGCGGATTTTGATAAAGTGCTGGTGCTGGATAAGGGGCGGGTGGTGGAGTTTGGGGCGCCGGGTGAGTTGGTGAGGAGAGGGATTGAGTGGGATAGGGATGGGCGGAGGGCGGAAAGGGAGGGGTATGGAGAGGAGGAGGGTGGTGGTGCTGGTGCTGGTGAGCACGGTGAGAGGGTGGCGGAGAGGAGTGTAGGTAGTAGTGAGTATTTTGGGGATGATGAAGGTTCGGGGGAGGATGGGGAAGAAGGCGAGATGAGTACGTTTTGGGGGCTGGTGAAGAAAAGTGCGGAACGGGATAGGTTGGTGGAGATGATTCTTGGGGGGAGTTCGTGAAGACAGAAGTCTAGGGATAAGGCATCCGCACAGTTGGGCAAGTAAAAGGTTGGGAAGGAACCGAGCACGAGAAGGAAACTGAAGGGAAATTCAGAATCTTTGGGTAGCTGATGAGACTGGTGGGGGGTTCCGTGAATTAGCGTTGCCTTATACAGCTTTGCCATGTTGAATACTATATATTCCGCGACTGATTAATTTTGTAAAATTGGTGATGCTGTGTATCACGCTAGACATTACATAATGTCTATGTTAAGGATCTTGATGTCCTCCACTGGCTTGTCCTTATGCGTCTTAACGTTCTCGATGCGGTGAATGACATCCAACCCCTGGACACCGCGACCGAAGATGGTGTGCTTGTTGTCAAGCCATGGCTATTCTTTAGGTTAGCATTGGGCTGTACTGGGAGGGGAATGATCCGAGCTTAAAGGAACAGTAGCTTACCGTCTTTTCTGTCGTAATGAAGAACTGACTGCCGTTAGTATTGGGACCAGCGTTCGCCATGCTGACCGTATAAGGCTTGTCGTGCTTCAAGCTGCTAAACTCATCCTCGAACTCTTTGCCCCATATACTCTCGCCGCCTGTTCCGTCACCAAGAGGATCACCACCTTGAATCATGAACTTGCGTATTACACGGTGGAAGATGGTGTTGTTGTAGTAGCCACGTTTGGCATGCGTAACAAAGTTTTCCACAGCCTTGGGGGCGGCATCCGGGAAAAGCCTGATGTGAATGTCGCCGTAGGTGGTATGGATAACGGCTGACGTCCCTGTCTCGGCCGCCTTCTTCTGTTCCACCTTCTTGGGTCCTCCCAAAACGGTTGGCTTCTCGTTCTGGACGTCTCTGGTCGACTTGGAGATTTCTTGGTCGTTTGTGAACATGTAGAAGCGAACCTTGCCCACGCCGGTCGCTATTAGCATCGGGTCTCTTGTCTCCGATTCCTGTAGAAGTGGGTTGGCAGATGCTGCCATGGCAACTGTTGTCACGCCCTTTTTCTGAGGCTGGCCTTGGTAAATCGCTAGGGTAAGGGGTCTGAACCCTTCCTCCTTGCCGTACACCTTGGCGACCTGGTTGGTGTAGGTGTTGAGGACTTTGATACCCAGATAGGAACCGTAGAGGATGAAGTGTCCTGATTCGTCAAAGACAACGTTGAACTTGTTCCGTAGTGCTGACGACTCAATTTCCCTTTCTTGCGCGATGCGGCGGCCGAACTCTACGGCGTCAAGCTTCTGTAGTGCGGTACCAGCCTGCTGCATTTCCTCCACAACCTTGAGAGATTCGTCGTATGTGCGTTGTAGTTTTCCGGAAGCAAAGTCGAAGATGCGGATCTTGCGATCTGGGAACGAGACGGTGACGAATCGGTTGCCGTCAGGAGAAAGCGTGAGGGACGTTGGCACAGCCTTTGCCTTCTTGAACTCGAACAGGTTTGTTGCGCTCTTGAACTTGAAGACCGTATCGGGTTTCTCGTACGAACCACTCGGCTGCCAATATTCCACCATGCCCCCGTCGTCGGCTGACACCACGCAGTCGAATCTGTCGTTGAAAGCCATGATGCCTACTGGACTCCGGTGCAATCCACTGATGGTATGGAACGGCTTTTCTTGCTGACCACGCCCGTCATAAAGATGGATAACAGGCTTCTCCTCCTCGGAAACTGCTAGGATGGGCAGAGGGGCACCCTTCTTGTGCACCCAGCAGACACATTTCGGTACGTAGTCGAGTTGGAGAACGGCGAGAAGATCGAAGGCATTGACGTCGAACAGCTTAATGGTCTTGTCGGCACCGGCTGTAGCAAAGCTGCGACCATCCTGGCTCACGGAAACAGACTTGATTTCGCCGAGGTGAGCCTTGTACTCTTTGACGAACTCGATTTCTCCGGTGACCTTCTTCCAGAACTTGACGACGCCATCGATCGAAGTGGTGATCAAGAAGTCGGTGATAGGCGTCATCGTGAGGAACGTCAATTGTTCCTTGTGCATCAAAGACTTGGAATACCGGGCGGACTTGGGCATGGCCTTCAGGTACAGCTTCTCGTAGGGAAGAACGCGGCGCTTCTTCTTGGGCGCCTCGGCCGAGGGCAGCTGGGGGCCCATATCATCGTCGGACGAGCTATCTGCATGGTAACGCGCCGTTGTCAGCTCTTGGAATCCAGGATGGTTGTGACGGGCAATTCGGGTGATGGGAAAAGGGTCAGGACTACTTACCATCTCCAGAACCGTCCAGTGTAACGCCCTCTGTGAATTCTTCATGCGTGCGCTTGTTCGACTTGACGTCATCTTCTGGCTTATTCGATTCCATTTTGATGTTCGGTCGGCGGTATTCGATTGGACAGACTTGGCTGGAATGTTGGAAAGGTTATCCTAGGAGCCTCGAGTGTCTTCAAGAAACACGGTAGTCGCTTGCGCCTGGAGATGGATAGAGGATGTGATCGTGGCGCGAAGGGGCGTAAAGATTAGATGGAACGGGATGCTGTCGCGACACGGGACGGGCCACTATAATTCTAGGCACAGATCGGCGGTTCCTGCGTGTCCTGCCAGCGGGAGGTTTAAAGTGGGGGCCTCAAGCTGTTTCTCCAGGGTAGGTGAGCCAAATGCGATTGAAAATGAAACAACGTCCAAAGCTGACGGGAGACCGGCACGATCGGTTATCGATCGCCTCACCCCAGCACGTGAAAGCAGGTTTTCTGCGTTTTCCTTCCTGATCATTATTTAGCATCTGAGACATGTTTTCTGTCTCTTTTCTTGAACACTTGTACTTCGTCTTTCGCTGAAGACATTCCTCAAATATCGGTTTCGACCCAACTCATTCTTTATTCTTCCTTCTACCGTTTCGCATATACTCTTCACTACCGCGCAACCATGTCTAGGCATCCCTTGCAGCGTGTCGCCTCTCCATCGCGGAGTCTTTCCGCCCTCATACACTTACTGGGCATGGCTTCATTCATGGCGAGCTTCAGCTACCTGCGGCTGTTTCCGCGGGAGCTTCACCTCGGGTTTGGAGGAGAGTTCAAGTTCCTGACCATCATTGGCCTGGGTCTAGCACTTGTCACGTTTGCAGTTGGCTTGCTTGCGGATCTGACCCTGAACCCGAGCCTGTTCAGGATCAAGAATGTCCTCTCGGTCTGTTCTGCGCCCTTGGCCGTTCTCATAAGCACCCTTTACTGGGGCATTTGTGCCATTAATAAGAACCTGGTTGTGCCGCCCGACATGGCCATTCCCGTTCTCCCAGATGTGTATGAGAAACCCACCGTAGCCGTCATCTATCGGTTGTGTGCCAGACTGGTGTGATTGGTGTTGTGGCTAACAAAATATCAACAGAGGATTCCATGCCATGCCGGCCGTCATGCTGACGCTGGATTTGATGCTCCTGAGCCCCCCGTGGACGGTCAGAGGATACGGTGCCATGACTATCAGTATGACCATAGCATTCCTTTACTGGGGCTGGGTTGAACTCTGCTTCTCGAAGAACGGATGGTAAGGACGAGATGAAGCAGAGACCTTGGGGAAAACCTGCATACAATTCCTTGCCACCCTTGAGATTCGTCCAGATGTCTAACTGCTTTGATAGGTATCCGTACCCGATTTTCGAAATTCTCAACACCTGGCAGCGAGTCCTGTTGTTTACCTTTTCGGCGCTGTTGATGACGGGTAGCACAATGGCTTTGAAGTGGGTCTATGGCAAGATCAACGGCATCGACAAGTTCAAAAATGATGCTTTGCACCCCCTCAAAGACGAGTAGGTATTGTAAACAGTCGGTTGTCGTTGTGAAGAACATCCAAAAGCGAGCTCGCCGGTGCCCAGGCGCCGATAATCGGACTGAGTGGGTCCTCCGCCAAGTATCAAAGGGCGTCTGGCTTCGTCACCCGGTCGGCTTGCCCGGAGCATATACTTGAGGTTATCATTATCATGGGCAAGCGTTCACGTCAGAGGCTGAGGAGGAGGAGGAGCAAGGCCGAACGTATGCATGCAAATCCTTCCATATTCCTTCCACAACTGTTCCATGGTGACGGACCATCCATTGCATGGGGCCGGCCAATAACACCGGCGTGTCTCTCCACAAGAGGATGAAGGATCACTATTTCGTGAGCATGAGCCATAATATGGAAGATTGTGAATATTGTCCCTGAATATCACTCGCCCTTGAACGAGAGCTCACCATTCGGGGGTTTTGCCATTGGTTTACACGGTGGATATGGATAGCTCCGTGTCTGACTCTTACACGGCCATATCCGTCACTGCCCTGCTGGCGGGAGCTACCTCTACCCAGGTCGAGGCCTTGATGTACGAACTCGGTGTCGCTCTTACCATCTACTCAGACCTTTGATGTCCTCCTTTAAAAAAAATATGAGGCTCTGTTGTTGTTGCACCCGATTTCCATGACAAAATAGCCTTGCATTTTCGAATTCCTCTTGTGTCGATAGCTTGAACTTGGTGTTCCTTGATCGGCCTCGGCTTTCTCTTGCTTTGACCCCACGCGGCTGACCCACAATGGGTAGGGCGTCCAACGGCGACCCCTAGCGCTGCCAACAGTCCTGCCCGGGTATCGCTACTTGCACTTGCATTGGGATCGTGTCCAACCACGAGTATCGGGTACTTCTGAGGGGAGTGTGGTGTCATTGCAGGTTGACATTGGACAGGAGCTGTCGAGTCCCCTTGCCGCCACCACGGCAGCGCTGAAAAATAAAAGTTGATGGTTTCTTGGCTAGTTCCGTTCTTTGACTCATAATATTTGTTTTATTTTCGTTTGGTTAAAAGTCGAGGGGTCCTCCTTAGTTCCCGTTTTCATCTTGTTCCACGGCACATAGAAAGTCGCAAGTCCTCAACATGTCGGTACGTAATGTCCACTTAGACAGAGCCCCACGCCTGTGTTTAGGTTGGATTGACTCACATGTCGAACCTTTAGCAACATTTCTACATTGAGAACCGCAATGTCGGCAACCAGGCCGAAAGCGAGGATTGGCGCAGTAAGTATCATCCTCTCTGATTCAATGTGGAATATTTGCCTTTTATTATACTTACTGTTAATCCAGTTCGCGGCTACAACCCGCTGACCCCTCCCGACCTGCTCCAACACGAGATCCCCCAGACCGCCGAGTCGAAGCAGACCGTCATCAACAGCCGCAAGGAGGTTGTCGACATTGTCAATGGCACCGACGAGAAGGAGAGGCTACTAGTAGTCATCGGCCCCTGCTCCATCCACGATCCCAAGGCCGCGCTCGAGTACTGCGATTTGCTGCTCAAGGAGAAGGAGAAGCACAAGGATGAGCTGCTGATCGTCATGCGATCCTACCTCGAGAAGCCCCGGACGACCGTTGGCTGGAAGGGCCTGATCAACGACCCCGATATCGACAACAGCTTCCAGATCAACAAGGGTTTGCGCCTGAGCAGACAGTTATTCGTCGACCTCACTTCCAAGGGCATGCCCCTCGCTAGCGAGATGTTGGATACTATCAGCCCGCAGTTCCTCGCCGATATGTTGAGCGTCGGCGCTGTCGGTGCTCGCACCACCGAATCCCAGCTCCACCGCGAGTTGGCTAGCGGTCTCAGTTTCCCCGTCGGCTTCAAGAACGGCACTGACGGTACCCTGGGTGTCGCCATTGATGCCATTGGTGCTGTCAGACACCCCCATCACTTCTTGTCCGTCACCAAGCCCGGTGTCGTTGCCATCGTCGGAACCGTTGGCAATGAGGACTGCTTCGTCATCCTCCGTGGCGGTACCAAGGGCACCAACTACGATGCGAAGAGTATCGCCGAGGCCAAGGCCGCGCTGGAGAAGAGTGGCTTGCGCCAGCGCCTGATGGTTGACTGCAGCCACGGCAACTCGAACAAGGACCACAAGAACCAGCCCAAGGTCGCCGCCGAGATTGCGCAACAACTTGAGAATGGCGAGACCGGTATCATGGGTGTCATGATTGAGAGCAACATCAATGAGGGTAAGTTTCCTCGGCATAGAGCTTCGTAGACGATGAAGCTGTTTGCTAACAAAACGTACAGGTAACCAGAAGGTGCCCAAGGAAGGCAAGTGTGGCCTCAAGTACGGTCTCAGTATCACTGATGCTTGCATTGGCTGGGAGGATACTGTCGCCACTCTCGACACTCTTGCGCAGGCCGTCAAGAAGAGGAGGGAGGTCCTGGGCAAGAACGCCACTGCCTAAGTCATGTCATTTCTTGGTCTTGTTTGCTTTATGGTTCACGGGTCATTTGATGGCTTTTCACGGATCCCACGTGAGGGATACCTAATATATGCTGGCGCGGGGATGGGGATACAAAAGTTGACATTTTCTGCATGTGGTGTGTTTTCATAAAGAGCGTGTGTTAATGCATCTGGAGGGTGGTTATTGAGACAATAGAGTTTTCAAAAGGGTTTGCATCTCATTTAATCACTTTGATGTTTCTGATGATAATATCCATAATCATCCATGTTCGACTACAGTTTTGCGTTGCCTTTTGTTTGGTCGCAATTGTGGTGATGTGGTGGTGTGAAACCGTGATAGCCTTGGTGACGAAAGTCGAGCTTCACCTGCGATTACGCATACGTATGTGGTACATGGATAGCTTCAAAACTTTTTCTTGGCAGCTTTTCCCCGGCTTGAGCCACGCTGGGTCGCCGTGAGAGCTGAAGATGGAAGGAGGGGCGGACGGCGGCGGCGGCGGGAGCTTGGACGTTTTTGATTTGGGACAACGCTGGCTGGCTGGATTGATGCTGCTGATGCCCAGCTCCAGCTGTGCCCAGATGACGCTGAGGTCTGGAGTGCTTGAGTGCTCGCAGAGTCGGGTGAGTGCTGAGGCCCGCGGGCAGAATGAGGTAAATTAGTGCGGAAAATCCATCGGCCGGGGCCGAGGGGAAGTGCAAGCTCGAAAGGCTGCACGGTGATTGGCCCAGCCAATCAGATGGCCAGTGTTCCTAAGATTCCCGAAATTCAAGAAACCTACGGTCCTACCTACGACGCTACGTGAAGGGAATCGACCGACCTTGCACCTGGACGGACCTGCTCGACCTCCCGCCCGCCAGACCTGATACTGTCACCGACTTCGCCAACCCAATTGGCCTTGTCCCCCGAACCCGCGATACTTTCCTAAAGCTTCGCTCAGCTTGCCCACCATGCTGGCGAGGACCTGCCTGCGCTCGACGCGCACCTTTGCCAGCGCGAAAAATGGCGCCTTCAAATTTGCCAAGGTTCGTCTCGATTGCTTCGACAACTCTCTCGTCCTCGTCCAAATGCCCCTCCAACGCCCAGTTCTCGGCCGCATCGCCACTCGACCGGCCGGGCCTGGGCCGGCTTGAGCTACCGTCCACCTACTGCGAGCTCCCGGCCCGGGGCCTAGTCGCGCGACCGTCCCCGCCCCGGCCGAGCCATCCTGTCTTGTCTCCTTCATGAACACTCTCGCGCTCCTCGAGGAAAGCTAACGGACGTGCCCGGCAGCGTTCGGCTTCCACCCAGAGCTCCGGCGCCGCTGCCGAGTCTCCCCTCCGCCTGAACATCGCTGCCGCCGCTGCCACCGCCGTCGCCGTCGGCTCGATCGCCTGGTACCAGCATCTCTATGGATCCGCTTCCGCCATGACTCCGGCTGAGGAAGGGTGAGTCCCCTACGATCGATCCGACCACCCGCCCCGCTCTAGCCGTTGGACCGAGGTCTGCCTCATGGCTTCTGAGGCATATACGACCGAGCTCGACTGTTAGCTTGAATTTGGGCATGGAGTGACACGAGGCTTACCGTTGACGCAGTCTCCATGCTACCCACTACCCCTGGGTCCACCAGCAGTGGTTCAAGACCTTCGATCACCAGGCGTAAGCAACCACCCCCACCGAGCCTATCCGAGGCCGCGCCTCCCCTTCAAAATGACCATCTAGCTCACGACCTTGTTTTTGCCCGACCGCAGTCTCCGCAGAGGTTTCCAGGTGTACCGTGAGGTCTGCGCCTCGTGCCACTCTCTCAGCAGAGTCCCCTACCGCGCTCTTGTCGGCACCATCTTGACCGTCGATGAGGCCAAGGCTCTCGCCGAGGAGAACGAGTACGACACCGAGCCCAACGACCAGGGCGAGATCGAGAAGCGCCCCGGCAAGCTTTCCGACTACCTCCCCGATCCCTACAAGAACGATGAGGCCGCCCGTTTCGCCAACAACGGTGCCCTTCCTCCCGATCTCAGCTTGATTGTCAAGGCCCGCCACGGTGGCTGCGACTACATCTTCTCCCTCCTTACCGGCTACCCCGATGAGCCTCCCGCTGGTGCTCAAGTTGGCGCCGGCCTCAACTTCAACCCCTACTTCCCCGGTACCGGTATCGCCATGGCCCGTGTCCTCTACGACGGCCTTGTCGACTACGAGGATGAGACCCCCGCCTCCACCTCCCAGATGGCCAAGGATGTTGTTGAGTTCCTCAACTGGGCTGCTGAGCCCGAGATGGACGACCGCAAGCGCATGGGTATGAAGGTTCTGGTTGTCACCTCTGTGCTCACTGCCTTGAGCGTCTATGTTAAGCGTTACAAGTGGGCTTGGCTCAAGTCGAGGAAGATCGTCTACGATCCCCCCAAGGAGTCCGCTACCCGCCACTAATTTAGCATTGCCACAACAAAGGGCAAAGTCATGACATTCACACAATAACCGTTGTGAGACGTTCGTGCTTTTCCCCCTCTTTTTTTGTGTATGTATCATATACTATTGCTGCCGAAATTTTGCTTCCCCGTGTTCCTCTTGCGCGTCGGTCAGAAAGAGCAAACAAAACAAGGAATGGGCAGGGGCGCTATCGGTAGCCATGGGCAATGCGGGGACGTGCGGCGTGGGTTGAACATGAAGATGGTCGTAGAGTGTATAAATCAAATTTTCTGGTCTCAAATACAACCTAGACGTTATTTCCTATGTCAAACAATGTATAATGGTATGAGTATGACGGTAAAGCCGAGCTTGCGTGTGAGTGGATTAGGATACGGGAAGTACGGCATCGGCATTCTTAACAGGTGCCAAGCGTCCAAACATTCTTTGTCGGCTACATCATAATGTACGCCTTGAGTAGGAGAGGGTAAAGACGGTATGCGCTTGAAGATTCTCCCCTTTTCATTTATCGATGTTGAAGTATTTCTCTCGCCGAATCACGGCAATAATCAGTACGAAGTAGCACAGAGGATGCCCCTGGCTTGGCATTTTGATTTGCCGTCTCTTCTCCCCCCTTGCCATTCACTCACCTCACAAACAACCTCCTCACCTTGGCTCCGAACTCACCGTAGGCATTTCTTCAAGCTCAACTCAACTTCAACGGTGCTTGAAACCACACATGGACCACCAATTATACCCCCAATCACAAACAATCAGCAACAAAATGCCATCATCATCATCAAAACAATCCCAATCCCAATCACAGCAGGCCCCTCGCCCCCCACCAGACACCAACGCCATACCTCCAGCCCTCGCCCACGACATCCTCAATGGCCTCGACATCAACTCCTCCTCCCAAGACCGAGACTTCCTCGCCTCGTTGCTCACCTCGGGCCTCGCCCCGCCAGTTGAAGTCCGCAAACTCCGGGAGCTGAGTCTCATGCGTGGAATGGAGGAATGGGAGATGATGATGGCTTGTGCCAATTCCTTGAGGGAACAAGCTGCTTATCGGGCTTTGAGGTTGAAGCGAGAGCGAGAGCGTGGAGAGCAGAATCAGGGTCGAGGTCGGAAATCATCATCACGGCTGGAAAGTGTGGTGAGGCAAAATGTGAGGGATGATGAGCTGTGCTTGTTGCCGTTTTTGGATATGGTTATGAAGAGGAGGGGGGTGGGAGGGTGGTTGCTTGATGATGGGGACACTTGTGCTGTTGTGGCTGGGAGTGTTCTGGGGAAGAGGAGGAAAATTGGTGGTGGGAAAGAAGAAGAGATGTCATCGGCGAAAGCTGGGAGAGGTTTCGGAAGTAAGAGAGTAAGGAAGAAGGCGACAGTGGGGAAGAATGTCTCGCAATTTTGGGCAGAGGATGATACTGCGAAGACAAGCAGACGAGGGACGAGGGTTCGACGGGAGACTAGTGTCTCTGGGTATGCTGGAAAAGCAGTAAAGCGTGACGAGCCGAATCGGGAGGAGGTGAACATGGCATCGCCGACTCAGTTGGTGACTGTTGTCCACCGCCCAGCTGAGGCTATTCAAGGCGACGGAGAATCAGAAGGCAAGAATTCCAGTTTAATCGAAGACGCCGACATCGAACACTCGAAGTTACCAGATGAACCAGGTTACCCCGACACGCAAAGTTCCCAGTGTAGTCCTGCTTCACCCTCGTCTCCTAACGAGATCCTCGACGCCGCCTTTGGCGATGTATCGGCAGCACACATCTTAACTTCCGACGAATCTCTTCCACCAGCTAAGGTGAGGATCACTAGAAAGCGCACCTACAAATCGCCCTTTTTCAGTGAACCACCACCCTCACCGAAACCACCGAGCAAAGGGATACCACACCCGCTATCAAAAACCTCCCCATACAAGACCAGATCCCCAACCAAAAAGTCCCGTCCACCACCCGGCATCTCCCGCCTCCCCATCCCTCCCCTCTCCGCCCCCAGCTTCGGATTAGTCCAAGAAGAACTAGCATCCGACCCCTTCCGTCTACTCATAGCCGTAACCTTCCTCATCAAAGTCCGGGGTACAATAGCAATCCCTCTTTTCCGCCAACTAATGGATCGCTTTCCCACTCCCTCGGCGCTCGCGGATGCGGATCCCGCTGAGATTATCAACCTCATCCGTCCTTTGGGGCTTTCAGTCAATCGTTGCTCTGTCATACAAAAGTATGCAAGGATGTGGATCGAGTGTCCGCCGTGTAAGGAAAAGAGGTACGGGGTGAGGAATTATCCGAGACTGGGGGATGCGAGGGGGGTTAAGGTGGGAGAGGAGTTTGGGGGTGAGCCTGATGATTTTTTCTATAATGGGAACGTGTCACGGGGAGGAGTCGATGATGATGGTGGTGGTTATGATACCAACAACGCCATCAAACTAGCCAAAGAACATGCCATCGGATCGGCCTGGGAAATCGGCCATCTCACCCAGGGTCCGTACGCTCTGGACTCGTGGCGGATCTTTTGTCGGGATAAGTTACTGGGTCGGGCAGAGGACTGGAAGGGGAAGGGTGGTCCTCCGGAGTTTCAACCCGAATGGATGCGGGTTCTGCCACGGGATAAGGAGCTGAGAGCGTGTTTGCGGTGGATGTGGTACGTTTTTTGTTGGCTTTCTTTTGCTTTTCATCTTCTCTTCCAGGTCGTTGATTATTAACGAAATCGCTACAAATAGGATGCGCGAGGGATGGGAGTGGGATCCGATAACTGGTGAGCGAGAGCCTCTGCGTGAGGAGATGCGGAAGGCGGTGGATGAAGGACGGGTTGGCTATGATGAATGTGGTGGTTTGGTGATATTGGATGGAAAGAGGGAAGAGAACGCTGATGTATCTTGAAACACTCCGGTGTCCTGGGTTGGCAAACATCTGTGGAATTGAAGTCCAACTGATGAAATTCTTCTCACTGTTGGGCCGGTTGTACCTTCCCCTGAATTACCTCTTGTCAGACGAGGGCCAGATGATGCGCAAGTTTTTCACTCGGGAAGGCACCTGCCTTGTCAATGTCTGGTGATATTTGAAGCGACCCTCTTCCTCGCCTCTGGTTCAATACAGTACTTATCTATCGTCGAGTTCCTGGCCTACTTCCGGAGAATTTACTTTGATATTCGCAGATTCGTCCCCTCTATTCAACTCCCCACGGTTCCCAGAAACATCCGCGCTCACCATGACAAGCATCACACGCCTCGCCTCATCTGCCCTCCGCGGTATCACCGTCCTCACGTTGCTTACAAGCAGCTTCATGTCTGTCTCTGCGCAACAGCATCCGAATGGAGGATATGCCAAAAACTGCATCTTCACAGGCGCAAGTCTGCGCGACGGTCACTGGCTTGGGTGCAACTGTCTGAACGACGACGTTGCCATTTTCGGGTACAACTACACTTGGTAAGCCGCCTTCGCATATTCCACTTGTTCCATTTAGAGTGGTTATGATTCTAACGTGCTCCATGCTGCGTCGATCATAGGCTGGATCTCAACTTCTGCGTAGGAAACAGAAATGGGACCTTGGAGAGTTATGATACGTAAGGCACCGTGGTCCAAGGATCTACTTGAGCAGTTTCCATCCTACGAGACGATTTTTATACTAACCGTCTTGCTCTTTCTCATTTAGCGGAAACTACACCAAGGCTTGCCGTGACTGCAGAATCTTCAACAACCACCATACCATCTTTCTGAACTGTCTATGCCCGGACATGGCGCATGTACTACACAATAGCACGCTTGACTTGAGTAAGTTCAATGTTCACCTTACGTTCATGTATAATCTAACCATATCACAACAGACACTACCCTGTACAATGTGGATGGGTGCGCGGGTTGTTACAACCACATGGGGAACAAGTCATGGGATGGTCCCCCTCCTTCATCGTCAAACCACACTCTGTTGTTCCTTTGACTACCTGTAGACCTGCAAGAGTCCCATTGGATGCGCGACTCGTACTTTGTAAGACTATCGCTAAATTGATGCTTCTTAAACACATTTTATCGTCATGCAAAGTCTGTCCTTCGCAGGCGCATTCCTCGCAACGCCATCCGTATGATACATATGATTCCATAGTGACTTCCTCTAATCCCATTATTCCACCTGCAGCCCAGCCTCAAACTTTCTAATCCATCATGATTCGTACAGTATTCAAGCGTCTTTCGGGCATGTCTAGACTCTCCAAGCCCACCAAAGAAAGGGCACTGGATCATCTCGAGCTTCTTCGCAAAGCAAAGGCACCCTATGGCTTGACAGACCAGAGTTCTCGAGTCCAGCCATGCTCCCTGATCTTCTTTGTTTCTTTAGAGGTGGCCTTCTTCTCGCTCGCAAAAATAGCGAGTGCCTTGCTGCATGAGGCAAATGCCTCTACGAGCTCCTTCATCCTGCCAGACTTGACGAATTCCTGAGATACGGCTGATGATTTCTCGGCGACAACCGCAGCCAGCTCCATGCACTCGAGCAAGTAGTCGCGCGAAAGAGTGGCACCCGCAAAGTGCAAAGAGCTAACGAGAGCCAGCACCGTCTCTGGGATGTAGGCCTCACGAAGAGCTTGGAAGTCGGGATCGGCTGATGCGAACGCACGTTAGAAAAAAATCCCTACCGAGGATGGGAAAAAACCAGTGTGAACTTACGTCGAATAGTTTCCAGCAACCACCCCTTAAGTACCGGTTGCATGCATGCCTTGGCCGCGCGGACTTCCTTGCTCGTATGCTGCCACATTTCGCGGGAGTTGGTGCTGTCCCTAAGAATATTTTGTTAGTAATGGACGCCAAATCGTTGTCAATGGATATACTTACTCCCTGGCGAGACCTGCCAAAGAGGACAAGGTCTCCATTGAGTCCAGAGCCTTGACAAGACACTCGAGCTCCCACATATTTCGTACTTGGGTGATCACCGCCTCTTTGTCACCACCGTACAGCGCAAGCAACTCTTCTGGAAGCTCACTCGCCGCGAACTCGGCAAACCATCCGATACTGCCATCGTCCTCTTCTCCCCCGACCAGGATTCCGGTCTTCCGCCGGATGATCTCTCGGCCTGGTACCCTCTGAAAAAGGGCACGGGCAGCACGCAAGCGTGCGCGTTCTGGAGAATGTTAGCAACCTGCTGCAATACAATAATGGAAAGTACTCACTTAGGAAATACTTGTAGGCCCTGATGACATATGTGCATGTCTCCACAAACAAATCGTCGGTCAACATGAGCCATTCCAAAGAGCAAATAATATGTCCCTCTTCTCGATCAAATTCTTCTGCCTCGTCGTCACCAAAGAAATCCGGCTTCACTATGCGGCCGTACTTCAGTGTCGCCGGGCCGTCCTCCAGCACCTTGAACTTCCCCTTTGCCTCGCAAGGCTGTAGAAGGTCGTTAACATCGCTGAGGAAAACCTCGGGTTGCCTCTTGACAAACTCCGAGACACTGATGCCTAGTCTGTTCATAATGGAAATCTGCACCCTCCGTGCATCGTTGTCAAGAATATGGATAAGATTTCGGCTAAGCGCCTCGTATACGCGCTGCCCGTGTAGCTTGGAGCAATAAAGAGGTATCATTTCCTCCAGATTGGCGAGGCGAAGGTAGCTGATATAGGCTGCGATAATGTTCTCCATGGCCTCTTGACGGACATCGGAAATAATACGGGTCTCGCTGAGCCTGTTGAGAGTAGAGAAAATGATGAGAACGTGACTGAGCACACGGAGGCTGTTGTGGTCCGACAGGTTGAAGTATTTAGGGTGAGTAAGGTCATCTGGGACTTGCAGGTCAACTGGAGGGATCAAGTTGGACTTTGATCGTTGATTTGCGTGCTTCGCCAGGACGAGTCCCTGATTAGTCAAATAACGGCCGAGTTCATGCGCAACAATGGCACCCTGCAGTGCCTTGGATGGCCTTGTAGCTTCGGTGCTCGTCCTCGAATCCGTCTCGAGCAAGGTAACGAGCCTCTTGCTGACCGAATGCGGATCTCCGTGATGCAAAACAGCGTTGAAAGCAGGGAACTGTTGGGCGACCCTAGCAGCCTCGTCTCCGCCGTGCTTGACCAAATACGAGTCGAACCGCGTTCGAAGTAGAGCGTTGTAGTGAGAAAATAGCAGGTCATCCCACGTTTCGCACACCTTCTCTACACTCGCGATGTCACCGGCCAGCAGGCCATAGACCGCCCGGTCATAATCACTAGTTCCACCATCCCGAGCGGTGGAAAAGCACATCCGCCTCCATAGAACGAGCGAACGCGGGTCAAAGTCCGGCTGGTCCTCGTCTTCCGGGTTCGCAAGCGGTAGGGGCGCAAGAGTCGCAGCTCTCCATAGCTCCGTCCTCACAGCGCACCATTCTCGAATCTCAGCCATTGAGTAGCCACGACGTAGCATCTCAAAGCAGCCCAACCAAATGGCGCGCTCGAAAAAGTCATCCTGGGTTTCCAACTTGCGAGCCTGCCGTGTGATAGCGTCGGGATCGAGCTGGGTGACAAGCGTGTTGGAGCTGAGATGTGATTCGGCAAAGCCAAACGCCCTGGGGTCAAGCGGTCCTTGGTAACCGTTCACGCTCTTCTGCAACTTGATCTTGGTGCGAGTATGAAGCCAGCCATGGGCAACGATGTCACCCCTCTCTGCGCTCTCCTGAAGGTGGCTCACAATGTCGTCTACTGGCGGTCCCTGGCTTGCACTGCTTTGAAGCCACTCTAACACGACCTTTTGTTCCCTTGCCAACGAGTCGGACAGCATGAAATCGTTCCACCATTGGTTTCGTGACTGTATGGATGGTTTTGTGTGTTGCTTCAACTGAGATGTTTCGTCTTGGCCATATTCCAGTGGCAGCATGCGCCGAAGGAGATCCCATGTTTGCGCCTCCTCTTCTGCTTTCCGATATTCTTCGTCGAAGTTTACGGTGAGGTCGTCGGTTTCGTTATCGTCGATGTCCATCTCGTTTTCGCGATGGGTGAGTTTGCGTTGCTGGCGCTCGCGGAGTCGATCCGCCCTTTTCCTCGTGTATTCATGGTAGGAGTCGACGAGCTTGAAGACCTGGGCGCGCTTCTCTTCTGTGGTTCCTCTGAGGTCGGTGAGGTGGCGGTCTAGCTCTCCCGAAAAGAACTCGACTTCATCGCCGGCTCGGATGACGGTTTGCCGGTATGGTGACGGCTGTTGGGCCATGGGAGGGGGTATAAGTCCTGGGTGCGCATGTAGTGTTAGCAGCCAGCTGGTTTTGGGCATTGGAAGCTCCGCGATGATCGAACCTAGATCTGGGCTTTCGCTTTTCGAGGCAAAAGAAAAGCTAGCGTCTGAGGTGACGGAAGGGTCCTGCAGCAACTGCGTATCAGAAGAAATGAACACTGCGGCGTCGGCGTATAGAAGGATGGGATGCTGCTCACAACTGTGGGTGCCATTTTCGCCCTTGGTCGTTTCCGTATACACGAGGTTCAAATGGTGGATTGGCGTGATTCTGTAAGGACTGTTTGGTAGGCGCGTCGCGGGTTCTTGGTGGGGGAGGGCGGATTGCTGCTGCCTTTCAATCGCATTCCATGCCGTACTTTGTCCACCCGTTCGTTGACAGCTCCTTCCCGAAAGAAAGACCGGTTGGGCAAGATGACGTCCCACTTTCGGGGACTTTGATCAATCAATGCTGGGGTTGTTTATACAGGTGCCTGATGGGAGCACGAGGTAGCTTCCGATTTGTGTAGTGAATAGGTCTAGTTCTGTATGCGCCTATGTAAAGAAAGGTAATTCATGCTGTAATAATTCACGTTATGGAAATTCCAAGCACACGTCGAAGCTCCAGCTGCCGCTAGCAACTTGCTTGCCGTCCGCACGACGCGTTCCATTGCGGCTCAAAGGGCCGGACTGGGATCTGCGGCCGGCAGATTGTGGGCCTCTATGCCAAGACCTATCAACTCCACCCAAACTCAGGCCCCTCCACCTGTGCACGAAAATGATACAAAAAGCGACGGACCCAAAAAATTTCTTTGCTCTTTTCTTCTTCTTTTTTTCCTTACAATGTCCACGGCATTCCTATTAGAGTCTCGGAACAAGACCATCATTTCTTGTTCAGGCCCATGAGGTCTCTCGCGTGCTCAAGGATCGCCCAGAGGAATACTGCACTTTCCGTCTAAGTTACCTAACACCTTCACGGGGCGTTTAGGTGGACATATCTGGATAAGTGATACATTTCGATTCCTCATGTTTCCTTCATGTAGTCTTCTTTCTCTGTTCCATCTTGAGCCTCAAAAGGTTGGCCTTGGGGCAGCTAACTGTTGATGCACTGTCGCCATTCTTTTCGTAAAACGCGTTGCAACACTCGTAGAGTGCGTCCACCAGTTTCTGGCATTTGCTCTCGTCGAATCCGTTTCTGGTGAGGCAATCTGCGGCGTGATGTGAGGTCAGCAAACTGCGAGTCCTGAACGAGGCAGGAGTCAAGCCGGTTATGCTCACTTTGTATCGCGCACTGCAGGCACATAAGAGTCGCATGTCAGCACAACCACACTTTTCTCAGAGCAGGGGAAACGTGGAACAGACCGCACGAGGATGGCATGGCGGATTGGTTGCGAGGTCGTCTTGCAATGTCTAATAAAGCAACATGAACGGTCAGCAGTCTTGAAAGGAGATGGGAGATGGGGAGAGCAAAGCTGGCACTGCGCTTAAACCCACCATGGTGTTGAATTCGGGACAGCAGAGAAGTCCGTCTGGTTGGAATCTAGATGGTGAAGGAGTGAAACTAGGTAGATGCCTTTCCTAAACCTGTGCCCAGGTCGTTCATAAGAACAAAGATTCGAGTGGACTGGACGATTGAGGATCTCCCCCAAGCTTGGAATCCCCACAACAATCCCGGTGCTTCGGTACCCCATTCTTGAGTCCAGCTGCCGGGCGTATCAGTGAAGGAAACGGAGGGATGATGTCAGGAACTCTCTGGATCGAAAACATTCAGTCAACACCAATGCGCCGGCCTGTCTGTAACATCTTTCAACCAGCCGCACTACAAACGATGGAATAGACAGCAAACGACGGACTAGGACTACAGGGAACTGTTCTTTATAAGGTTTGCGCGAGGCAAGGTGGTCTGCAAAAAGGATGAAAGATATTCGAATCGTTGACCTAGAAGGTAGTGCCAAGTGATGGACAGTGAAGTACTTAGTGTAGTTTGCAATTTGGTGTATGAATACCTTCACGGATTGGTCTTTTTCGGCCTTTTCGTCTCATAGTGACCTTAAGAATCAGGCACAGGTTTTAACTGATATGGCACATTTCAGCAGAACCTCAAACCGTTCAGGTTTACCACAAAAGTTTAGCAGGTCGACAGGGCGCACCAAAGGCTTCGTACAAAATATTGGTGTTTCAAGGCTGGCCCCACCTGAACTTTGTGTCTGCTGCACCCCTACAAACCGCGCCCCTCCAGCCGTCGTCCACTGCAGTCAGTCGCCTTCCTGTCAACCACGCTTCAAAATCACGACTTTTGACCCGGTGCACCTCGCCTTCCACTTCTTTAATTCTCCCGGACTTACTTGACTCGACGCTTCCCAAGACTGCAAGACTGCAACACCATTCATTAATACGTCTACCCAGTAAGACAACCCGTTTTCCCTCTGGGCTGTCGCTGCCCCTCCACCGATTCCTGCTCCATCTCGTCGTGTTTCTGTTGCCCACGACAACACAGGCAGGACGAGGCTCTCCGGCGCGTCTTCACCTGCGCAATCTCTTGCTTCCATCGCCGCCTGGAAATCTAGTATTTCCGAACATTTCAATTGTTCAAGCTCGGTCCGTCCAGTTTTCACTGACGAAACTTCTTTGCGACTAGACTTCTACCCAAGATCTCCAACTCCAAGTCATCAACATGGCGGACAACGCTGAGAACGGAAGTGGAAACGCTGGCTCCGATGGCGCCGCCCCCGCCGTCGAGCACCTTAACATCAAGGTCACGGATAACAACAACGAGGTCTTTTTCAAGATCAAGCGCAGCACCAAGCTCGAGAAGCTCATGACGGCGTTCTGCGAGCGCCAGGGCAAGACGTTGGCTTCGGTCAGATTCCTCTTCGAGGGTCAGCGCGTGCAGCCCACGGACACCCCAGACACTGTGAGTAAAATCTGACATGCACCTGTCATGCGTATGTGGTGATGTTATTACCAGCCCGGGAACACTATGGCAGACGAAGCATCCAACTACGCCGGAAATCCGTTTGCTGACCATGTCTTTGCCCCAATAACTATAGCTCGAGATGCAGGACGGTGACTGCCTGGAAGTCCACCAAGAGCAGGTCGGCGGCTGCTAGACAAGATACGATCCATACCACAAGGAGAAAGGAAAAAACATGAGAAAATCATAACCGACCACATCCACGGTAGCGGGCGCAACGACAACCAGTGACTTGGTCTCCTCCAGCAGGTGGCTCGGGTGATATCCGATTCCATGACAGGACAGGACAGGAACTGGGAGTTTCGGAATTGTGACATTTGGATTGGACACGGGCTTATGGAGCATATCACGACTTTTCGCCAGCATCACTGGCCGCACGCTACGCACTTCTCTGCTATTTCGTTGCGATCCGCATTAGGTGATGCCTAGGAGAACCGGAGTTCAGAGGGTGCTATTATTGGGGTCATGGGGCGGAGGGCACTGAATTGAGGGACATCTGATTCTGGGTTTACCGGATTTTGACAGGACGCCAGCTGGCTTGCCCGGCATATTATTTCTGTTTTTAGGCGGCGTGAACACGGCATCTTTCAAGAACTGTCATTGGCATTCTACAGTACCTCTTTCTTTCTCCCTCGATTGCCACTCCCAGATGTTGTGGCAACATTGCAAAACCTCGTTATGGTGGCATGCCACATACTCGAGCGCTGTGGGATATCGACAATACAGAAATCCGTGACCTCACCTATTACCTCTGCTCCCTCTCGGCCAGCGAACCCTTTGCATTGACATTCTGTCCGCAGACAAAGTCTCTACTCTTTGTTACCATCTCCTCCAACTCGTCCGACTCCGATCGTCATTCTCGAGTGCTGTTGGATATCGTCGACGTCCTATCTATCGTTTCAAGGCTCATCCAACCATGACCGTCCCTGATGCCCATAAGGTAGGCTACTCTGACAAGTTCATGATTGCAGATACCGAAGAAACCCGCGAAATCCCCAAACATGGAGGAGCTGCAGAACTATTCCTTTTAAAACATAGTGCTGGCTGTCAAGTCCGAGCCTGTATATCGAAACGCAAGCAAGTTACGGTGGTGGGCAAAGTTGTAGAGCTTTCACTAACAGGGCGGGCATATGTGTAGACATAGGCTGGTTGTGCTGCTTACCCGACTGTCGGGCGCTCTAAAAGGAAGTTCATGTCTGTGAGGTTCGTGAGTTTCTTCGGTAATTACACTGTGATAATCGACTTTCGCGGTTTGATGTTGTATTATTGTGATATTATTAGTTATTTTGATACTCGTACATATACCTCCCTAAACATTTATAACTAAAAGGAAATGCAGAGCAACACCCAGGTTCCAATGCTATGCTGATGTCAAAAAAAGACGTAGGAAGAAACACCCTTGCAATGCTAATAAGACCTTCCAACCCCTATATCCCTATCCTCCGTCCTGCGCTGTGCTCTTCTTTGTGTGTCCGTCCCCTGGAAAAGTGAAAGAAACCCATTACTTCCTTATGCCTATGCCTTCAACTCCCTCTCCATGCACCCAGTACAAAGCACAACCATCTCACCCGGCACCGTGCCGGCCCTCCCTTCCCTGGGAAAGATCTGCCCATCATCGAACCCGCCGCCGCAGTCGGCACAGCGGAAACACTCATCGTGCCACTCGCCGCCGAGCGCCCTGATGTACTGTCCGATGACCGCCTTCCTGCACTTGCGGCACTTGGGCGCCCTGCGCTCGGTGCGCTTCGTCTGGCACGACACGCACCACGCATAGCCGTCCTTTTCGATATGCGTCATGCCGCGCTCAAACGGGTCGCCGCACTCGGCGCAGAAGAAGTGGCCAAAGTGCCAGTGGTGGCCCAGCGCCACCACGTGCTCGCCCATGATGGGAGTCGTGCAGTGCTTGCACCGCGGCGCGAACAGCTCGTGCCAGTCCAGGTGGCAGTAGAACCGGAGGCGCGCGTCCCCGTCCTCGGCCATGGTCTGGCCCGGTGTTTCGGGGAGGTGCTCGCCCGCGGCCCGTCGGGCGATGCGCTCGAGACGCGCCGCCCGGTGCTCAACCGGCTCCGGAGAGATCTCGAGCGCCTCGAGCGACGTGCCGCATGTGTAGCATGCGAAGCACTGCGGGTGGAAGCGCTCCGTCATCCCCGCCAGCGAGACGAAGCGGCCTTCGATGAAGTCGCCGCACTCGTGGCAGCGAGCCGTGGCGCGGCTGCCTGCTGGCTTGGGAGCCGGTGACCAGTGGCTGCGCGGTCGAGCTGGCATATGTCGACCTCCGGCTCCCGGGGTGGGTCGTCGAGAGCTGCTGCTGTTGGTGGTGCTGGGTTTGTCGTCTGGCGTGACAATTACAGGAATGCTAGGTCCATCATCGTCAGATCCGCCTGGGAGGACAATCTGAGGGATGTTAGATCGTGATGATGAAGCTGGTTCCGAGACAGCGATGGAGGGAACAGATATTGAGGGGATAGAAGATGAAGATGACGGTGCATTTATTTGAATACTGGGTGGGGCTGGGACTGGGAGTGGGCGTCTTGTTGGTGACGAGGACGACGGTGGGGTTGAAAAACCATTCGAAACAGAGATAACAGGGACGGTCGGCGTCGAGCCCGGCTGCTGTCGTGGTTGTTGTTGTGGTCGCTGGGGTTGCTGCGGGAGTGCTCGCTGCTGCTGTTGCTGTTGTTGGTGTTGGTGTTGGTGTTGGTGTTGCGGTTGCGGTTGCTGCGGCTCTTCTTGGGGTTGCTGCGACTGCTGGCTGCGGAAACGTCCAGAGACGAGCGGCGTCGAGCGGTCGTCACTCTTGCCGAATCTCGACGGTCCTTCTGGCGTATCATCAGCAGCCTCATCAGGAGCTTTCCATTGTCTGTCAAAGCTTACGATGGGTCGACCGGGATTGTCACTGACGGCAGACGGCGTGGGTAGCTTGACGCTGCGGTCTTTCAGCTTCATGCTTGTGGCTTGCCGTATCTCATCGCTGCGAATCTCCATGCCGTGCTTTCGAGGAACCTCTTCTTGCACCGGCTTCTTTCTCTCCCAGGGCAGAGCGGGGCGTACGTTGGTAGTGTACTGAGGGTTGCGAGATTGGGTGACGGGGTTGCGGTGAATCTCGTACTTTTCGTACCTAGATCCGTCTTTGGGAGGGGACGATGCAACGCCATCCGCTGCCGGGGACGTTTCAGGGGCGAACTGTACGCGATGATTCAGGGGGTTCTTGGGCTTCGCTCCCAGCTGCTCAGGAGTTCTGATTTGTGCAAAGTTATCCAGGCTAGAAGAAGATGACCGCGCTTCTGATTCCTCCGAAATCTTTTCACCTGGGAACGGCTTCTGGGGCTCACCAAATATGTCCTTCTTCGAACCACTCCGTAGGTAACCACTATTACCTGAAAAGGTGCTGTACGACTTAGAGTTACCCGATTCCGGGGAGCCGTCTCGCATACGCTCTCGGCTCGCCCTAGGAGTCTCGGGCAGCCTAGAAAGCAGCGGGCGAGCTGAAGCCGGCGATACTGGGCTTCGACTTGACCCTTGTCCTTCCTCCCCATCCGTAGAACTTCCCGACATTGAGTACGTGCTAGTATCTCTGGCTAGACCAGTGGGGGCCACATCACTGCCGTATTTGACGCTGGCTGTGCGAGCATGGGCGTAGCTTTTTTCGCGCAAGTGAGGCGTATACCGATATGGAGTGCCTGGCTCGGGCGGCCTTTCTTTCCCGGGGTTTTCGTGTTGCCATACCAACTCAGCTGCCTCGGCCAGCGCGGCTTCGTAGAGACGCCTTTCCTCCTCGGTTTGCTCTGGAGCCTCATCGTTCCCAGAGCCGGCGCCGACATCGGGCCTGACTAGTGGACCACCGCTGGCGCTCTTGCTGTGTCCTTTTAGGTCCATGTCCTCCATAGCCTTGCGCAAAGAAACGGCTTCCTCCTTTTCCATCCACCTCTGGCCACGTTCGATATAAGTAGCGGAAGGCACCACCTCTGACGGCTTCAAGGGCCGGGCTGGACGGTCTGGGTAGTAATCCCTACCTCGGGTCACGTTCGAGTACTTGGAGCCGACGCTGGCGGTCATGGAGTTGCGGCCAGGGGACAGCTCGGTAGGTTCTGAAGTGTCATTTTGGACGGGAGAGGAGGCGGTCTCGGGTTGGCGAGGGGCTTGTGTGAAAGATGGTCGGCTGCTAGGCGAGGGACTGGCAGCAGCAGTAGAGGCAGTATCGCGCTTCGAAGCGGGCAGTGGACGTGCACCACCAGGCCTGTTGAGTCGACTGGCGCGTAGATCTTTGAGATATGCGGCTGGATGGTGAGTGTTTGTGTTAGTGCGAGACAGGCCATCAAACACGTCCACACCCCCACCGCTATAGCACCTAGGAGATAAAGAACGGCGTACCAAACTGCTCGCTGCTCATGTAAGAAGGCGATGGCGGAGTGGCCTTTTTGGGCGAGGCACGCTCGTTCGAGTTACTCCGGGCAAACATGGCGGGCGAGAGGTGACCCCCTTCACGGAGGTGTTTTGCTGCCCTATCTCTTCTTATTTATTGAAATGGCGGGATGTCGATCGTCAATGATGGCCAGGAGTGGGGAAGTCGAGACGGTGAAGGAAAGGGTTGGTGGTCGAAGGCTGTCAGAAGCGGAGTGAGCCTTGGGAGGCAAGGTGGAGCGCCGGACAAGCCCGTCGTTTAAAAAGGAGTCAAGGACTCTAGGCGGAATTGGTCTCTGCTGCTATAGGTGTATGGACAAGTACCGAAATCACTTTTAAAATAATCGGTTGTGATGCTTGTTGTTGTTGTTGTTTTTCGTTTTGTGTACCTACCCACGTGCCCCGTCGCGATGCAAAGAAACAAATGGAAGGCAGACGGGCATGAATGTCTATTGTTGACAATGAAGGAAAGGCACAGAATGCAAGAAGTAGAACAACAAAAGGAATACTCTGGGTCAGTCTAATTAGGAGGGTATAAGGAAGGTCAGTCACAGGGAGGAGGAGGACCGTGAATAGGTACAAGTAATGAGCTGAATGAGAGAGTTGGTCACGGTCAAACGGTATCCGTTCCAAGCGATTCGATGACGGCTTGATCGAGAATTGACAAAACAAGACGGAAGGGGGGTCTCCCCAGCGACGGGCCCGGACCGCGTAGCTGGAAAACAAATGAAGTGCCTGCAGCTGTGCAGCTGTTGCTGACACGTACTGTGCTCATACTGGATGTAGTACCCCGTTACCCCGTACCCAAGGTGGTATCTGGAGAAGAGTGAGGGTGCCTGGGCGCGGTGTGAATCTGATGTGAATCCGGAGCTTCCAATAAGCTGAAGTGTCGCAAGGACGTTGCATTCCGCTTTCACCGCAGCTTCACTCGAATTCACAGGTTTAGGTACTTTCATTCATGTGAAGACCCAGCGGTGTTCCAAGGGGCGATACGGTGATCAAACATATGAGGAACGCGATGATACGCCGTATTGTATAACGTAGGTACATATTAGGGTGTAAGACGGTAACGACGACCTTGATGGTCAATGCGAAAAGTTTCCAGTCTCGAATTGGAAGGAGCTTGCTTGACCCAATGAGGCTTCCGAGGCCTAGGCCTAGGTGACACTCGGCGAGATGGGAAGGGGTGAGTGGTGACCCCCCCCAAAATCCTTGACAGAGCGAGCCCCATGTATTTCAAGATACCTACCAACAACCCAAGACATCCCTTGATCTCATCACCCATGGTTCATCTCATGCATGATCTCCAGGTTCAAAGTTCTCAGTTACCAAATTTGTCTTTCAATCGTTTCCACCTCCATACACTAAGTACCGCATCCCATTCACAACTCCAGCGCCCACTCATCGCGATGCACGATAATACCCAATCCCGCCCTCAAGCAGCATTCTGCTGTATATTGTGCATTCCAACGAGAGCCGCATACTGCAAGCCCCGCCTTCTGGAAGGAAAAAAATGGCCGATCCTTGGTGGATAGGTACTAATAGGGCTCTCGTCATCAACACAGCAGTTGACTAGCTCTCTGTTTGCCCCCTTCCGCCCCTACACTAGCAGTGACAACGGGTGTGTCGCCCCTTGTTCTCCCCGCGTGCCGCCCTGCCGCCTTGTCAGTGTTGGGTGTCAATCCCAAGAGGGTGGGTAGTGAACCGGGAATAAATGGAAAGCCAAGTGAAAGAGAACACTCTGCATCCTTCCATTGCCTTTCTCTTCACGGTCAAGGTACGAGGATGCAGCAGGATCGTATGTTTGGCCAAGTCAGACAAGGGGCTCAAGCTAGAGGGCAGTGGGCGACTCATCCATCCTGGCTCACCTCCAGGGTCATGGTCAGCATCTTGGACCTGTCTTGTGACAAAGGGACCAGGGCACTTTCACCCATTTCCGAGATCCGCACGAGATCCGGAGCAAACAAAACGTTGGAGAGAGAGGTTTCGGCATGTCCTTGCCGGTTCGGCTTGACTCGAACGGACATCATCTACCAACAAAGCACAAAGAAAAAGTGAGTGCTTTCCGGACCACTTTCCGGACCACTTTCCGGACCATTTGCAAGTATATCATGTCTAGCACCTGCTACAATGGGATTATATCCGTAGGGGGCCACCGATTCCGCTCTTTTAGAGGCTCCAACCCGAACTGAAAGCGGGGGGCCCGTTCGGCTGCTTTAGTGTGAAGAGCGTGCTTCCACTTACTTAAAAGCTTTCTTTTCCCGGAAAACAAACCCGAGCGAGCGCGAGCAGGATGGGCAGTAGACCTAATCGTCAGTTCCTGAGTCACTCTCTCATCTTCACCGTACCTTTTGGCATTTAGTGGTATGCTTGTTGGGTGATACGTCCTTAGCCATCGTTGTCCTCGTACTTGGAATCCAGACTTTGTCTCGTTGCTGTTGTTGTTGTTAGACCAACAACCAACAACCAACACATCAGGCCACCAGGGGTGTCATGCTCATTCTCTTGATGCTGTGATATCAAGTCTTTTGCTCATGCCCTGTTGAGGTTGTATCAGTAATTTCTGTTTCATCCTGGGCTCCACCTGCCTGCTCGTCTGCATTTTTGTTTTTTTTGCTTCCTCGGAAATCTGAACTCTCTCCTTTGCCAACTACATACACTTGCGGGCATAGTCAAGGAGGCTGGAATGACTTTGGGTTTCAACTCTTCAACGGCTCCGGCGCCGTCTCGTCAGCATGCAGGCTTCCCGCCATCCGATCAGGCCAGGGCCGCAATTGGACCCGAGTCCAAGTCTCTTTCTGGTGAAAGCCCGGAAGACAGTGATGCTGTTCAGAAAGAGGTCGAGTTCAAGGAGGGAGGATATGGCTGGTTAGTCTCGCCTAGTTATCCCATACTATATGTATACCTCCATTATTTACTGACGTTCATGACCTTTAGGGTGGTGGTCTTCGGTGTATGGCTTGTGAATATGCATACGTGGGGCCTCAACTCGGTAAGGCTTCCTCCCCGTGCTTTCTCTTGAACAACAGGTGAAGGACAACCGCTGACTCAGTTATACACCATATAGTCCTATGCCATCTTCTTAGCCTACTACTTGCGATCCGGCACAATCATAGGAGCGTCCCCTCTGTTCTTCGCCTTCATTGGCGGTCTCTCTTGTTCGATAGGTGCGCTTCTCTTACCAAAGCCTTTTCCCCTATGAAGTAACGATGCCCGGTGTCCGCTAACACTCCGTTTTGTTCTCTCTCATAGCTCTTCTCGTGTCGCCCCTTGCCACTCATAGTATCAAAACTCTCGGGACTAGGATCACACTCTTCATAGGTGTTGTCTTCGAAGCGCAAGTCACCCTAGACTAACATGTCTTTCCCTTCTGTTCCACCAAGTTGACCTTTTCGCTAACCGTATCTTGGTTGGAACTTGCAGCGGCTCATTCATCGGCGCCTCCTTCTCTACCCATGCGTGGCAGCTTCTTCTGAGCCAGGGCGTCTGCTTCGGCTCTGGTATGGGTTTCTGCTTCACAGCTACCGTCGGCGTTGTCCCGCAATGGTTCACCAAGCGGCGATCTTTCGCCAACGCCCTGGCAACAGGCGGTTCCGGATTCGGTGGTCTCACCTACGCCCTGGGAGCGAACGCCATGATCACGCATCTCGGGTTGGAGTGGGCATTCCGCATCCTGGCCATCATCTGCTTCGTCGTGAATGGCTGCGTCTGTCTGATCATGAAGGATCGCAACAAAGCCGTCGGAGCCAAGCATATAGCCTTCCACAAGGACCTCTTCTTCCAGCCTGAGTACTGGCTCTTCGTCGGCTGGGGATTCTTTGGTATCATCGGCTATATCATCGTCGTCTTCTCCATTGCGGACTATGCTTTACAAGCTGGCTTCACTAGCGATCAAGCATCGTTGGCGTCGGCCATGTTCAATTGTAAGTGTCACCACCCATTTCCCTCGCACTGAAAGTATGGCAAATAGTGTTTCAGTCTTGTTCATCCACGCTAACCATCTCAACTCCTCGTCCTCGCAGTATCCCAAGCGCTTGGCAGACCTGCCATCGGCCTCCTCAGCGACAGGCTAGGAAGGTTGAACGTCGCTGGAATAGGGACACTTATTGCCAGTGTAACTGCCTTCTTTTTGTGGATTTTCGCCGGCAAATACTTCGCAGGGCTCATCATCTACGCGCTCTTTGGGGCGGTAGCCGGTATTCTCTGGCCATGCGTGGGGCCTGTAGCAGCAGAGGTTGTTGGTATACAGTTGTTGCCCGCAGGTAAGTGACAACCATTCATACGTGTACGGGCTAATCCCCATCTCCTCGTGAAAGGCTAACGTTGTGGACTGGCAGCTCTTTCCGTCTACTGGATTATCCTGGTTTTCCCTGCCACATTGTGAGTTTCCACCATTGATGATTTGCGTTGTCCAAAAAAGAAAGACATGTTGGCTAACCGGTCTCACAATACAGTGCCGAAGTGATCGGATTGAGTCTCAAGCGGGAGATGATCGGAGCAGGCGTCTACTTGAATGTGCAGGTATTCACTGGCTTCATGTTTTTTGCATCCTTCTTATCCAGTAAGTATACCCCTCGACTCCTCTCCCTAATTCACCAAATACCCGCGTGTTTTCTAACCATGCCTTCTTCATGCAGTGTGGCTCCTGAGAAGCTGGAAACTCCGTCAGATGGAGTCGCTCGGCCTGGATGAAAAGGAGCAGGAGGCGGCCATCCATAATGCCGCTGCCATCCATCCCAGCGAGGAAAAGAAGCATGAGTCGACTTCTACCAGGCGACAACAAAACATCGTTATCTCGTACATAACGAACATGTTCGTCATGAAGCGTCTGTAACTTCATATACGGTCGTTTACGAGGGATCACGTATATAGGCCCCCCTTGGATACAACATCCTTCATGTCATTTGTGACGATGATCATGAAATACATAGTCAATGAATTCTAATCTTAATCGACGACTCTCTTGGAGCCTGTACTCTTGATGTTTCCTTCGATTGACCACCGCAGTCTGGCAACGTTGAATGGCCCACCTACAGTCCAATACTGGTTTGTTTATTAATTCGAGACCTCTGGTTAACTTCCCTAGGCATTTTCATATCGTATTGATTCGTTCCGTTCTATGACTAAAGCGTGATCTTACCTTGAAAATGCTATTTCCGAAATTTAACATATTCATTTGGAATTTTGTTGATGCCTTTCCGATCCGTTCTTAGTTAGCTATTCATTTTGTCATTATAAGGTTTGGGATAGTTCGGAATGGATCTCGTCCAATGTACTCGCAATAGTAAGTTTAATAAATAAACCAGCACTAGATTGTACAAGAAGGATGCATCTATCTGCGAGACAACTCAATCGCCTTAGCCGCCGCCTCCTCAAAGTCATCAAAGGCATAAAGCGGCAGCTGACTATCCGCAATGATCTTCTGTCCTTCTTTCTCATTCGTACCCCTGATCCTCACCACAACAGGAACCGTAAGCGACAGCTCCCGGAAGGCCATAATGATGCCGCGGGCAATCATATCACCCAGCGTCAGTCCTCCAAAGATATTCACAAACACGACCCTTACCCGCGGATCCTGCAGTATGATCCTGAAGCTTTCTTTCACTGTTTCGCTGGTCGCCTTGCCGCCCGTGTCCAAGAAGTTGGCCGCCTTCCCGCCCACGTCCGCCAGAGCGTCGACCGTGTTCATAGCCAGCCCGGCCCCGTTCACCAGCGTTCCGATTGTCGCGTCTTCCCCGGGTAGCTTGACGTACACGATGCCGCTCCGCTGCGCCTCGATCGCGGCCGGCTCATTGGTGGCGCGGACATACATGGCCTTGATCTTGTCCTGGGGCGTGCCGTTGCGGAAGGTGGCTTGGTCGAAGGCAAAGCGGGCATGGACGACTTTGATCTCTCCGAGCCGCTCGACGATGTGCGTCGTGAGGAGGAGTCCCTCCTGTTCGTAGAAGAGCCTCGTCAAGGTCTTGATGAGCCGTGGGAGTGAGTCGACCGCGCTGTCACCCTTGTTGCTCAGCTGGAGGTGGCTCGCGATTCGTTCGATGGCCAAGTCGTCGGGTCCCCGGCGGTAGTCAAATGGAAAGCTCTTGACTGGCGCGGTGGTGCGCTGGGCCTCTTCCATCCAGTCTTCGATAGAAGGGGCGACCAGGATGGAAGGAGAGCGTGCTGAGCGGTCGATGCCGACAGCGAGGAGGCGGCGGGTGCCGTGGCCGGAATATGGGCCGCAGTTGATCCCGCCGCGGACGCGGAGCTCAGCAAAGCACGGGTTCACATCGAGATAGATGCTCCGTCGCTGTTGATGCTGGTGCTTGTTATGGACGGATGAACCGGTCACGAGGGGACGCCGTTCGGGTCCTCTCATGGAGTGAAGCTGACGCCTTTGCGTGCCGCTCGCGAAAGGATTGGATCCGCTCGTCGTGCCGGACCCAGCTGTGCCTTGCAATTTTGTCTTCAAGATGTCGCCTATCTTGGCTGGGTGATTAACCAGGGTCACACCAGCATCCTCGAGTGCTGTGATCTTCGCCTTTGCAGTGGGTTCCCTGAGGGACGTAAAAGCACCGGCGTGTCCCATGATCCGGCCTGGTGCTTCATTTACACCGGCTATAAGACCAACAATTGGCCTTTGTGATGTACCATATTAGCTTTTCCGTAGACAGCCCGAGTACGGAGGGGGTATGGTTTAGTAGGTTGTATGACTTACTTGGGAGATTCACTGCGAGAGTAGTATTCTTTGATCCAGGCTGCAGCTTCAAGCTCTCCCATTCCACCGATTTCGCCAATCAAAGCGATGGCCTCAGTGTCTGGATCTTTCTCAAGGACACTCAACGCTTCTACCATGTCCGTCCCGGGTACCATGTCGCCGCCTACGCCTATGCACAGGCTCTGACCCAATCCCGCCCTGGTTGTTGATGCCACAGCTGCGAAGTAAGCAGTGATTAGCATGAGACGAGCACCTTTATTTGAGGGATGACTCCATAGCCACATTGGGAAACGGAGAGTACTGCCTACTTTCGTAACTCAGAGTGCCCGATTTGGCTACAATACCCACCCGCCCAGGCGAAAAGCATGGCAATGGTTGGAACCCTATCAAGAGATCGACATGTTAGTCTTCACCTTTACTAGAGGCACAAATCCCACCCGCGATATGCTATATGCGGGCGCTCGAGACTCCTTGCGTACCTATACGACACTTCCCTACAGCCGAGATGATGCCGGGAGAGTTAGGACCGACAAGTCTAGACTTGGACTGAGTCTTGAGTATGGAATGGATCTGAACATCCAAGTGTCAGTACATGACGACCGAGTACAGTTGGGCCTCTTGTGCGAGAAGCTTACCCTGAGCATGTCGTGAACTGGAATATGCTCAGCGACAGCTACTATAAGGGGCACTTCGGCTTCGATGGCCTCTTCGATAGCCCCGGGGGCCTGATGGGCGGCAACATAGATGGCGGTTGCGTCTGGCTTGAGTTGCTCCATAGCCTATAAGTCGCGGGGACCCCAGTGTTAGCTCTTTCAGAATCGGATGAGAGGCCTGGCCAGGACGTAGAGAGCTGGCTGCCGGTGGCGGTTCTAACCTGGCGGACGGAGGGTAGCACGGGAAGGCCGAGATGCTCTCCGGTGCGGCCCGGTGTCACACCACCGACTATCTTGGTCCCCCATGCTAAAGAATCCTTAGCATTTGCTGTGGCCTGTTTCCCTGTGAATCCCTGAAAGATTACTCGCGTGTTGCTGTTGATTCGAAGGAACGACAGAGTGTCTGCGTATGAGCCATGTAGGGGTTGACAGGTGGCGAAGGAACGTCGGCTGCTTGATGGCGTTTGTAGCCTACAAGCCCATTGGCTTTGAAGGCTATGTACGGGTGAGCAATGCCTAGCGTGTTGATACATTTTCATGTTGATTTAGTTGATCACCACTGGCCGCCGTGGTGCAGGGGATTCTGGGAATATCTGTGTAAGTTGCAGAAATCCACCAGGCACAATGGATTGTTGTAGTACACTCAAATCAGTAGGCAACGATATTGGACGGTTACCGTTATATAAGGGTGTGCTCTGGTAAAGATGGCACAAGTGTGATTGTAAACAACGGCAAGGCCTTTTTGAAGATGGAAGTCGAGATCCATTTTAGAAAGATGGAGAAGCAAGAAGAGCCGTCTTGACTTGATCCAGCTTTCCGGAAGACATTTAGTTCCGACCTCCACGTTGTCTTGCCGTTCTTGCCTGTCAGTAGGACGAATTAATGCGGCCGACCCGGTAGCGGACTTGTGAAACGGTAAACTCGGAGCCGTAACGGTGATGGCCCCCGCCCTCCGCACAAATGGTTGGCGCTAGCTGATGGCAGGGGTAGCAAGTGTTTGTGGTACAACTTGCAAGCTTTTGACAAGACAGACGATTTGAGAAATGGAAGGAGACGTCGGCAAAGTCGGATACCGCTCCGGGAAAGCAAGGCCAAAGAAGGGTTTTTTTTTTTTTTTTTCTTCAACGCTGGTGGCAACTCGAGTCTCTCACCACCGCAACTCTCCCTTCACACCCTTTTCAGCCTCAGCGGGCGTACTTGCTGGTTCGTTTTCTTTGAAGCCTAGGTTTTTGAAATCATCCTTGGCCATCAAGTTGCTGAATATCAACATGGTTAGCAGACAGAGACGTCCAAGGGAGATGTAGCTGCCACCCACCGTTCCATGCGGCATGCGAGATAGGCCTTTGCCAGCGACCGACACTCATCTTCGTTGACTCCCTTGACCCTCTTGATGCAGGCAAGGTAGGTTGTCATGACGTGTTTGCATTCTCCTGGAGGGCAAAGTATGAGTGAGAGTTACATGCACTGAGTGGTGAATCCTTACCGTCATGATCCAGGGGAAAGCTCCCTCTCTGGGGCCTTGAGGTGTTGGTCAGTTTTCAATGCAGAACATGGCATTCTCGGCTCGTTGACTTACGGCGTGGGCTTTGTTGTTGGCAAGGCGCCAGGACTTCCAAAAGTACTCATATTGCAAAGCCGGTGATGGTAAAGTTGATAGTCAAACGAAACCTGGGCAGGATACTTTGGTCCTTGTTTTCCTTAAAATTGTGGTTTTCCTTCTCTTGCAGGGCGTCCGCAGTTTGGGATTCGAGGTGTGCGACTTGGATGTGGATGAAATGCGCCTGGGCCTGGAATGGTCCCGAGTGCCTTAACACGATAGGCGCCCGGATTGCCTGTCTTCAGGGCATGCTCTGTTAGTGCAGCTGGGTAAGCGCTGAAATGGAAGGTCACTGTACCCGGGCTGTATCGGGGTGGACTGTATATTGTGGATGGAGATGCCCTCTCGGGACCATAGAACTACGGGTTAGGGAACTATTAAAGGATGCGTTCTGGATGCATACCGGAAACAGACTTGGATGTTTAGGCCATCGATATGTGCTGGACGACCTCCGAAGGTCTCTCACTCCGCCCTCCGCCCGCCGTTGTCCGAGTCCGCGGTCCGCAACCCGGCCGGGAGCCAAGGACTTCGGATGAACGGACGAGCCAGAGGATGCACCGTGTCATGCCTGCCCATCCCCGCCATCCCGCCGTCCCCGCTGTCGGCTTCAACCTCAATAGTGTATGTACATTGTAGAAGTACTTGGTAGTCGAGCTTCAAATTCTGACCTTTTGTTTTGGCCGCGGGGAGCCAGTCAGGTAGCGGAACGGCTGCATGAAGGCCTGGAAACCTGTTCATCAGGCCGGGTCGGGTTCGATGCCCGGGTGCAGGCGCGACGACAACGCATCAACTTCCAAACTTTTATCGACCAAGTGAAAGTGGGGACCTGGGACTCGACCCGACCAGGAACCGACCCCTCCCTCTCCCTCACTGTGTGTGAGTGCTTTGGATTCTGGAAGCGCCCCCCGGTTATAGATTTTTGGCATCCACATCAACATCCACATCCACACCCACCACCGGGGCGCCGCGACATTCTGCTGAGGGTATCCCTCATCGCTTCAGGTTTCGAGCTGTCAGTGTGCTGCATTGGATTCAGTTGTACGTACTCGCTGCACTTGGACAGATCATCGATCGCCTCGTGCCTCGTGCCTTGTGCCTTGTCCCGCCAGCCAGCAGCCTCTTGCGCCTTTGCCCAGTCAAGGCAACTTTCTTGCTCGTAAATTCTTTTCCCGTCCTGAAGCCGATTCTGTCGCCAGCCGAGCCTCTTCTCCTGCCACCCGCCCGCACGGCCGCCAACCACCTAGCGCTCGTCTTGTATATACCAACTATCCGAATCGACGAGGCCATCGACCCTCACCCCATCAGGATACGCCCAGCCCGCCCGCGCGACCACCCGAACCGTGACCTCGTCCTGCCCGACCTCGGGCCCGATTTCACACTTGCGCTCAACCCCGGCTTCCGCCCACCTTTTCGCTTGCGCTTTCTGAACGCGATCCGCTCAACCGTCGTCATGGCTGCTCTCGGTGACGACCTGCTGGGCGTTGTCAACAAGTTGCAAGACTTGGTCTTCAACACCATCGGAAACGATTCCCTGGATCTGCCCCAAATCGTACGCAAGACCCGCCCACCACCTGAACCTTTCCGCTCCACGCCCGCAACCTCTCCTTGTCCCAATCCTCCAATGCACCGGTCCCCATCTGTCCCATTGCCCTTCCTTTCGCGCCACCAGAATGCTGATGACCCCCGCTCTCCATAACAGGTTGTCGTTGGATCCCAGTCCGCTGGCAAGTCGTCCGTCCTCGAGAACATTGTTGGTCGCGACTTTCTCCCCCGCGGCAGTGGAATCGTTACTCGGAGACCCCTCATTCTTCAGCTGATCAATGTCCCCGCCGACGACGACGCCGAAGATGCGACCAATCCCAGCTACAGGAACCCCAATGCTGCTGGCCGCAACGAGTGGGCAGAGTTTCACCACATTCCCAACCGGAGATTCACCGATTTTGGCGACGTCAAGCGCGAAATCGAAAATGAGACAGCGCGAGTTGCCGGTACCAACAAGGGAATTAACCGCCAGCCCATCAACCTAAAGATCTTCTCTCCCCATGTTTTGAACCTAACGCTCGTTGATTTGCCTGGTCTTACAAAGGTACGCCGCTTGAAGCTCTGGTGAACATGTCGTCACAAGTCTAACGTGTATATGCCCAGGTTCCCATTGGAGACCAGCCCACAGACATTGAGAAGCAGACGCGCAACCTCATCTCCGAGTACATTGCGAAGCCCAACAGTATCGTCTTGGCTGTCTCGCCTGCCAACGTCGACATTGTGAACTCGGAGGCCTTGAAGCTCGCCAGGCATGTCGATCCCATGGGCCGGAGGACCATTGGTGTCCTCACAAAGGTCGATCTCATGGACCACGGAACAAACGCCCTGGACATCCTGTCTGGTCGCGTCTACCCGCTCAAGCTTGGCTGGATTGGCGTGGTAAACAGATCGCAGCAGGACATCCAAGGCAACAAGCCAATGGAAGAGGCCTTGAAGTCCGAGTCCGACTTCTTCAGGCATCATCCCGCGTACCGAAACATCTCCACCCGTTGCGGAACTCAGTTCCTCGCCAGGACCCTCAACACCACCTTGATGGCTCACATTCGCGAACGCCTGCCAGATATCAAGGCTCGTCTTAATACCTTGATGGGTCAAACCCAGCAGGAACTGGCAAGCTACGGGGACATGCACTTCAGTGGCAAGGAGCACCGAGGTTCTCTTATTCTGCAGCTCATGACCAGGTTTGCGTCATCGTTCATCGCGTCCATTGACGGTACCTCGACGGAAATATCGACAAAGGAGCTCTGCGGCGGTGCTCGTATCTACTACATCTTTAACTCGGTCTTTGGAAGCTCTCTCGAATCGATCGACCCCACCTCCAACTTAACCGCCCTCGATATCCGGACCGCGATTCGCAACTCGACTGGTCCCCGGCCTAGTTTGTTTGTACCTGAGATGGCCTTCGATCTCCTTGTCAAGCCCCAGATCAAGCTTCTCGAGCCCCCTAGCCAGCGCTGCGTAGAGTTGGTATACGAGGAGCTCATCAAGATCTGCCACACTTGTGGCTCCACTGAGCTATCGAGGTTTCCCAGGATGCAAGCCAAGCTCATCGAAGTTGTTTCTGACTTGCTTAGGGAACGGCTGGGTCCCTCGTCCAACTATGTCGAGTCGCTAATTTCCATCCAGAGGGCTTACATCAACACTAACCATCCCAACTTCCTCGGTGCGGCTGCAGCAATGAGCCATGTTGTTAGCAATAAGCAGGAGAGAGAGAGGAAGCGTTTGATTCAAGAGGAGCGCGAAAGACGTGAACGGAGACGGCAGAAGGAGCTTGGTGCGAATGGCACCGAGACCCCTGTTGAAGGGGAAGAAGAAGGTACTGCCCTGGAGAAGACGGACAACGTTCACGTGCGCAAGACGGCTGGAAAGGGTGTCCGCAGCAATAGCATGTCCCCGGCTATCCGGGAGAATGGCCCCGGCAGCATTGCGAGCGCTTTGAACGGAGCCAGATCGAATTCTCCTTCTCGCTTCAACGGAGGGCAAGGCGTGGGTAACGCTAAGGAGTCCTTCTTGAACTATTTCTTTGGCAAGGACGGGGCCATTGTTCCCGGTCCTTCGCACAGCGGCAACATTGGCCGCCATGTCAACCAGCCTATGGAGCCTACATTTAGCCAAAGCATGAGACGCCCAGAGGACAGACAGGTGCGGGCGCCCACTCAGTCGATAAGAGCGGATGATGACATGGACTATGTCGGCAGTGCGAAGGGCACCGAGCTTGTAAGTTGGCCATATTCGCTATAAGCCTTTTGCATTTTTGTGCGCCCTATACTAACAATTTTTGAAGCAGAACAATGACGGCGAGCCGGCCATGACAGACCGCGAGGCTATGGAAGCCGAGCTGATCCGGGCTTTGATCAGCTCCTACTTCAACATTGTGCGCGAAAGCATCGCAGATCAGGTGCCCAAGGCGATCATGCATTTGCTTGTCAACCACTGCAAGGATGTGGTGCAGAACCGCCTTGTTAGCGAGCTTTACAAGGAGACGCTGTTTGAGGAGCTGCTTTACGAGGATGATGCAGTGAAAAAGGAGCGGGAGAAGTGCGAAAAGTTGCTCCAGACGTATCGGGAGGCGGCCAAGATCATTGGCGAGGTTGTATAAGGCTGAGCTCTACCCTTCCTTAGGCTACACCTACAGACCTTGGGAGGCCGGCCGACTCTGGTAGCAGCAGTACGACTGGTGTATGTATTATGAACCGAGCAGACTTAGAAAGGGGTTATGGCAGTTTTTCGATGGCGGTACTTGTGGCTTGTGTGTTTTTTTATTTCACGAATCTTGATTTGAAAAGATCCCTGCTGGCTAGCTGATATCTTGCTGTCCCGCTCAGCAAGGGGTGTCATATACGTGAACGGCGACTTTCCCCATTTACGAGGTAAAGTGAGGGCTTTCTGGATAGATAGGATAGAGTGTATACCGAACCAACGGCTTGTATGACATCCAAGCCGTGGCATATAATACTTGTGTAGGTCAATATATATGTCTAGGTAAATGTACATAGATAATAGTGCTCATCACCTAAACTTGACCGAGTTTCACTCGGACGGATAGAAACTCGCAACTGCAGCGAGTGAGTGAGTGAGTGTCTGCACTGTGCCTTCCTACATTATAAGCAGAGTCACTGACGCGTACCACACGGGCCAAACAGCCCAAAGAAGCACAGAAGCCAGCCTGCAACCGCGAGGAGCCTCGACGCACGGACCACGGTTGCGGATTTTAGTGTTGCGGGAAGGTACAAGGCAAATATGGAGGAATCAGTAACGGTTGCAAGTGCCTCTGTGCAGACGAACAGGCAGGAGCGAGACACTAACTAGCTTTTGTTCAGGGTTCCTGCCGCGAACAACCACTTCTTCGACCTAGATACGTCGAACGGGACATTTCTTCACTTCTTCCTTGACCACAACTTTTCCACCCTCCAGGTCATTTTCTGGTCATTAAGCTTATTAGCATCTCTCGTCTCCCACAAACTCATCAAGGTGCATGCAAAGGCCGCGGCCACGAGCACCATCACAACACGGTCAGCAGTTTCGACAATCGCGGCTGCGCTTGGCTGTCTTGTCTCGTGCGAATACCGCCCCGCGCCCTCTGCCATTCACCATTCATTCACCTTTCACCTTTCAACTCAGCAGCTCAACCACGCTCACCATCACCTCCAGCAGTCACATCGCACAACAGAGTTGACGCAGACGGCAGGAAAGCTACTATACCTTTACCGACCTCGGCCGACTTCGCCCATCACTTCTAACTCACAAAGCTAGACTCCCAAGGTGTATCTAGGTAGTCGACGATAGCGCAGAATCCGCGGACCTTCATCTGATGTGGCGCTGAACTGGACTTGACTCGTTTCCGTGCGGTGGATTGGCAGCTTCCGACAGAGAAAGGGAGCTCTGTCACCACTTTCTTCGTCCTTTCAAGGAAAGAAGTTTTCCTCGGTGTCCAAGGACCAGGTCTACCCGATCGTTGTCAACCTTACAGAGCTGTCGAGGTTGTCCTCCTTGCCATTGACAAGTGTTACTACTATAACTGCTACCTTACCTCCGTCCTTCTCCTCTTTCTTCTTTATACTACCTCTACATACTTTCGTTTCCGCTGTCCTTGGTGTCATCATCATTTCCCATCTCATCCAACCGCGTCAGCCAAGGTACTCGTCTGCGTCGTCACGATGACTGGGGATGGAGAAGACGTTCATCCTGGTTCGGTGCCGAAGCGAAATGGCTCAGTTCCAACGTCGAGGGATGATCAAGATCTCAATAGCTCCGTAGAGGTACCCAACTCATCAACAGCGGCCAGCACTGCGCTCGCCGTACCAACACTGACAGAGGCGGACGTCGGCATGGCAGAAGCCCCCAAAATGTCGTTGCTAGGGAAGCGCCAGACTCGCGAACATGCTGCTGATTCCGAGCACTCTCCCGAGTCTAGTGCAGGCGTCAAAAAGGTGAAGCTGGCGCAGGATGACGCTGGACAAACTGGACAAGCTGTCGAATTAAACAAGCTGCCACGGAACAAGTCTCAGCTGCCTGCTGAGGTTTGGCATCACATCTTCAGTTTCTGCCCCCCACGATCACTGGGCAATTTGCTACGCGTTAACAAATTGTTCAACCTCTATCTTGATCCTTCTCCGTCACTGGTCAACAGAGAAGTTCCTCCTCCAAAAGTCAAGGGAGTCTTGGGTTTTCTTAAGCCAAATGTCATCTGGCAGCTTTCCAGGCGGCTTTTTTGGCCACAGATGCCTGTCCCTCTTCGGTCAATGGCCGAGATCGATATGTGGCGGCTTGCTTGCTCACTAAAGTGCCAAAAATGCAACAAGCAACCGGCCCAAAGCCATGCTGCTTCGTCCGATTCCTGCTCTACAGCAGCTGCTCCTTGTCTAGGCCCGGGTCTGGATGGTGTTGCTGTCATCTGGCCCTTCGCTAGTCGCCTCTGCGGCCGCTGCTTGGTAACAACCTCGATGAAGGTATGTCTTACGTCAAAATCTGGAGAATCTCACAACAGGCTAATACGTGCAGGAAATCGATCTTATGGTCTCTCAATCTGTGCCTTCCACAGTTCTTCAGGGGATCCCGTTCGCCTACGTAACGCCAGACCTCCGTGTTCAACCATCCAACACGCCCGACACAGATAAACTAAAACTGTTTTCCCCCACCGACGTCGACGAAGTGACCAAGGAGTTCCATGACGTCCAAGCCCTCGGTCCTGGAGCCATGGACGAATGGATGAAGGGCCTCAATAACCGCGGTAAGAACCTGCAGAATCAGGCATCAAGATGGGAGAAATGGTATATGTCAGGTGGCGTTACAAGGATGCGTACGGAACTTTATCCAGGCTATGTCAACAACAACAAGGTCTCGTCCATCTCGACTTCAAACTCCGCAACGCCTGCCGCATCGCCAACCTCTTATCCAACTGCTCCGCCCGCAACCCGAGCACAAGTGCCCTCGTCGCAGGCTTCTTCTCAAGCACGACAAGAAAGGACCCCTGAGGAGGTCGCTGAACTCAAGGCGATCAGAAAGGCTGAGATTGAGCGACGGGCTCTACTCTTGGATCCTCCCCTTACTCCCAATGTCCTTCAGCATCTTCCTGCGTTCGAAGCGGCCATGCAGATTGTCCTTCCGTTTCAGGACAAGGATTGGGATTTTCTCAAACCTAGACTCCTCACCCAACGAGGCGAGGCAGAACATCGGCACCCTGGACTGGTTGTGGTCAAAGAGGAGGCTCAGCAGGATCGCACCGAGCGTCGTCAACTCGAGGCGACTCTGGCAACAACCAAAGAGGCGAGGGAACTCATCGACAAACAATGGGAGGAGACGCAAGCGCCATTGCGTGCGAGGATAGCCGGTCTTGCTGACGAGGCAATTCGTGAGACTTGGGGCAAGGGCAAGAAAGTGACAAGGGATAATTGCGCCAAGTTTGCCGTTGATGTTCTTTGCTACATACGGAAGCGTTTCTACGCTGAGATCGCCGAGAAGGCCGCTGCTGCTCGCTCCGCTGGCCGGGAAGTCCCGGTCGATCCTCCAGAGGGCCCCTTCACCCAAAAGCTTACCTTGGAGAACATGAAGTGGATCTTCGACACCAAGATCAAGCCTCATACCGAGTCATACCGCAAAGAGCTTTTCTATTGCAATGGGTGTGACACCAACTCGAAAACATTTGGCTTTGAGGGAGTGATCCAACACTACGCAGCCAAACACACGACTGCTCTCAGCTTAGGCACTATCGTTGTTCATTGGAGGGCAGAGTGGCCGCAGTACCCTCCTTTCCGTTATGGTCCCTCCAAACAACCACCTCACAGCCACGGCTTCCGACCATCTTTTGTTGGTAACTTGGGAGGCGCTGTTTTGCCACAGGGACACAACTACCCGTCCACGAATGGACACGCCGGGCTTCCTCCCTATCAACCCTATCCAGCACCTGGATATCATACTGCGCCATATCCAGAACAGTATCAGGCAATCCCTCCGCCAGTCTACCCCCAAGGCCCCTATGCTCCCGCTCCACAACAGCCCCTTTATGGACAGCCGCCGCCCCCACCACCACAGCAGCAGCAGCAGCCCTATGTAGCTCAGCCGCCCTTGTATCCGCCTTACCAACCTCCGGCTACAACGTACCCTCCCCCCGCTACCAGCGAGCCGCCACAAGGATATGGGCCACCGCCACCTGCGGTACAAGCCTACAACTACAACTCTTTCCAGGCAAATGCTCACAATTCGTACCCTGGAATACAACCTCCTGGATACCCCGACAGCTACCAGATCAGGCTCGAGGAAGTTGCTCGGTCATCGCGCGAAATCTGGAACAGTCTTGGGGTCATCAGAGACCTGCCAGGCAGCATTAGGGTCTTCGTCACGATCCATCATCTCGTCAAACGGTTTCATGCAAGGTTTGGCGAGGTTCCTCCCTTTGCTATGTTCATCGACGGTCTTTCCAATAATAAGGACATGCGACCTGTGCGGAACGTGAACGGCCTGGTCTGTAAAGCCTGCCATTTTGGACTTGGAAATGCTCCGCACGTACAGGAGGACAGAAAAACCTTTTCTCTGCCGCAGCTGGTTAATCACTTCCAATCCAAACATATCGAGCCTATGCAGGCCCAGGGAGTCTACCCACTGCTTGACTGGGTCCTGGATATGGTTTTGCTCCCCAATCTCGATACACTTTCAAGATTAAGAATGTGTGGCGAGCCCCAAAGGGGTATGCTTGCAGATGCCCTGCCACATCTCTTCCAACCCCGTTCGGCGTCTGTTCAACAATACCCTTCACCGTACCCGGTGCCGTCTAAGGGTAGGCACATCGAGTTCTCGGGACTGGGGATGAACGGTCTCGCCGGTCGTGAACAACCATACAGTGGCTCCCCCGCCCCAAGGCAATATTCATCGGCGGATCATTCTTCTAACAGAGACTCTGGCAACATGGTCCCACCTACCCTCACCAATAGCCGCTCTGATGCTCCTCAGAACGGCTATGTTTCGGAGCAACAACCAAGCTTAAACTCGGCTGTCCCGAATACCTCTGAATATGGAAGAGACGTGCAAGACGAAGGCAGGGTGGTTCAAGCACGAAGCTTTCGTGAGTCTGACATCAGAAGCAGGGATAACGAGGACAGGCATGGGAATTTTCAGCCAGCTATGGAGAGTGCCCGTTTATCCTTTAAGGAAGCCAAGAAGATTGAGGCCGAAACTGAGGAGTGGAATCAGGGATGGAGTACAAGCAGGACTGAGTCCGGCAAGCCATATTCCTCGTACCAAAATTCCGGCGCTGGAGAAAATGCCGATCGGCCGCGTGAAGCTTCATTGGTTCAGCGCCCAGCAACTCACACGCCTCCACGACCCTCAATGGCGGTCACTCGGGCAATGCAACCCTCGTCAATTACTGGACACGAGGAAATGTTGAATCTACAGCACCAAGGACATCCTTCGGCGGTTACTCACCGACATAGAGATTTAAGTGATCGCCCTTACACCGTCGAGCACGGAATGGCCCCAGCCTCGGGCGCCGCACCCGCATCAAGAATCTATAACCGCTACGACGAGGTTTCCAGGCGTTCGAGGTCCCCGGTGTACGGTGCCAGTTACCAGTCGGTGCCGCCGAGGAGAGATCGGAGTCCGTTGATGCAGCAGGTTGCACCGGCCTATCTCTCTGGGGCTGGAGCACCTCCCCTGAACGACGAGATGGGGTATAGAGGCTATCGTTCACAAACAGTTGTGCCGGAATATTTCCCAAGGCGAGCTGACACTGAGGTATACGACCGACCTCCTCCCCGGCCGGAGTATCATGATCATAACCATACCCCTAGACCGGAGTACTATCGCAATCCGGTGGACGCCCGGTCTCACTCACGGCCGCCGGCGCCGGCGCCGGCGCCGCCTGCCGACACATATGAGATCGTGCAAGTTAGGGACGAGCAAGGAGAGTATCTCATCCGGCGCCCCGTGCGACGGGAAGCGGCAGCCCAATCTTTCCACGACGTGGGACGCAGGGCCTATCGGGACGCGGATCCTTACGGTGCCGTTCCATATGCTGACAGCGAGCAGCCTGTCTATGCCGCGGATTCGCGCGGCGCTCCAGCCGGAGCATATACTAGACACGGTACAGTGATGAGAGAGGATACACAGCGAGGAACCCGTGGAGGGGATCCTTACTATGAGGAGTATGACCCTCGATATCCCGCTGCCTCGTGAGCCTAGTTTGGCCCAGAATGTGCCACTTTTAGCTTTGTTTGCCCTGAGTTTGAAATACGAGGGGTAAAAAGGGGCCACTTTCGGTCCATCTCACACTTATTCTTGAAATGGTTTTCTTATTATCTTGCTTTAAAACATCGGTTTGTAGGGTTTATGTCAGTGTGGAGGTATTCGACTCGGAAAGGGAAGATATCAAGATCGTTAAGCAACGAAAGATGGAGAATGGGCGCTGTCAGGGTGATAGATATCCAAAAGCGGGTCTTATAGAGAAGCTCCAACGGAGTGATATTCAGGTACTAGAGACATTCTAGGTACCATTTACAGTGACGGCCATTACTGCACTCCACGTGTAGAGGCGTGTTTGTCGCATCTCAGAGATTGGGCATCATGCAGATTCCATTGGTCGATCCGGTTTCTTTGTTCCATGCTCCTTCTATTGAATCGTTTCAAGGACTGAACGAGACAATGGCCCGGTACGTACCGCGGGTTTGTTTCATCAGCTTTGGTGGTACAGCACAGTTGGACATGTGGCGTTCAAGGGTCGGAGAATTGTTAAAAGTATTGTAGTCGGTTCGTAGCCAATGCCAGGTCTTGTTTGAGGGTGGTGTCCACATTCGCCCGAGCGATCCTGCGGTCACCCTACGTGCCTCCCTCTCAGAAGACAGTCTGACGGTTTGCAATGGCTCATGCGCCCTTGTGGGTTCTTCCCGAGCCATGTCCTGCTGGTCAGACTGTTTGGTCAAAGCTGGTTTGTTGGCTCGGGGGCTGTCGTCCTTTCAATTTAGTTTTTGTTCCAACCAGTACGGCGTTTGCAGATGCTACCGTGACAAAGTGCGAGTGTTTCTGGGGTCCGCGGTTTCCAAGCCTCCCAGGAAGAAGTGAAACACGATGCTGATTGGCAGGCATGTCATCACAGCCCATGCAGGGGCAAACCCGCCCCCCTGACGTCTTTGCCTTTGCCATAGGTTCATGGTTGGCAACAATGGGTGCACATTGTAGGACATTGTACGCCGCTGTGGGATTGTGGACGTAAAAAGAAAATCAGCCGTCAGACTCGACAGGTCAGGCGTGTCATGCGTCGTCGTGGTACGCCATAGTCGTCTCTTGGGCGGAAGTGTTGGTGATGCGGGATCCAGTTGTGCGAGCACTTGGCGGCAACGGCCGGGAATCAAAGAGGAAACAAGCGCCAGCTGTTCGGGTGCCAAGAATCAAGTTCGAGTGACAAGGAGGCCTGCGAGGGCCTAACAAAAGCCGTTGTCAGGAGGGTTTGTCCGTCATGGCGGCTTGGGCATTGAAGTCTAGATGGAGCGCGGCTGGTACGTACTGGTCTCGATTCATGGATGAGGCTATACCGCTAATTCTCATTCAACTGGGTTTTATCTACCCGCAGAAACTAGGCCTACTCTAGTCTAGGACGCTTGCGCTGTTGTGTGATCCGCTCGAGCCGCTGCAAGTCACTTGCATGCCAGCTTGCCATTCAAGCTTTGAGTGGTTCGTTAAGTCTGTCGGCGACGATGGCGCCCCAGTTCTGAGGTGACTCCTAGATATGCTAGACTGTAAGAGGGAAGGATAAAACCCAGTTGAATGAGAAAAAGCGGTATCTAGCAAGTGATCACCCGGTCCCCTGGCACCAGTCCCCATCTTACTAGGCCTTCACATTCGTCCAAGCTTCTGTGACACACTTGATTGGCCCGTGGCCCCCAGTCCTTCATTCACTGCCCGTTTGCTCCTTTTGGACTGATCCTCCACTCAATTGGACTTCAAGACGTTGACGAAGGGCCGTCATATTTTTGTTAGATTTTTTACTTATAACACGTCGACCGACGCTTTTGCTGGACAAAGGCTCTCGTCCTCCTCAGTATTCCTTCTCGATACCCCGGTGCAACTCTCACCCACTACTTCCGACTCGTCGATATCAGCTCCCTAACGGCCCAGACAGAACCCTCACTTTCACTTACACAACTATCAACGACTTCTCGCCTACCCATCTCACATAAAATGCGTACCCAGCTCGTCTTCCCCGCCCTGTTTGCTGGGCTTGCCAGTGCTGCCGGCTTGGAAAGCAAGTCCATCTATGCTGTGGATGCTATCAAGACCATCATGCCTGGGGCCTTGGCCGATTGCTCGTCGGCTCAATTCCCAACTGAGTGCAGAACACCGGAGCAGGCTGCTCCCTATCTGATCAAGTCCTTCACGGGCCGCACCACAGGCGAGATTGCTATGATGCTAGCACTCATTGGCCTCGAGAGTGGTGATTTGAAGTACAGGGTCAACTTGGCCCATGATGATCAAGGTACAGCGAATATGATGTCGCCCGATGTTAGTTAACCCTTACCCAAATCTTGACTAATTCTTCTGATCAATCTTACTTTGTGTGTACATGTATCTGGGGCTGACCGTTTATCACACGAACTATCTAGTTTGTCAAAGAGTATGCACAAGACCTCAACTTGCCCATCGACGGCAAGTCAGGGGCGGAGATCTTGCAGCTTGTCATATCGGACGACTTCCGCAATTTTGACTCTGCCCGTTGGTTCGTCGACAAACATTGCTCGGCTGACGTGAAGGCCAAGATGAAGATGGGCACCGACGAGGGGTACAATGACTATATCACAAAGTGCGTTGGCACCACTATGGCGGATGCTCGGCAACAGTACTGGGACCGGGCCAAGAAGGCCTTTGGCCTGAGTGGTTAGGTCTGAGTGGTTAGGTCTAGGAGACGGCGATGTGTGGGTTCCACGAATGATGATGGATGGTAGTCTGGGTCAAGCGGTGTTTTCTTCTCTTCCTTAAATGTCCCAAGGTGACAAAATTTTACACAATACAACTTTGACGGAAACAATATTTGGTTTGAGGAGTCAGTCGATACCCAAAATCGGAGCAACGTGATAGGTGTACAATTACCATGGCAGCGCTATAGCCACTGTTATCACACGGCTTTCCCCTTTGCAATCATGACCAATGCAAATATATACATAGTTAAGACTTCCTCAGCTGCCTCCACTCCCCTTTTCCATTTTCCCCAAACTCTTCAGATACATACCGCCCATAACAAATAGCCTATACCTTCAGTCTCCCCTGGCACTACCAACATTATCATATCACCTCCTCCAAGTCGAAGATACCGTGGCGGCTGCGCAAGGCACCGTATATGTGTGGTTGGGGTCACTATCCCAAGAAACCGCTCCTGAACTGCTCACCTTGATGAACTTGTACAGTATGACACTACCCGGCGCGAGATTGACAGATGCGTACCACAGCGGGTTGCTGCTGGTGTACTTTGATGCGCTTAGCGTCACGGCGTTGGCGGTGTTCCAGCTGCCGAGGGCAGCCGTGTTGCCGGTTCTATACATTGTTTTATTCTCGAGTTAGCTGTCACGGTCCGGTCAAGCACGGGTGAAATGGGTATGTAAGTCGCGGGCGGCGAGGGACGTTGTCGGGACTTACAGCTTAACCGTCTCGCCGTAGGACGTGCTAACCAGAGCGTTGAAGGTGATGGGCACCGCAGTGGCAGTGCAGTATGTTAACGCTATATCAGAGGTGACGATGGTTGGTTCTCGTTAGCCCTCTTGCGCATCGTTGTGGTTATGTCTGGTTGCCAAACATCCCACGGATATAGAAACTTACCCGACGACGAAGTTGATGTAGGAGCTCCTGAAGTTGCGCTTGCGGTCGAAGTGAGAGTTGAGCGTGGGGAACAGATGTCGCTGCCACTGAGAACCGCTGTGGGGTATAAGATCCTTGGGAGTCCCCCAGAAAGTGTGACAGTTATGCTGCCTCCTGAGTCGGTGGTGAAGCCATCACAACTTACGACGTCGGTGATTTGTTGGTTTGCACTGAAACCCGACGCCGACGAAGACAGAGTGACAGTGGTGGAGGACGAGGCTCCGACATTAGTGAAGACGCCCACAACTTGCTTGCCAGAGGATCCTTTGCGCATGGCAATGGTGTGGCTATCGGAGTAGATGGGCCATGCGCGATATGAGAGGTAGCCGTCGTCTTTGCTGATAGCATGGGTGCGGAGTTGATTCAGCCGTTTAATCCACGTATACAACTCTGAGTTGGTTGAATAGCCAGAAAGCCAGAGGGCCTCTCGGTTGTAGGGAGTATCACTGCCCGCATAGTGCTGTTCCTGTCCTTGGTAGATGATCGGGATGCCTACAGCAGATGAAGAGATTTGGTCTGATCAGCCGAAATCCGAGCGAATACCAGGGACAGGAACAATTGGAAGTGGCGTGTACATACCGTCTTTGAGCATCGTAAAGGCAATTGCCTATCACAGATGTTCAGTTGCTGTCACTGGGAAAGGGAGTGTTCCCAGAGATGAAGCAGCAAGAGCCATGAGGAACAAACATCCCCGAGGGAAGGAGCAACTCACGTTCTTTGCCAAAGCCTGCGTTAGACGTAGATGTTGAGTCAGCGAAGAACCACATCGACTGCAAAAGCGGACGCTTAAGGGACTCACCATATCACTAGTCTTGTGCGCAAAGCGCGCCTGGTCGTGGTTTTCGAGGAACGACCCGTAGAGACTGAGGTCAATCGCTGCATCACATCGTCAGTGTGACTAAGGGAAAGCGGCCAGTACATCAGACGTACCAGCAGCTTTGAGTGTGTTGATGCCGTTAGCCAGCGCAGTGATGCTGCCGCTTGTCGACTGAAACGCATTCACTGTCCAATAATAGCTGTATACGAAAATTGACCTGGTAAGCAAGAACCCCCAAGAGAGATCCCAAGGTTTAGTTCCCCCCTTACCTTGCATAATCCAAGAGGCCGCTGATATAGCTCTGGTACGGCACCAGATACGTCGGGTCTCCTTGGAACACCTCGCCAATTGCGTACACGCCGGCAGCGGACTCGAATCCCGGCCAGAAGGACTTCTCAACGTGCTTAACACTGTCGATACGAAGTCCATCGCTGTGGCACTTTAGATTAGCCTACACCAGGAAGACAGTGCCCTGTCCGTCACAAATATGACAGCATGGAGAAGCAGTGTACATACATGCTATATGTTGACACCATCTTGGACACCCAATCGTTCCATATCTTGCGGACGTCGTCGCTATTGCGCTCATCATATTAGCTATCTTTCAGCAAACGAGCCCGGGACAGTTTCGGCCTACTTTTCGGTCTTGAGGTCTGGCAAACTATGTGTACGTATGAGACGTTAGCCAGGCCAACGGATACCGCTCGTGGAGTCAAAAATCGAGTGTTTGACTTCACAGCACGTTACGTTACTGCCTGACGATGACAGACGTACCTGACGACATCAGTTCCCTGCCAGCATCTGAATTTCATTTGTTAGTGTCTACCTAGTACGAACTGCTGTTGAAGAGGCAGATGCCAGAGAATGGAACTAGTCCACTTACGTTTCGACGGAGGTTTGGTTATCGTAGTTGATAGTGCATGGGGAGTGATAGTAAGATTGCTAAGTAGGTGGTAGTCTTTCTCAGCAACTCCTCTACCCTTTTATTTTCCACTTGGTATCACTTACGGAAGAGAAAGGATTGAGACCTTGGTAGTTGACGCACGAATGACAGCCCAAATACGCCATGTGGTTGGTGACAACATCCACCATGAGGTACTAATTACCATGTCAGCGTCTTGGTCAGTCACATCTCAACCGCTTAACTGTGTTTTCCGGTCAGGCGTGGGAGGGTGGGATCTTACCATGCCGCGGTCATGAAGCGCTTTGGAAAGCCCCTTGAGGTCGTATGCGGTGCCAAATGAAGGATTCAAGGACCAAATATCTGACGCCCAGTAGCCATGATAAGAAGACCTAAGTTTGAAGTTGTCCAGTCAATATCCATAACGTGCTGTTTGGCGGTCCCGGCATTTCATGACGGCCAAACATACCCATCTTTGGTAACTCCGTCAATCTGCTTGACGATTGGTGAAATCCAGACAGCAGTGAATCCCATTCCCTGAATATAGTCCAACTTCGAGATCAATCCCTGCCATGACCCGCCGCAGTATACCTGCTGGGATGTGTCACATGGCGCACTGGTTGAAAGATCGCTTCGAGCAAAACGATCCGTCACGACCTGATATATGGACTGGTTTCGCCTAGAAGAGAATCTTGTCAGCTCATACGTTCTTATGTAGCCAACGCCGTCTTCGATTCTCCCGAAAGTCTAGTACGGGTGAGGGGTGAAGAGAAAGAAGACAGTCTCACCATTCTGAAGACGTAAGAGCTCCCACTTGCACCGCCGCTGAAAGCAGTAGTCCGAGGACAACGCTTAGTTGTCTTTCAAGCCTCATTTTAGTGAACGGTGAAAGTTGAAGCGTCAAGAATAAAGAACCGGAGGCCAATATTATCTTGTTGCCAGTGAGTAGAGCATACCGCCGTTCTCTCGGAGCGGCGCCCCGGACCTTTATAGGCCATCTTGAGCTTGAAGTTGATACTTGACCGGCCAGTACTGGTCAGCAAGATGACGAGTTTGGGTTGTGTAAACCTCGGATGATGAGGGAGCACGAGTTCCAGGACGCCTCATGCTTTACGCCCAAGTCCAATTCGGGCCGTAAAACTGCGTGAGTGAGGGTGTATGCAAAGGGCTCTCGAGGCCTTCACCTTGGAAGCTTGGAACTGTCCACGGAATGTGAGGCTCCTTCCGTGAGGTCCTCCACTTGTCTGGCTACACAAGACGGAGGTAGTGTTTGGTGCTGATGGAGAGGCCACTGCATCTACGGATCTCTGGCTCGGCGCGGTAACCCCAGACGCCACACCCCAGATTCTTTAAGACCTAGACCATAGTGACGGGATTGTAAATGTGGGGAGGCCAATGAGGTAGAAGGCCCGAATACCATTGACAGGTGAACATCCGGCCAACCACGGGCCGGCTGTAACGGTGTTTGGCGATTTGCGGGGAAGAATCCAATGCCGACTGTGTATCAGATCTTATGCTTGCAGCCATTACTCGCCCTCTCACCTGATATGTACCGAGCAAAACCTCCGGTCGATACGCTATTCGGCCCTCCTCATGGTTGTAGTTGGCTACGAGTGAGAAAAAGATAGAATTGCTGCTTGTTTCTACAGTGTCGTACAGTTGCTTAAAAATCCTGCACAACAATACATTCTGCATTTTGATCTGTTCATGTAACCATACACCCAGTCTGTCTCACGGCGATGCCCTCCCTTATTCCAAGTCCCACGGCAATTTTTTTCTGCTCCCCTCAAGCAAGCCTACGCGGTACAGCTCGGTGCTGGTTTGTCAGTTGGACACTCTGGCCCTTTCATGCCTCCCTCCTATATAAATAAACTGAAAGGCGTCAATGATTCGGATTAACCACTTTCAAAAATACCAAGTTAGCCACGTCCATAATAAGGCGAGGCATTTCCCGTCGAAAGAACACGTAAGCTCGACACAGAAAGCCTGAAAAACTTGACACTGGGTCGCATGTTGAGCGGAAATTTCTGGGGATTCATTGTACAAGTTCCGTTGGCAAAAAAAAACACCGAACGGCACCGAGTCACGAACTAGCCGTTACCATGCCCTTGCCTCTCCTCACTGTTATGAAAATAGGACTGTTCTGGCCCGTTCCCCGAAAAGAACTGAAAGGGTTGGTCATTTCCCCAATGCGCAGTTTGAGTGTAGTTCTCGAAGGAATTCTGTTTGTAATTCGTCGTCAGCAAGACGTGAATTCCTTAATGTCCATAACGTAGATGTACTTACCCAATCAAAATTCGTGGTAAAGTCCAGCGTACTGTTCCCCATCCCGTCACCAAACAGTGACGAGAACGGAGATGTGTCGCCAATTCCAGCCATCGTGTCGCCCAGGTAATCTGGCGTCAGGCCCATGCTCAAAGAACCTGTACCAGAAGTCGCTGGGTCGGCACTAACGTTCATGTTCAGTGAAGGATAGTTAGGCCCGTCAAGACTTTGTGCCGCATGTGTTGGTGAGGTTGAGCTTGCATCTATACCGCTTGAGAGCATACCCAACGTTATGGCAGCCGAGTGCTCTGGCCGCATCTCTTGGACTGGGTCTGAAAACTCAGTCGCTTTCGTCGTTGTAGGGATCTCGGTCGCGCTGGCAGGATATTCAGAGGATTGTGTGCCGTTGATTTTGTCCAGCATAATATCTAGAACCTTGAATGCCTTGAGGGCATCCATGGACTCATCTGCCAGCCCCTTCCAGATGTCTCGGGTGACTTCAAGGCTCTTGATCATCTCGGCACGTTGCTCCGAAGTCCAAGGAGGACTGGCTGGTGCCGTCTTTGTTCGGCGTAACGTGTTGTCATAATGTAGATCCAACACGATCAGCATGGCGGGAAGAAGGAAGTCCTTGGTTGCGATAGAAGTCACGAACCACTTGATGGAGCGAAATCGACCTCCTGGTTGTGATTCACGGTGGAGCGTTGCCAGATGACCCAAGGACTCGAGGGAAGCTGAAATTGCCCTCAGCCGAGAGCTGTTATATCTGATGTTTTGTGTCGCCTTTGACATGTACCTTCTGTGAAGAAGACAGATGATTTTCTGGAAGAGAATATCAATATTGAATCGCGCAATAATTAGCGTTAACGGATCATGAGAGCCCGAGAGGGGTTGGAACCGTAGGTGCGGAGGCAGATTTGCTTTGATTTCACGCAGTTTTGCGTCAAAGCGAAGAACTTCATCGTAATGCACCGGATTTCGGACACGACCTGTTGCTTGTAATATGTTGCCCAGCTCCAGTGCGAGCTTAACCTTGGCAATCATGTAGCTGATGTTGGTAGGCTCTGTATCTGGTTTCGGTGGGGGTAGCACCTTTGTGTCTGGGTCAAAATCTTCGTCGGCCAGGTTGTGTGGAAGGTCAGTGTCGCAGTCGTGTTCGTAGATCATGGCAGGTAGAGAGAGCTGGTGCGAGAAGAATATGTCGCACATCCTGATTAAGGCCCACGTTCTTCTTCTCATTTCCTAAACAGCAAAGCAAAAAATCGAACAAAAGTGTCAGCTAAGCAACTCATGTGATAGTTCCCCGTCAAGCGGCCTACACCCGTCCTTGTTTGAGTAAATAAAATAAAAAATCGGCCTTACAGCTTGGAAAGGAGTGAGAGAGGGAAACCATTTCGCATCTCTGTGATAGCCCATACGAAAGGCAACCCTCGTGACCTGAGACATAATCAACCACAGGCCGACGTCGGCATCCCACCGGGATGAATGTTCGGCGAAGAGGTAGAGAATCATGGTCTCCACGGTATACTCGGTCGGCTTCGTATAATCACCTACTCGGAGACACTGGACTGTCCGGAGTCGGAACTTGGCTGCCTTTTCAAATGTGCGGCCCTTCCATTCGGGCGGCTCGTCGCCAACCTTGTGATAACTCAACATGGCCAAGCACATGACAGAATAGAGCAGGCCTAACCACATAATTGGTGTCCGAGACGGGTCCAGCCAGTGATTGCGGAGTTGCTGGTGGAAGGTGGGTGGATGAATGATGTTAACGGCATTATCCATCGAGTTGAAGTACCTTCCGCAAAGGGTCAGGACAACAGACTTGGGAGGCAACTCGGCCCTCAGTTCGACTTCGGTAGCAGGTGTTGACCCGAAAAGAAACGTGAGGCCTTCGCAAGCTGTAGGCGGCTTGCTGAGCATCACTTTCTCATAGCTCTTCTCCAGGTCCTTCTTGTGAAGCGCAAAGAAGTTCTTGACCTCGGCGATGTCCGCCAGAACGGTGTGCCAGTGGCCTTGTCCAAGATACATGGACTTCCCCCTATCGGCATCCACCTTCAGAACGCCTAGAGAGGTTGCCAGTCCATCGTCGACGTCACTTTCTCCCTCGTCATCTTGCATAGCGCCGTCGTCGTCGTCGACGTGTAGGAAGACCGAAGAGCCGCTAGTCGTCGTCGAGCCAGCACCTTGTCCTCCACCAGCAGTAGCCGCAGCGTTTGTAGCAGTAGCGGCCGGGGGCAGATCGATGTTTGCACCACCATGCACAAGTGACAGAACCAAACCTTCCAGCCTGTCAATACGGTTCTGCATGTCGTCGGGAGAGGCGCCTGCTTGGCCTTGACTCTTTTTCCGGGCCGGCGGCGTGGCATAGAAACACGAAGAGGCATCTGTCCCTCCTCGTTTAGTGCAGTTTCCGCAAGGGTGATTCCTGTCACACTTTCTATATTCTTTCAGCAACTAGGCATCATCAAAGACGATCTTGGTCATGATGCTTACAACCTAGATTAGGTTATGTTAGTCGATGGATAACTCGAACGAGGCGGCTGGAAGATGGAGTGGCTCACTTTCTTGACCGGCAAGGATAGCAACTGAGCGGTACTCTGTTCCGCTTTCGGACAACACGAAACTGCTCCTCGGGGGAGCGGCCGCCCGAGGAGGTGGTCGACGGTGGTGTGGGCGTCATGATCTGCCACGCTGGATTAAAAAAGAGTTCCGGCGCTGAAGGGTCGTGGCACAAGGGCAAGTATGTAAGGGGCCGCGTTTGATCGGGCAATCACCTGGGTGTCTCCAATGGAAAGCGGGCCGAGTGATGTTGATTGTGTTGAAGTTGGTTTTAGCGAACGTTGTGGGCAGCTGCCTGATTTTTGTCACAGCTTCATGATATTTGCAGGAGTCTAGCGTGCTAAAGTAGGGTCACACAGGCGCATACCAATCCTGGATATTCACAGCCTCGAATGCAAATATTTATCTTTGAAGGGAGGACGGGGAGAGGAGGAGGCAGGGTCATAAGCAAAATGAAAGCTAGGTTGGTTAGGTAGTACAGTAGTGGTTGTCGAACGTAAGCAAATGACGGGCCTCGCGTCGAGAACACTCCCGTCGACCAAAGACTGAACGTGTCGGGTACGATACACCCCTGTATGTTCGTCATTCTGTCTTCATCCGATATATAGGTGCTGTTATGTAGTACGCTCAAATGTCGATAGCATGTTCGGGGCCCAAAAGCTAAAAGGCATTCCAGAATAGCTTGGCATTTCAGGTCTTCACCCCACATTGTCAAAATTGCATCACCAAAGGTAATTGGTATCTAGTATACAAACACCATATATCCAGCGAACCAAAGCTCACACAAATGTGTTGCATTACTCGATCCGGCGATAAGCGCAACACCTTGCTCTAACGTACACCGTTGACAAACCATGACCGTCGCTTAGCGGTATCGTGTTATGACTCATCAATTCTTATCTCAGCAGTGCGCCTAATTCGTCTTCAGCCAACCAATCCTCTCTCTTTGTACCTGTGAGTCTTGTAGATCGGGCTGTTTCTCGTGGAATTAGTATTGTGACCGGCTTTTTATCGCCATAATTCCATTGCATCATCTTGGGCCGCAGGTACCTAGGAGACTGATCAAAGCCAAGTCAAATGGCATATAGGGGACAGTCGACAAGATAAGACTGACAGTCGCTCAAGAACATATATACAGCGGTTCCCCTTCCCACCAAGGAAGCTTCCGTGCATGTTGAAACCTAGGACTGCCCCGCGGACGCATCGCCGTTCGTCTTGACACTATATGGCTTGAAGAAGTCGGCGTCGTTCGCCAGCTCCTCCTTGACCTGTATTCATAGTTAGTCCGCTGTCTGTAGGATGACACAGAATATGCTTCACGTACGATATCGAGTCCTCCCACTAGCTCACCGTCGACCCAAAGTTGTGGATAAGTAGGCCAGTCAGCAAACTCCTTGAGGCCCTGTCGTACTTCGTCGTCCGCTAGAATGTTAAAGAAACCGTACTTGACGGCGTTTTCTCGGAGAAGAGCAACCAGTTGTCGCGAGAAGCCGCACTTGGGCTCACTGGGAGTACCCTTCATGAACAGCATGACCGGGGCGGCCTTGACCAGGTCACCCAGACGTTTGAACAACTCCTCCTTTTGCTTCTCGGGGTCCTGAGGCACAACGTCGCCGGCCTGGCCCTCAGCAGTTGCGGCGCCATTTGCGGCGGCCGGTGTCTTCTCACTAGCTTCAGTGCCCGACTGGGCCGACTTGTTGGCGTGGGTCTCGATCGCGTTTCGAACCTTGACGGCGCTGCTTCCGCTGACCGTCTCCAAGACCTGGCCGTTCCGGGCGAGCACGAGGAAAGGAACGGCCGTCACGTTGTACGTTTCGCTAATTTCCGACAGTTCTTCGGCGTCGATCGAGACCCAGGAGGTGGAAAGCGGCTCGGTAACGGGGTATTCGCTCGCCAATGTCTTGAGCACTGTCGCCATCTGGGCGCAGGGCGCAGCCCAGGGCGCGTGAAAGGAGACGATCAGGAGGGTGGACGCCGGCAACGACGACACATGGTCGTTCCAAGCCTCGATACTGGTAATGTCCTTGATGGTCGACATGATGCGGGTTGCGCGGTTCAGATGTGGTCGGGGTGATGATGGCTCGGCCGAGCGAGTTTCGAGTGGTGGCTGTCTATTACGGGTATCGGTGTCGCGCGTATGATCCAAGTGTGAAGAGGACGGTGACCAAGAGAAATGGATTTCGTTTGACCTAGAAGTTCCCCAGTGCCCAATGTGGATCGCTTGTTGGATATACCGAGTTGGCGGCGAGTTTACAAATGTCCTGGCCTACCGGACACCGGTACTGGTTTTCCATCATCCATGGCCCAAAAAACGTCAGCGACCTCGGCCTTGCCCCTCGTGGCTCTCAGGCGTGCCCCGCGGCGCCGATGCGCTTACCTGTAAGGTGCAGCCCACTACGTACCATAAGTATCAACCTTACATTACTAGCGCAGAACCTAGAAGCATCCACACACCGCAGGCATACGCAGTACCGTGTATGTACATAGATGACTTTATGCAGTATGTATGCAGGTACAGTGATTGATGTGCGCTTTGCTGTGGAGTTGACTGCCTCTGGGCTAGTACGAAATGCAACTGGTCTTACACCACCCTACACTGTATCTTACGATATAACGAGAACGGTAGCGTCCTGTAGTGGCAGAGTGGTAAGCTTCCACCTGGTGCGGCAATGGAATGCTCTCGGAAGCCGTCCAACTCACATGTTCATCTGACAACCACTACCTAGTAGGTACCTCTTGAAAGATATGTAGGTAGATAGATACTACAACCTATTCGTGTACGGAGTGGCAGAACAAAAAGAGCAGAGTGTGGTATGTATGAGAGATCATATACGTAGTACAACATAGTGGCCCTAGATATCTTCAATAGACATAGGGTTACCTAGATGTATATGACAAAGCTGCTTGAACAAACTGTTTGTTTTGCGTGCGTTGTTCCTGCTATTTGGGTTTAATAACAATTTGTATCATCGCATCAACAACACTCAACGGTTCTACTGGGACAAGTCAAGAAGGACAGTCCGTCTTTTAAAAGATGCTGCTGTTTGTCCACTGCAGACGACAGACGTTGCCGGAGCTTTGTGGGCTTCTGATCAGATCGGCACGTTATTTCCGCACCGCTCCACTCTTGTTGCACATCAGGGCGCTTCGCTAGGCTTGGATGCTCTTGGCGGGCTTGGATCGCTGCCACGCCGACTGCAGGGTCGACTCAGGGCTCAGGGCTCCCGCTCCCGGTCGCTGCAGTCAGTGTCAGGTGCAAGTGTGTCAGGTTGAGGTGTCAGGGTTGTCAGGGTCCGCGGATTCGGCTATATCCATGCTCCATGTAGTTGAGGTACCGTGCACCTGCGTCTCCCTGCCAGCCATCATCATCCCATCCGCCCCCGTTCCCGAGTATTTATATTCGTCTCGTCGCTCCCGCGTTCAAACGCCGCCTTACCGCCCCGCATTCACTCTCCGTTCAACTGCCCGTCTTTTTCGACAAGTGCCGTCCCCGTCTCCGTCCCCGGCCACCCGACATATATACCACATACACCCACAAGGCCACAGTCGTAATCGCACCCGAGTGAACTTCACTACCCTAATCTCGGCGGTAACCGTGATACCTACCTACTTCTACGTGCCTGAAGTGTCTACCATCAGCCCACGCATCAACAAACATGTCGGCCCAGCAATACTACCAACCTCCTCAGGAAGGATATCCCCAATACCCTCAGCAGGTGAGTTTGGAGTTCCCGGCGGCGTTCTCACCGACCACACAAGCCCACTGCGTCAAACCACAAAAGCTAACCCGGTCGTGATCGGTTGCAGTCTTATGGTCAGCCTCCCCCACAAGGTTACTACCCTCCGCAAGGTCAAATGCAATATCAACAGCAGCAGCCTCCTCCTCAGCAGAGTGGTGGCGGGGATGGATGCTTCAAAGGGTGCATAGCGGCTCTCTGCTGCTGCTTCGTGGGCGCCGAATGCTGTGAATGCTGCGCTGACTGCTGCGAATGCTTCGCCGAGTGCTGTTAAGAGAGGATAGGCATTATGATCTCGACCGTTGAAGATGGATTTGAACAACACAAGCCTCTGAGAAATCATTCTTGGAGCAACATGGGCGCAATGCATGCGCAACACCACACACATGCGCACACAAACAGACACACCAGTACTCGAGATTGATGGCCGCAAGATTCGTCAGCTGGATTGGCAAATTCCCTGACCACCGACATTACCGTCCATGGGATGTCTGTCAGCGGACGGCAGCATATTCGTTTGATGGTCAATCACATTCTTAGTTCGGAAAGGGTTAAGGGGCGTTGTGGATATGTGTGCACAGGGTACTTAATGATTAGCGATCACCTCAGTTTTCTTTACCAAGAGGTATCGGAGGGGAAGAAGGGCCTTGACTGGGTTCACGTTGATATCTTGAGTAATATAATGACTAGTTTGAAGCTCTTTCATGGTCTCTGTTAGTCTGTTCTATTCTCAGGATGCTGCAGTCTAAGCACGCAAAAGGCGTGTTTGCCGGTCACTGTCGACAAAGGTTAAAGATGGGTAGAGGTAGGTGACTCGGACTCGAGGGTGATACGTCTAGTTTGCGTGGTAGCTTGCCCCTCCGGACGGGGCACTGGAACGCAGGTACTAGTGTACCTTGGCTACCTCCTGAAGTACCCTGCCTGCTAGATGATGCCTGAAGGTACTTGAAGCTGATTTAAGGGTCCGCGTATAAGCTGACACATGTCTCTTGTTGTAGCAAAAGGTGGAATGCACCGCCCAGTATTACCTCCGCATCTTCTGTTGTCTAGCTAAGGCTTTCAGACATCACAAAGCTTCTAGCACACCATCTATGGTAGGACGGCTTTCAAAGAAGAGCAACCGATTTGTACGTATTGCGTGGCCCGCTAGGCCTTCACCTCGTAGAGGTAACTTTGCCCATTTTACACCGTAATGTATGGTTTGTTACGTTTCTTACCCGCTTACAAGTAACGTCAGTCATCGCAAGGAAAGGCCGGTCAAGCCGGCAGGGTTCGTTGGAAAAGCAGTCGGTCAGTCAGCCGCTGCACCGCCTCGAACATCGTACGAAGGTGCCGTCGGGTGCAACTGAAGTCCGCATCGCAACGCCCCAGACTCGCCGGCCGGGACACACCTTTCGCTAGAGGTACCTATTGACGTATGTGCGCAGATGGAGCTCCACCTCCACTTACCTACCTAGAGGTACCTAACTCTAGCGCTGCGTGGTACCTCTAACGACTTGACCCGTCCATGCATCCCCTCCTCAAACACCGGGACCTTCTTCATCTCTCTCTCGACCTCCAACCCCGATCCGACGTCTAGATCACCAACAATCTGTAGCCGTTGCTGCAGTTGTCAACAATTCACAACCTTCCGATTGTTGAACGTCCCAGCTCCTTTGCGTCGTTTACCCATCCATTCCGCTCCACACAGCCGGCCACTCCGCCCACCATGGCCTCCTTAAACCTGTCCATCAACGGGCCCTCCATCAAGAGCAGCTATCAGGGCGTCATCAACGGCCCTGCGCCATCTTCGGCATCTCCCACCTACGCCCACTGGGCCCTTTTTTCCGTCCAGGCGCCTCTTCTGAATGCCTTCCAAGACTCTGGGGCAAAGGAGAGCATCCTGAAGGTCGAGAGCACTGGCGGTGAGTGCCACGCCGGCCCACAACTTCTCCTTCCCACCATATCCATGGCCCCGACTAATCATCCGTCATCACAGATGGTGAGCTTTCCGACCTGATCGAGGACTTCAACGAAGGCCGCATCCAATTCGCCTTCGTCAAAGTCAAGGACCCCAACAGTGGACTTCCCAAAAACGTCTTGATTGCCTGGTGCGGCGGTGGTGTCCCCGAGCGAACAAAGGGGTACTTTACCAGCCACCTGGCCGCCGTCTCCAAGATTCTTCACGGCTACCACGTTCAGATAACAGCACGCTCCGACGGAGATCTTTCTCCCGAGTCCATTGTGCAAAAGGTCGCCGATGCTTCAGGCGCCAAGTATACCGCCGGCGGTTCGGCACCCGTGTCAGCCGCTGCCCCGCCTCCCGTTGCCAAGAAGCCCGTTTTTACCCCGACTGCCTCTACATCGGCCGGCTCTTTCAACCCTATTATTGCGGCGCGGACGCGGAACCGCGGGGGCGAGGACGATGACGGCTGGGGTGCCGATGCACCGCCAGTCACTCGATCCCAGCTGGAGAAGGTTGCGTCTGCCTACCAGCCGACCAAGGTCAACATTGCCGAACTCAGGAAGAACAAAGATGACTCGCGTTCCGATGGAACCCAAAAGCAAGATGACCGGCCGGATGATATTGTTAAGGGTGGCTACCAGCCCATTGGAAAGATTGATATTGCTGCTCTCCGCGCCCAAGCAAAGAAGACCCAAGATGATCGGCCTGCCACCGTGAAGGGAGCCTACGAACCGGTGGGCAAGGTTGATATTGCTGCCATTCGCGCAAAGGCTCAGCAACGTCCTGCTGAACCGGAAGAATCGGAGACGCCCAAGAGTCTGGCAGAGAGGACTGCCGCATTTACGCAAGCAGAACGCTTGACCGAACTTCCCAAGCCCAAGGTTGCCAAGAAGTTTGTAGGCAGCGCTGCATTTACCGGCACCAAAGCTCCTACGCCGGCTCCTCTGGGTTTCGGCTCGCCTGCGGTTCCCGCCGTTACCCCTATTGCCTCTGCTAGCAGAACATTTGCGGATCAGGGAGGCAAGACGCCGGCCCAAATCTGGGCCGAGAAGAAGGCCAAGCAAGGCGGTGCAGTTGCACCTGTGTCCACGCCCTCTCCCGCCGCTGCGCCTATTGCTGCTCAGAAGAGCGGGAGCGAATGGAAGAGCGGTTACGCAGGGAAGAGCTGGGCTGTGCAGGCACCCAATTACAGCCGAGGTGTTGAAACACACGCAACCGGAGGCAGCGCCTCGCAAGAGAAATGGGAGCCTGAAGCACCTGCCTCACCGGCGGGCGGCATATCTGCGCTGCGCGATAGATTCAAGGATACGGCACCCGTGGCGGTCAACACGGGTTCACGGTCAGCACCAAGCGTGCCTTCTCCCGGCCCGGCCACTGGTGAGGAAGAGCATGCTCCGCCGCCCCTGCCAACCGGAAGCCGTCCTTCCGGTGGCTTTGCCCTTCCTGGCCTGCCATCCCGGCCTCCTGTTGCTGACGCCGAGGAAGAGAACGATGAAAGACAGCTGGAAGAAGAAGTCCGTGCACAGGACGAAGAAGAGCCTTCCTCCCCTGTCCGCATCGCAGTCCCAGTTGCTCGGAGCGCAGTGCCTGAGATGGAGCCAGCTGGTAATCTGCCACCCCGCCCGGTGCCTGTTCCGCAGGAGCTACCGAGAGAAGAGGACCTCCCCGTAGAGGAGGATACCCACGATCCGCGTGCTGCCGCCCTGAATGTTGCCAGCGAATCTCTTGGCCATGATGTCGAGGCTCAGCAGGCTGGTTCAGATGGCGGCAAGCGTGCTTTGGTACAATATGACTACGAGAAGGCCGAGGATAATGAGATTGATCTCCGGGAAGGTGAGTATGTCACCAACATTCAGATGGTGGATGACGATTGGTGGATGGGAACCAACGCGCAAGGGGAGAGTGGACTCTTCCCTAGCAACTACGTGGAAGTCGTGGAAGACGATGAGCCTGCTGCTGCTTCCAGTGCGGCCCCAACAGCAGCGGTAACTCAAGCCCCTGCTGTGCCTTCACCTGCGCAGGCCGAAGCGGTAGCACCCGCAACTCCGGCCGGTCAAGTCGCTGGTCCAACAGCGACGGCGCAGTTTGATTACGAGGCAGCAGAAGATAATGGTAAGTGATGCTCGCAAGCCCGGCATATACAAGCCGCGAAATCCAGGCCTAGCAGTGACTAACGAATCGGTATAGAGTTGAGCTTCCCCGAAGGAGCCACGATTACGGGTTTGGAGTTTCCCGATGATGACTGGTGGTTTGGCCACTACAATGGAGCGTCAGGTCTGTTCCCCGCCAACTACGTTGAGCTTGATGCGTAAGGCAAAGGTGTCGAAAACCATGGTGCTGGTTATGGACCACCGGCCTTTCCGGTTTGGTTTAATTGATCTACGGTCGTTAGTTGACTCGTATTCTTGAGAGAGCGGGCTGGGCTGGATGCGATGTTTATCTCGTAATGGTAACGAAATACAATCACTTGTGCTCGCATTTGATGGCCAATTGAGCATTACTTTTGCATTTGTTTCCTTTGGCAACTGAGCGGTTAGCCTGTGACAGGCAAGCCACAAAAAAGCTATGTAGTTGATGTATGGTCTTGAATGACGTAGGTAAATCGAAAGTTTCCGCCTCGAGTCCGTTACGTACCGGTGGGTGTATGTAAGCATGCATCCTTGTACGGCGATTACACAAATACGCGTGACTACCCACTACGTGGACCAAGCCCACGAACTACATAGGTTGATCATCTACGCTGCATAACACACGTTAAAAGCCAGGAAGTACTTTGGTGTGATTATGAGTGAATCTAGCCTGGGATTCTAAACACAACCACGTTCGGCTGTCCCTGAACAGCTTTAAACAACGAACAAGATGTATTCTCACACACCACCTCTTCCGCCGCCCAAGCCATCAGCAAGCCACGAGGCAACACGCATAAACACCCCGGAAACCTCGCCGTCGCCACGGCCCCCCCAACGTCCGGAGACAGGGGGTCCCGGTGCCGATGGCTTTCAACATGTAGTCTCGGCCCCCACCGGGCAACCCATCCCGGACTCCGGCGAGCAATGGTTGCCCAAGTTCCTGCAGGACAAGTCGTGAGTCTTTCCGTTTACAAGAGCGATTGTTTGGATCAGTACTTCAGTGGCTGACGCCATCTGGTCGCTGGAATAGCAAGCAAGATCTCGCCGAGATCCTCTCCAACCCATCGCTTCTCTCCGCCTTGACACACTCACCGGAAACCATCCACCCCTCTCTACAGGCGTCACACGACGCGTTGCAGTCTGCGCTGGGCGAGAACGTACAACGGGCGGCTCAGCTGCTGAACCTCGAGGCACGCCTCGCAAACCAACGATCGTCGACTCAAGCTCAGCTTCTGTCGACCCACGCCCTCGAACGCCAATGGCGGGCCAAACAAGCCGAGATGGACCATGCTCTCACCCCCTTTGCCCCGGCACGGCTATACCAACGGCTCAGCCAGGGCTTGCAGGAGCAAGAGGCCGTGTGTTGTGCTCTCGAGGAAAGTTTCCTTGATAGCGGTGGGGATGGCGCGCCTGCGTCGGAGCGGGAGGCCAGCGACTGGGTCAGGAAATATCGGGAGGCTAAGAAGCTATACTACCTGCGGCAGGAACGCAAGGAGAGATGGGACGAGGGGAGAGTTGGTGGATGGCGCTGATGATTGATGATGCGATGATGAAACGACGAGTGCGTCTCTGTCCCCGTCTGGACCGTGGAGCGCTGACTGTCAACACGCACGCTGGAATATACCAAGCAAACCGATGGCCTCAAGCAACCTAACGCTGTGCTCAATTGAAAGGCCTTTACAGCCATGTTATGAAGGTATAGTATCTGATCAATACCAGAAATTGGGTCTCAAGAAGCTCTACTTGCTCACACTTGACCTCAGGTGCGTTGCCTTGGGCACTTTTTTTTCCCATACTGATGTAACTAAGGCGAAAACGGGTCTTTTAAAGACGTATGCCCTGGCCCTAGCCGTCTACTGTTGCATAGGTCAAAACGGGCCCAATGATTATGTGTGGTTTCCGGAAACACGCAGATCTCCCCTTAAGATAAGGAACCAACCGGAGCGCGCGTGGTTGTTACAACTGGATGCCCTTAGCCTCGTGTGGGAGTTTCTTCGAACTCCTCCGGATGCCAGTCAACCGGGACGGAAAGTAAAGAAAAAAGAACAGGGGAAGAAAGGGGACATACGAGAACATGCCAACAAGAGCTGCGACTCATTTCAGGGCTATGCGGAGTCATGGGAACAGTGAAACTACTCGTCCTTGGTGGTGCCGTCGAGTTCCAACTTCACTCGTGCTATAATGGTGCCCCATGGAGATAATTCACCACTCCCAAGGAGATGGGTAGGCGTTGGCAACCCAAATCAGCAAACGTTGGGACACTCATGCCTGCCAGAGCCCGAGAGGGCGAAAGCGGCTTTGGAGGCTGTTGGCAGCTCGTTGGTAAGGGTCGATATCTGGTCTCGATGCTTTCTCTTGGAGTGTGGTTGTCAAAGTGACGGGATAGGAGCCCAGGGCGTCACTAGAATACACACCTTGAGTCTTGATGCCGCTTCCGAAATAACTGTTTTCCTGATGGGGAACACTGCCAATCTATGCTTCCATGAAATATTCCCGTGGCTAGTCCTGCCTGTACCATCTTCTGAATCTTCCCCATTCACATAATACCAGACTCCGCAGCAGCTGAAGTATCCCCCACGGGCTGGAGAATCTTGGTGCCTTCGATGCCTTTGGCCTTCAAGTTCTCAATACCGTCTCGAGCCTGAGCGCAGGATAAAAAAAAAACCTGGTGTTGGGGTCTCGATCACTTCCAGGAGGCTCAACAGCCACTGTCCGAATGCCGTGTCACCCAACATTTGTGCATCGGGGCTAGGCCATGGCAGACTAGCAAAGGAGGTTAAGAGGACGTATAATCCGTCTAGTATCGAGCTTGGAGTTAGTTCGGAGTAGAAGAGCCGCTGTCAGTCGGTTATCTTGTGTGATGGCGTATCTTCTGGGACGCTCGCAACGCGGGAGCCAGTGAGCGACTCTCAATGAGATATCAAGGAGAACAGACTCGAATATCACGCAAACTGTCGGTATGTTTAGACCGCATGGACCCCTGGCTCTGCTTTTATAATGCCAAAAGACGGATCTAAGATGGTAGAGATGTAGAGATAACAAGAATAGCTGGTAATTGGACAGCGCTTTAAGAAGACACTTTTGCTCGCACTTGTCAATCTTGAGTACTTATAGATATCTCGTCGAAGCCAAAAGCACCGTAGATGCTCCCGTGGGCAATACGTAGAGGTAGTATATAACCATCTCAGTCGCCGAAACACAATCTTATCTCGCGCTTGGCTGCTTGATACCTGGAAGACTGACATCCTGCCGGCAGGTGTAACGTAACCTTTTACTTGCTGGATGTTTGGCGAGCAACGACAATGAGACGAGTGTGCGCCATCGACGTCTCACGAGGATCACTTAACGAACCCGTCAAACACGACGCAAAACCAAACATCAGAGTCGGCCTCGGGAGATGGGGGAACAATCCCGGTGCTCACAAAGCACGGGATGCGGCCCCGTCGGCCGTGACGGTGGCGGCACCGCCGAAAACGCCGGGGAGAGAACGGCCGGGGAGAGAGGGTTTCGGAAAGTCAAAGGGAGAAGAGTGCTACAAATCACCGGAGTAAGGCCGTGGTGGATTTGTGATTCACGATTGTACGCATTGTACAGCTACCATATGTACGCTGTGTTGTGCAAGTCGGTCATTTCATGATTCGACGCTTTCCTTTCGATTGAGATCAGGGCTGTGTAGTCGCAGGAAAACAGGCGTAGAATCTGTTGATGAGTGTCTGCCATGAAGGTTTAGTACATGGAGGTGTGTACTATGTAAGTGGAAGTTTTTGTTGTTTTTCCATTTCTGGCGCAAGCCCCGAGACCTGTTGTCCGCAGGCATTTTCCCGAGCTCGGTGTTTTGGGTATACTCTGATTGGCTGCGGCTAAATTGCGAGCTGCCCATAGTGCCACAAAGCAACGTTGGGATAAAGTGCCTTTTCAAAACACATGCAAGCCACAGCAGCTTTGTACACAGTAGTGTAGAGGTAGGTAAGGTACACTGCACGACAGATGGACTCGTGGGGTGGTTGTGGTGGTAGCGGCCTCGGGGATACCTTCAGCTTCCTTCCATTCTACCAGTGCTGGAACCTGCCTTCCACGAGGAGAGGACGGGAATCTTGATGGATGATACATGTACGGTACCTCTACGTTGTACCTAGGTACGTCCCTCGCACTCGGCCGCAATCGCCTTGTTCTTCCTACAGGCTGCTATCAGATGTACATCATGTAGCGTCGATTCCATCGCACACATTCAGGTACCGAATCGTAGTGTGGAATTTCCTGCAGGTGCTGAAGTGGCCCCGACGGGACCTTCTGTGTCTCTCCACTATTAGACCGGCAAAAGCGCCGTGGTCCATCCATACTTGGCAGCCTCGATGTAGATACGTACCATCATCGGGACCCGAGCCAAGGAGCCAAAGCTAAATTCACGTCGGCGGTCCTACGGCACGAATGTCAGTGAAAACGGGCAGTTGCGAGAGCAGGCATGAACAGAGGTAACAGGACATTTCAACGAGTTCCAGTTTCGGGTTGGGCACCCTCCACATCAGCAGCAGTAGGATCCATCTACTACCCCGGATTTCCGTCACGAACTTGGCGATTCCATCCATGGCAGCAAGCACCATGTGTGCATGTGTCGTTAAGTTGCTGTGGCGTGGAGTGACCCAAACGGATACCGCATACATACCGGCCAGTATCTATCTAGCTTGATAGTATCAACTTTCAGCACTTCCACTTGAGCGTCCATTGTCGCGTGAGCAGGCCGGCCTCGGTCCTTTGTAAACCTCAGTGTTCACCTGTAAGGTAGCGGGTCACTTCGAGCTCGGGGTACTTCGCTTCCTGCTACAAACACCCGACCTCCACACCCCAGATAGGTACCTGCACAGTAGACACCAATGGGCCCCGTCCGTAGGTACTGTAGGTCCTCCAGATTTCCACTTCCACCAGAACCTACCCACGTACACCACATACTACATCCACCTTGATCCAATTCCGTCTTCCCCTTCCCGAGTCTCGGCATCCCAACTACTCCACGAGGGCCCGAGGGTCTCCTAGATCGAGGAGGTACAAGCAGGCTGGTCGGTCCACATCCTATTCTTGTGGTCTCCCGAATCCGACTTCTTCGCCGTTTTACTGACGGACATCCTTTCGCCTACCAGCTGCGACCACATCACTGACTGCCCTGACGATTTCGACAATCAGAAGCGCCTGTCTTCTCAATCCGCCCGTCTAGCCGATTTTGCCTGACAGTCCCGACTGCCTACCTCCTGTCGCTTGGTGACAGCCGCCGGCGCCGTTATCACCTCGTCCAGCGATCCATTTGAGCCATCGTATTTCACGGTGGCGCTTGCACCTTGATCGACGCGCAGTGCCCACTTGCGAACCGCGAACCTGATTGCGACCAAGACTGCCCGGTCCCGACCGAACCTTTCTCAGCGTCACTCGCCCGCTCCTACGTCTCGACGGCTTCAATTTCACGACATCACGTCTTTGGTGGATACGGTGGAAAGGGCCGGTCAATTTCGACTCTTTACTCCTCGACACTGATGCTTCACCATGTTTGAACTGCGACGAGCTTGCGCCTTCGACACAAGAACATCGACCATCACGGCTGTATTGTCGCGGCATCGGTAAGGAGGAGGAGGTGCCGCCCGCCCCAAAAAAAACACATGAGCCATCTCTCTAGCCTGTCCTGGTTCTTCTCAACTCTTTCTTGACCCTGGGCGCCTCCTTGGCCGGCAGACACCCGGAGAGATGGATCCTCTACACATCACCGAGTTTGGTTCGGAGCGATATCTGGACAAGGTCACAAGCGCTACGCAACCACCTTCCACTGCCGCGCCGCCCTCACAGTTCCTTCTCCCTCTACGAGGTGCCCACCCTCCCGAAGCCGAAGATGCAGCAATCAGGGCCAGCGAGCCGAAGCGTCTCGAGAAGAAAGGCTTCCTCAGTTTTCGAAAGTTCCATGCCAAGGCGCCATCTAGCTCTAACTCGTTGGATCAAGGCGAACGTCGCTTCTCGGCCACAGAGCCGTTGCCCCGGCAGAGCACCTCTTTCGATCGACAATTCCACTTTCTGCCTACCGAGCTGCAAATCGAGATCATTGCCTCACTCCCACTCTCTGACGTTCTCAACTTGCGACTGACATCGCGGTCGCTACATGCTCTAATATCGCTCAATGAAGCCCCTATCGCACGCCACCATCTCGACAACCACCTCCCAGCTTATGCCAAACGACTATACCCGCCCCCTTCACCATCGGCCCTGAATCTTCACTATCTCTGCGGGATATGGCACAGGCTCCATGTGGCTGCTAAGCTCTCTTATCTGATGTGTGAGTGGATATCGCGGGAGCTCTTTCTCCGAAACACGGAAGAAAAGAAAAAGGCTTTTGCGCCTCAAAGGGAACGGATGCGAAGGCGTCTGATCCCCCTACTATTCACCATTTTTCATTTTTTCGAGACCTATCGGGATCTTCACCTCAAATATCTCGCCGAAAATGATGGCAAGGGTCTTCTCAAAGAACCCTACACGATTAATCCTATAGAGGCCCAAATTATGAGTTTGTATGATGACAGGACCTTGCTTCGAGTACACGAGGTATTTCCCTTGGTTATTTCCTCGTTCTGCCGGCGCCTTCGTCCGCCGTCGTATGTCGGTCGAGTTGAAAGATCGATCAGGGGTTATTTGAGGGACAAGCCGCCGGATGAGGTGCATGTTGCGATTTTGTGCATTGGGGGCCTCAGAGATGTGGAAAGGATATGGGAGGTGAAAGGGTACAATACAAGGCGGACGGCTGTGGATAACTGGTACAACTCCATCACACGCGACACGGCCGAGCAAGAAACTAAGAAAAGACGGGGTATGCTGGGATTGAAACGCAAAAAGTCCTCCTTCAGCATGGGAAAGAATTCGTTAGGAGACGCGGTGGCGGCCAGTGCTCGGATTTCTGGAGACGCCGGTATGACAACCAGAGATCCGATGAGCAATCTCGTTTTCAACACTAGCCTATCTACTGGTAGGCCTATGGGGCCACTGGCCCGGGATCAGCTGAAGCTGCTGCTTTCCGACCTCCCGATACTGCAAAAAATCTTTCTGGAAACCGCCGAGGCCCTGATTTTGGAACGGAAAATAGTCGAACGTGCCTCTGATATTAAGCGCAACGCTCAAATATTCACCGATCTGATCTGCGAAGACGGGTTTGAAGAGGAAGACCAGTGGTTGTATGGCACTGTTGCCCCCGAGTCTGTACGACCCAATCTTGAGGCGATCGAGGAGGATGTCCTAGAATGAGTGAGCTTAGCAGTCCATTCATTTGTCCTGCCCCAGGAGCTCTCCTACTGCAGCAGAAACATGGAGGGAATATACTTCACGTACTACGGTATTGGACTTTTGTTTCCCTATCCACACAGCCACAGTTCAGCGCATACTGAGACGGCTTCATCAGGCGGATGCCCATGGCGTTTTTCATCCATTTTTTTTCTTGTTGCACTTTGTACCGGGGTATTTATACTAAAAGCATTTAAAGGCGTTAAATTTTTGTTTCTCTTTTATACGATGGTATCCATACATTTCTTGCTTTGTCTTCCTTCCACACTCCATATGTAGTCTTAGTATGCAGCCGGTGTCTTTAGATGATATCCTAGAGGCACAAACCAGGCGCGTCATTTGTCAAATTCTCCGTCGAACGTGCTACGGCTTGATCGGCTCCAGAGTTCCTCATTTTTCTTAGTGTCGCATTTCTTTGCGGCAAAGCATATATAGCACGGGACCGGAGTATATAAAGAAACATGGTCTCTTTCAAATTACATTCCGTGGCTTGTTCGAGAGCCAGTAGACGAACACAACACATACGTAATGAGTTGCACAATCATCAAATAGCGCGTGGGTTCGTCCTGCTTATAACAACATCTCGAGATGGTCTGAAAGCACACCATTTCAAGGTGACGCGATCCTGTCAGAAACAAGTTTCATTAATAGTGCATTTGGATATACAGGAGACCAGTCGACTTGCGCTGAATCTTTCAAGTGTCTTATCGTACGCTCACGGAATCGGGCGCTCTGTAGCTGGTCCATGACGCGTTTGATATCTCTCGAGAGGAAAAAAGATAGGAAAAACACATGACAAGCCTCCGCGGTGTTATCAGTAGAACCCGCATTTCCCTGAAACCCTTTTGCTCGCTCTTTCGGGCGTGATCGGCCAAAATAAACCGTCAAATCATTTCACTGCCGAGCGCGAATATCGGCATGGTAGTAGTACATTTATAGGGGTAAGACATTACGTTGTACTGTATTCACTCAGATTCGTTGTCCTCCAAGTCCGAGCCAATTTCTCTTTGAGCATGGGTGAGCCTGACCAACCTTCCTCTACGTGAATGGTGAGGTAGAGTTGTGGATTATCGCCGTCCAAGTTCAAAATACCTGTTGTTACCTCCTAACGACGGAAGCCCTGAAGCATCGAAATTGGCCATGGTGCTCGCAGTGAAAGGCGTCCCTGAATTTGAGGTTGACCTCACACTAGCGGTATTCATAGCGTACCCGGCGCCGTTCATGGCCAGAGCCCCTTGACTTCCAGCGCTGTCGAGGGTACTTGGGTTCAAAAAGTCCCACTCGGTGTTGTTCGTCCCGGCGAAAGACTGCATGTTACTGATGGCTTGAATCCCTTGACTAGTCGGGTGGCTTGTGCTCGAAGAACGATGCAGTGCTGTTCCAGTGTTCGTTGTATAAGACGGTGACTGATGGACCATATTATGCGTACTACTAGTTCGGTACGTCGAAGCCGCAGATGGCGCCGACGACTGACCCTGTTGTGACCCGTAGGTCGGGTTGCTTGTACTCCCAGTAGACCCTCGGTAACCAGTGTCTGCAGAGCTAAAGGCATTTGTTGATGAAGCTCCGAACTGGGGTGATTGGTGAGCAGAGTAAGCGCCTGCGGTCGTTGTACCTGTGGCCAAGTGTTGTTGATAGCGATGCTGTGAAGCTACTGACTGCTGAGTCCCGTTGTAGTGGCTATGGCTATTCTGGTACGACTGTTGACTAGAACCGTAGGGCGGTAACTGATGAGTGTTTGAATACTGCTGAGCAGGGGTAGGCTGTGGTGTTGCCTGGGCTTGTTGTTGTGCAGTAAAGTTTTGAGATTGCTGCTGAGGGGATGAGTAGCTATGCTGATGCTGCTGGCCTTGACTATATGGCGATGTTGAGGGGCGGTACTGGGTATAATGATGGGTTGCCCTATTTTGCTGCTGAGATATCATGGGGCTTGGGGTCTGGGACTGGTGAGCTTGTAATTGTCCTTGAGTACTTGGCTGTGAAACAGAGGTTTGATGCTGCTGCGATGGTTGCTGTGAAATCGATTGCGGTCGTTGTGGTTGAGGTTGCTGTGCTGATGATTCAGGTTGAGGGTGAGGCTGTGATTGTGGCATGGAATGTTGTGTATGCGATTGTGACGGTTGTCGTGGTTGTTGTTGGGTCGGTGGCTGCCTTTGCTGTCTTTGCTGTGACTGTTGCTGTTGAAGATGATTTGTTACTATGGGTCTTGGAGTAAGGCTATGATGCTGTGAGTCAATGTCGCTCTTCAGCTCCAGTTGCGCCTGTAGCTGAGCTTCATAATTCTCCATCGTCGGAGACTGAACGCCGAAGTGACCTTGAGGCGAATGAGCTAACGGCATAACTTGTTCAAGGGACACTGACGACGACACAGGAGTCACTTCTGACCCTATTCCAGGGGCCGTATGAAATGTAGCGGGGGTGGTCGCAGGCGCTTGATTTGGACTGGGAACTGGTGCGGGAGTGGCAGCTTTCATCTGGGAGGAGGCCGCTGGCTCGATGGAGTCTGGAACCGTCATATCATTCGACTTCTTCCCTTTAGGTCTAGACTCCTTGCTTTTTCGTTGCCGTTTCGCAGGGGGGAATCCCACTGCCGTGATTGCAGTCACAGGTTGAGAACCCTGCTGAGTGGATGGTGTGGGCAGAGCAACTGCGCTGGAGGACGGAGTTGTCAAACCGATCCCGTTGATGTTGTCAACGACACCAACATCTTTTGCAGTCTTCCGTTTTCGCTTCTGGCCCGCATTGCCAAGCACCTGAGCAGACTCTATAGTAGTTGGAGCTGGGACCGCACCAATTGGTATAATCTGTAATCCTTGATCAGAGTGGACGCTTTGCTGAACTTGCTTTTGGGTTGGGTTGCCATTCAGTCCCACTGTCTGTTGCTGTTTAGCAGCAGATGGTACCGTGGTCTGTAGTTCGTTTGGTCCTGAAATGTCCGTTTCTGCGAGAGCGTCCACCTGCTTCTTGGTAGCGGAAGCTTTTGGTCGTGATCCCTTTTTCTTGGCCGAGTTGGCAGAAGTGACGGAGTTCACGGCAGTAAATGAAGCATTGGCCGGTTGAGGCTGCGAACCTTCCAATGTCTGCGATAACTGAGCAGAAGTGTAGGAATTATCGGCTGGCTGGACTGACTGTCTTGGAAGAACAGCCGCATCGGACACCTTTGGACGATTTCTTGACCCCTTAGGCCGGCCTCTCTTCTTCATGTTCCCCGGGCTCTCAACGACAAGACTGTTGTTGCCGGGTCCATGATGCTGCATGGTACGCGCTGGAATAGTCGCTGTTACATGGCTGGTAGTCGCATCTGGCTGCGTCATCCCTGGAGCTTCGACATGAGCTGGTTGACGGTGAGGGCTTGCGGCTTGGGCAAGCAGCATAACATTAGCATCCACCATGTCAGGAGCACTTGTATCGCCGTACTCAACGTCGACCCAATTCCCATCAGTACTGGCCTCTCTGTGTGTCCGGTCTGTATCTGGAGTGTCCTTGCTAGGGCCCTTTTTCAAGCCTTTGTCCTTACGCACCTTGGTGGCCTTGCTCCCTTTTGGCCTTCCCCGTTTTCGCCGAACCGGTTCAGGTCCATCCATTTGGCGAACAGGGGCCATATTTTGCTGCCCATTGTTACCTCCAAGTTTGGGAAAGATTTCGGCTATCCAGCCGACAAACAAGCTTCCCGAACCATTCGCCTCGGCGCTTTGGGGAAACTCACCGTTCGCGGGCGGCGGAGCACCAGGTATGCCTCCGAAAAAAGCAAGAGCCTTGCAGATCTGATCAACGACAAGAAGCGGCTGAAGGCTTCGGAGGAGCGTTAAAAGACGTGCTTGTTCTGATTTGGTCTCGTCGGCATTCAAGGGAGTTTGACGGCCTGACATATAGGGCACCTGAGCAGATGTGGTGGCTGGAACGAAAGGCTTCGCAGCCGTCTCATCCGGTAACTGAACAAACTTGCTTCTCCTATGAGAAACATAGCCGTTCTCGAAAGCTCGTTTAGCGGCCAGCTCCGTGCTCTCGCTCGTACGCTTGGCTTGAGCATCTCGTTCTGTTGCCTCGGCCCTCCCGGCCACCCCCATGTGCATAACGCTGAAGTTCCCCTTGGATCCATCGGTTTTTCCTTTGAGCTTGCTCGGGACGGGGTTCCGAATCCGGCCATCTCGGTGGGGGCCGTTCGCAGCGTCCTGGAGGTTTGACTCGACCGGGGTAAGAAGGCCAAACCCGCCTTGGACGGCGGTCGCAGTTGCCGAGTTATTGGCGGCATTGGAAGTTCTCCCGACAGCCACAGCCTGATTCGCAGACGGGGGAAGTGACGGTACGGATCCCGGCTTTGGCACCGGGACAGGAGTCACCTTCTGAGCGGGAGTATGCCGACCTGGTGCGGAAACAGTGGCATCGGCTGGCCTGGCAGCCTTTGGGCCTGTAAGAGCGACATGACAGCCAGTCAGCAAGATGCACCGCGTATATGGAGGCGAGATGCACGAAGGGTTGCTCTGGCCTACCTGAAGCTGTAGCCATGGAATCTCTACCCGCGCAACAAGCTCGAGCGGCACCCGGGCAGTAAAGGTTGCTAGTGGGGCAACCGACAGAATCTGGATTGGAGAGCCAGAGGTGGCCAGGGCGGATGAAATCCTGCTGTCGCCGCAGAGATTGAGGTCAAAAGTGCACAGCTAGAGCTCTTCCTGTTCACATATTACAAGGCGACGGTTTCTTAACCTTGGAGGAGTGCCTAATTGTCTGTTACCGGGCGCAAGATCGGGGGCGGACGGTTTGATGGCGGGAACAGAACGAAGATGGGTAGGGGCAAGCGTATGCGTGCGTATGGTGGACGGATTCAGATGCAGGTGAAATAGGCAACCCTGGAGAGGTAAGCCACGAGATCAAATCCGCCGGCCGCGGATGTTCAAAAGGGCGCAACGGGACTTGATGTGGCGGTCGCGTACACTGACGGGAGTCGCAGCGAGCTGGCCGGTCGCACCATGGACGAGTGAAGAATGAAGGCAAGTGCAATGGCAACTGCAATGGCAACTGTAATGGCGCGCTTTTAGTCCGTCTTCGACCACGGATATGTAGACGCCAGACGCCCCGGCTGCGTTGGGGTTTCGGTCAAGGTACGCGCCTGCACTGTCGAAATGTACGTTGTAACGCTCTGTAGCTGGTCAAACTCGACCGAGCGCGGAGAGGGAGGGAGAGCACGATGGCGAGATGTGTGTTTGGTTGTCGCCAGAAAATCGAGCCGGGTTTGAATGTTGTTGTGCGGAAATGTACAGTCGGCCCTGGTGGTCGGGCTGTGCTGCTTGGGTAAAAGCGTGCGGGGATGACAGGTTGGCTTGCAGGCGCTCGAGGGCACTCTTCCCGGTCGATAGTAGGTCACACCTACAGAAAGTGCCACCGGTGCCTGTGCCTATACCTCCATGTTCTTTCTCTGGTAAATGGCAAGGTTGGCTTTGATTGTATTCTCCAGCTACTCATCACAACTGAAGAGACCCTCCTCCAATACCTGACGTTCGTATGTCTCATCGTCGTGAGCTTCCAGTGCTGCAATGCCGGGCTGGTAGATACAAATACAGGCGAGGTAATTACATACCATTCCTAGTACCGTACTGAATGTGTACTACAGACCGTGCCCGTGCCTGGCCGCTTCCACTTTGTAAAGTACCGCTGGCCCGTACTTACCTAGCCGCCATCTCCAACCCTCAAGCTGGAGTTCCTAGCAGAAGCGCATACGTAATTCATGCCTGCAGTGCTGCACATGTACCATCTAGCGGTAGGTTCGGTGAGTTATCAGGTTATCTCTAGCTCGTGCTTAGCTTGCCTGCCTGTTAGAGTAGCTCCCGCGCGTGCGCATCGGCTCCCACTCATCATCACCTCCCTCCCCTCCCCTCTTACGTAGGCTGGTAGGCCAGCCAGCTCGGCAGCTCCCCACTCTGAACCTCACAGATATCATCGATCAATGCTCCTACATTGGATCATCACCCATCATTGCCAATAACAGTCCTATCCACCCTTTCTCATCGCTTGCCGCCGCCGCATTGCTCCTTGGCCGTTCCCTTTCATCTCTTCGAATACAGTCTGCCTACAAGTTCCGCCTTCTCCTCATCAACGCAGCCCCTCCCCGATCGCAGCCGGGTTGCGCACGTACAGCCCAGCTTCACCATCACGACAGCGAATCTCTCCGGGTACTGTGGTAGGGTGGGCATAGAAGCAACGCGTTCAGTGCCCGAGGAGCGCCCAAGATGGCACCGACAACTCGCTACTCGCTCGTCTCTCTTCCTCTCCGCATCTTCGACGACGAGCCCCTCTCCGTGCTCGCCTCCACCATTGGCCAGGACAATGGAGAGATACTCAAGTTTTCCATACCCTCCTTCAAGATCGGTACACTTGATGCCTTGGTGCAGCATGCCGATGACCTGACAAAGCTCAACGCCGCCTGTGAGGCAGTAGTGTCCAAAGTGGCCGATTCCCTGGCAGGCATTCTCGACGGCGATGAAGACAAGATATCGCAGCAAAAGATGGTGAACGATAGTGAGCATTCCTCCTCCGTAGAACTGACGGCGCCATTGCTACGCCGACGATGCTAACAACGCCCAGAGCCCACGGACAGCTATATTTGCTCCTTCCAATGGAACAAGGTTCGCTACCGAGCTGACAAGCCCCTGGGCGAGTTGATCGAGAACCTGCAGAAAGAGATTCAAAACATCGATAACGATGTCAAGGCCAAGTTCAACCAGTATAATACCGTCAAGACGAATCTATCTGCATTGCAGAGGAAGCAGACGTAAGTCACTAATTGTTGCCCCGTCTCTCGGTTACTCCGCTAGGCACTGACTGCTCTTCAGTGGCAACCTTGCAACCAAGTCCCTTACGCCCATAGTCCCGCCCGACGTCCTTATTCAAGACTCCGAATATCTGGAAACACACCTGATTGTGGTTCCTTCGAGTGCACGCAAAGACTTCCTTCGGAGCTACGAAACCATCGCCGAAATGGTTGTACCCAGGTCGGCTGTTCAGATAGCCCAAGATGACGAGTTCACCCTATTTGCCGTTACAACCTTCAAGAAAACCAGTGCCGACTTCTTGCACAAATGTCGCGAACAAAAGTGGACACCCCGTCAATACAAGTACGTCGAAGGTGGAAAGGAGGAAGAGCAGCGCGAGCTTGAGCGCATGGCCAGGGAAGAAAAGAAAGTCTGGGGCGAAGCTTTGCACATGGCAAGGTCAGGTTGGAGTGAGAGCGTCATGGTCTGGGCACACGTCTTGACTTTACGTGTTTTTGTCGAGACAGTGCTGCGATACGGTCTGCCCCTGGAGTTTGTGTGTGCTCTTGTCAAGGTAGGGCTTCGACGAGGATGACGATACTGCGACTTACGCTGACACTGTGGCAGACCACCCCCAAGCAGGCCAAAAAGGTCAAAACGGCTTTGGACAAGGCATACTCGTACCTCGGTGGAAATGCCTTCGGGAGAGACAAACGAGGGCGGGTTACCAAAGATGATGCCTCTCTAGCGTCGGAAATGGCCGCGGCAGGTTATTCCGCGGGTGATGGCAACGAGTACACGGCTTATGTGTATTATGAATTCGAATTTCCTTGATGGTTGGGTTATAGTTCAGAACCATGCGGTGGCGGCGACAGCAACGGCGGCGGCGAATGGTCAGATGTGCGCACTTGGGCCTGACTCTCACGCACCATGTGTCATATACGTCGTCGACAGTAGGCACTACTAGATAGGTGTTCTCCCCTTGAAAGCGCCTGACAAGGACAGCACATCCGCTTGTGGTTTCGGTTAATGACTTCAATCAGCTTTCACGCACACTTATACGGGTCCCCAGGTATGGGGTGGTTGTATCCTCGTCCCAGTTCAAGCTTATCTCGTCTCCTTAGTTTCGCTGATGAGACCGGCCTCGGCCAGATAATCTACAATCTTCTTGACGCACTCCTCCACGCTCAGAAGGTCTGTCCTGATGGTAATTTCAGGCGACTCTGGTGCCTCGTAAGGCGCCGAAATGCCAGTGAAGTCCTTGATTTCCCCAGCGAGGGCCTTCTTGTACAGCCCCTTGGGATCTCTCTTTTTGGCCTCAGCAAGAGGAACGTCAACGAATACCTCGATGAACGGAAGCGAGTCGTCTCCAGCCTGCGTCGAATTTGCGTGGAGGTCACGCGCGATCTGGCGGTCGGCGCGGTAAGGTGAAATAAACGAGGTCAGGGCAATTGTGGAAGCGTCGGCAAAAAGTTTGGCTACCTGAAAGGGGCAAAATCCAAGGGAGTAAGCACGAGAAGCGAACAATGTGAAGGGGAGAAGGGTTGGGAGCTGGGATTGGACATACCTCTGCGATGCGCCGAATGTTCTCATTGCGGTCCTTTTCCGAGAAACCAAGATCCTTGTTCAGCCCGAAACGCACATTGTCGCCATCCAGCCGGTAGGCGGCCAGGCCAATGTGCAAGAGATGCTGCTCAAGGGCGGTTGCCACCGTCGACTTTCCCGATGCTGACAAGCCTGTGAACCAGATGGTGAAACCGCGCTGGCCACGCAACTGGTTGCGTTCATGTCGCGAAAGCGACGGATGCCAGGTAATGTTGCTGTATATGCCCCCAGTCAGTCAGTCAGTCAGTCTTCTACCTGTCCTGGAAGCCCCGCGATCCTGGCAAGATGTGGATAAATGGGCGGGAGAGGAACTGGACTCACGTCGCCATTGTGACTGTTCGCGGCAACTGTGATCTTAGTTGTGGTGGTTGTGACTGGATTCCGTTCAGGTCCTTTGACGCGCGCAAGAGAACAGGCAAAAATGGGTAACAGGGAGGGAAAAAAGATGCGAATGACTCTTTTTATACTGTTGTTACCACTTAAGTTAGGTCCGGTGTAAAAGCCGGTGGATATGTATTGTCCCGCCTGCTTGGTTCAGCAATTGCGCAATCGCTCTCAACGGCCCTTTCTGTGACAGAAGTGGGCCCGACAGTGCCGAGTACCGCAGTACCTAGGTACTCTCGTACTTATCGACCTACCACGAGGTTACACCCACTTCTTCATCCCGTCTATCTTTTGGGCACTCGGCCCTACAGGATGGTATGAATTGCATACAATGTATTTAGCTATTGATATACATGCGAGTTTGTAGGTATGCCAGAAATCTAAGAGCGTCTAGTATATCTATTCCACCCACCTTGTCTACGAAGTAATACCGGAACTCCGCCGTGTGTCCGGGGCCACCAAGCCCGATCAGAGCACTCATTCGACTGCCCACTCCTCTTCCTTTGATACTTGTACGTCCCACAGCCAGCGGGCCAGGTGTTCCTCGAGGAGCCATATTACAGGCTGCAGGCACAATGTCCTCTATGAGCTACTACTTGACGGGATACACTTTTGCCATTGTCTGATCATTCCAGAATTAGCTTGACAGACTCCAAATCTGCCAATAGAGATGTTTCAACGTACCGCTGCTTGCTTGGGGGAGATGTAGAGGGCGCTCGCTGTCACCAACACGGTCGGCTCCTCTCCTTCCTTGGACGGGAGTGTCTCGATGTGGCCTTCCACCCAAGCCTTTCGTCCTTCCACCTTGACGGTGGTGGCCCGTAAGACGAGATACTGGTCGGCCATGGCGGGAGCTTTGTAGTTAATGTCCAACTTGGCCGTCATGCCGACGTTGAAAGGCAACACGGGGAAACAGCATCTGGCCAATCCTTCATCGAGCATGGTAGCCAGAAAACCGCCATGAATGACGCCCATGTGGCCGCACAGATCAGTTCCAACGTGGGATATCTGTACAAAGTTCTTTCCCGTCTTCTCGGAGAAGCTGAAGGGCGGAACCACCACTTTTCCTGGACCCATGAGGACGCCACCCGTCAGATTGCGTTTTCGCCATGCCTCTGGAATTTTCATGTGTGGGCGTGACTCGATGAAGTCGGGATTGGCCCTCAGGGAGAGAGTCAGGGGATGCGAGTTGATAAAGTCCTCCTTGGCCTGGGCGTCGTCATCCTGGGGGGTAAATAGAGAGACGGTTTCGGCGTCGCTGGGCGGTGAAGCGATGGCAACCATGGTATCGTAAGCAGGCGCGGCCGCGATCACAAAGCCGAGTGTTGTGAGAAACAGAGCACGGAAGGAAAAGCGGAGGGTAGACAGAATCGCCCGGAAGAAGAAAGGCCGAACCGGCGACGCGGGGGCAGTGGCCGGGTCTAAGGCGGCAACGTACCGGCCGATAAGTCAGCAAGGCCGCTAGAGCAGCAGAAGCATGACGGCCCCGGGCACGGAACAAGGGGGAAATGGGCGGCTCACTGAAGTGACTGGCAGACGAAGACAGCCTGCAAGGTGTGGTCCGGAGTATACCAGCCGGGACCGAGAGTGAAGACTGGGCGGGACGGCGGCGTATGAACCGGAATGCAAGCCGAGAGGACATGGTGCTGCAGTTTGGGCCCCTTTTTCCAGATCAGCGGCCCGTTTTATACAGCAGCGTCGAGCACCCGATGATACTGGGCTGCCACAGATCTCTCCAATGCGTACCGATATGGTCTGTCAGGCACTATGCAATCCGTAGGCGTACCCACAAAACGGCCCTAAAGAGAGTCAGGAATTGAGTTCGCGATACTCGTCGGTTAGGTTGATGTGGGCCTCGCTTACATAACAAGCCAACCGACTCTCCTCGTCCCTCTGAGAGTCGGGATTTTTATATATATCTTGCAAGCGGTATATCTTTCAAAAACCCTAACAATCTATATCTCTACCAAAACACACGCAAAAAAGATAATGAAATGTTCAGATTAATAGTCACGATCACGCGCATTCAATAATATATTTCTTTTATAATCAAATTATCATAATATATTATTATAGTATTGTAAAGTCTTTATAGCCCGTATTCACAATACAATATCCAACTCCTCCTCTTCCTCCTCTTCCCCTTATAAACTCTCATCGTTATTAGAATCGTTGTTTATAATAATTATTACCCTTATACAGCTTACGGGCACCTCCAACTTCCTACCCGCTACCGTTATAGTTACTATAGCAACCTCCTCGTCAAAATCTATATTGATAACCTTCTCCTTCCCCTTTTTAAACCTTTTTCTAGGAGGGTATAGTATTAATATAGACGGTCTAAACGACGGCCTAACTAATACTCGTATTTATGCTTATATTTTCTCGCCTATTAAATAAGGGTATATAATAGGGAGTTCGCTAAGGATATTTATACCCTCGTTACCTAATATAAATTCAACCGACGAACTACTTCCTCTACGAACCTTCCTAGCCCGCTTCTTACTATATATCTTAAAAGGTACAAAATCTTTATTATAATTAGGAAGGGTAGCCTTCCTTATAACCTTATAAAATTTATTCTCTACGTTTTTAATACTAATTAAGAAGGTATTAAAATATTATTTAGGTTAGAAAACCTTCTATAATTTTATCTCTAGTACATAATATAAATAATTAAGACCATATTACTTAATTAGGAAGGTATGCCGGGTATTATTAATAATAGCCTCGTCCTATCCTTCCTTAAATTTTAATATTATATCATATTCTAAGTCGTCCTTAATAATATAAACAAAGTTATTATTACTAGGAATATTAATTTTATTAATTAGATTAAGCTTAGCTTTCTTCTTAGCTTTGGATTTACGTGGTAGCTACTGTTTAAGACTAGGGTTCTTTTCGAAGGCGACCTTTTTAATAAAGGCAAGGCTTGCTCGCTATATCTTCTTCAGTCCCTCTTCTATATTAACTACCCTTCTTATTATAACTTTAGTATTAACAACCTCCTTCGTATAGGTTCTATTATTAATAGTTATATACTTACGAAGGTTCTACTTTTGGGCTTTTACTTTAATATAGCGTTTATAGTATTCTTACTAATTAAATATTAGTTTTTAAATATTAATAGATACTTTAAGGGCAATTCTAACCTCGTTATAAATCTTTTTAATAGGCGAATTATATTTATTAATACGTTATTAAATTACTGGTAGTTCTAATATATATAGTACTTTACGAGGAATTATAGCCTTAAGTCGGTTAGGGAATAAGGGTTCTTACTATACTCTAATAAATTTACGTAATTTATTAAGAGGAACGTTGGGTTTAAAAGGTTAAAGACTAGTTTTTTCCTATTTTTTTTAAAAATATTACTTCGAGTAAAGCCCACTTATTTAATCTTCTTTTAATTATTTAGAAAAATTATACAATTAATATTAATAGCCCTACTAGTAGTTTCGTTTGCTAGAGCCTTTTGGTGAGCCTTCTTAATTATTTAATAAACCCCTACATTAAATAATTGAAGTATATAGCTAATATATAAGGGTAGAATATAAAGTATAATATCGAAAGCCTTATAGTATTATAGGATATTTAAGTCTTTATATGCTTTAAACCCGTCTATAAATAATACCCTATATACCTTTAATTTTATTATTAACGAGAAATTAATAATTGCTCTATCTCTTTTAAAAGGTTCTAGTCTTTTAAAAGGAGGCATGTAGTTAAATAATAGGCTGAACTAGTCGTCGATAGTATAACTATCAAAGGAGGGAGATAGTTTAAAGGAGTATTTATTAAAGTACTTAATTTATTATAGAATTCGATAGGTATTATTATATTTAGTCGATATATTTATAATAACTACATTTGGATCAACTTTATAGTTAATTTATATATTCCTTTATATTTATATATAGATTAATAAAATTAATATTAATTATAAATAAAATAGTTTAATTATATTTACTATAATATATAC